AAACATGGCCATGTTCAAGATGTTCATATAATTTTTGCAATAATATTCTTGGTGAAACAACCAATTTGAACTTCACCTTTGAAAGGAAAATAAACAAATTGCTTGTCAGATTATGTATTCAAAAATTAACATATAGTATTATAACATTCAAGCATGAACTTAAAGGTAACTATGCACTTTTAAATAAATAACATCAATAATTTACACAAACTTTACAACATAAATGGCACTAAAGTGACTCAGATTGGATAATACAGTCTGTATACATTTTAGAAGCAAACTGTTTTAAAAATTCAACTTGGTAATTTCTTTGAAATGCATTTATCCCAAAAAGACAATATGCATTATAAATGTGATTATGAATTAATAAAACACAAATGGTATTTAATGTTAATATGCATATTAACATCAAATACCATTTGGATAAATAGACGTTCGGCATCAACATTTGAGAAAATAATCAAAGGGCATTAAGCACTTTCTTCTTTATTAAATACCAGCATGGTGATAAGGCCAGTAATATAATGGCCAAACCACTCATCAGGAAATGAAGAAACGACAATATTTCGGTCCTTCCTGGACTGAAGCATCGTCAATTCTTAATTTTCTGTTATGTGATTTGGTCATCATATCTTCAGCGCCATTAATGTGACTCATTGTGTACACGGCCAGTAATAGATGGTTAACCATTAGACATTTTAGCAAAGGAAATTAAAAAAAAATGCTGATAGTTTTAATAAAATTTCATGCAATGCAGAAATACTGTACACTGAAAATATGGAAAATTCCCAAAGTGCTGTATTTATGGTCTGACAATAAGCAGATGATTGCTATATAATTATCAGAGCCTATTACAAAAAAAAAATATTCATACAAAATTGTTCTCTTCAATTGGTTTGTTTTACAGACGGGTAAATGAAATGAGTTCCTTTTTGAGAATGATAGAATATAACACGGTAACAGAAACACACACACAACCTCAAATTACTCAGCACAATGTCAAAGTCATGAATTTACAAAACTTGGAGATAAAGAGTATGATAGAAATAAAACAAGTTTATATACAACTGTACACTGCAGTAGATATAAAATTTTAGTTAAAAAAATTCACATTTATTATGCAGCAACATAGGTTACAATGGTATCTGCTCTGGCATTGTAAAATCTAACAAAATTTTGGCCTTTTGGGCAAAATTGTATTTCCAAGGAGCCAAAGACTTTTGATATAACAAACATGAAACTACAGCATAAAAGAGGAAATATTTAATTTCTTTCAATGAAATTCATAGGGTCTTCATAGTAAGCTACTCTATATTCCTTAAATACAATGTGCTGTATTTATATGAGATACTCCAAATACAATACATATTATTGAATTATTGTCACCTAACAATAAAACTCCTTATGGCAAGAGCTCTCATAATGATTCTGACTTTTTTGCAACAATGATGAGCAATTATCAAATGAAATTGGTAACACTTAGGAGGGTATTTATTTTTTAGCACAGTTTGTTACAGAATATTCACGAATTCCTAGATACCAGTCAGGATACCAATATGAACAAAAAGATAAACATAAGCAAAACCAAAGGAGTTGGATTCACTGAGAATTTTATTAAAAGTCATATGACTCCAAGAAACGGAGAGAAAGAAAACTTTCCAATCACCCTGAAAATCAGGATATTCTATGAGGTGAAACAACACAGTTCCGAGAGTTAGGCATAGGTCTCCAGTCCATCAAGTAGCCAAGAATTAATCTTGTATGGACAATACATAACCGAGCCATAGACTCTTTCCCACTTCCTGTTTCAGTGACAGGAGGAAGGCCATGAGGATATGTCATACTTGATAGTGTATAATGTGTTATACATAGCAACTCACCGGCTATCACTCAAGTGGTTGCAGATCACATTACAAATGAGTGGGTATTAATCTGCACAAAGAATTGGCTTATAGGACATGGCAGAGGTACAAACAGCGTCTTAACAGCTGCATCTGCTAGGTCACTGGAGGCAACATCAAGGCTGGGAACCCAGCAAAGCTCGACAATCTTTACCTACCAATGATACAACCAATGTTGAATTTCCATAGCTATGGGATAAGACTATGTAAATTGGCCTCGGACTATGGCCTTGGAACATTCAGTGCACATATCAAGATACTTTCACACTGCCTGATTGAGCAAACCTGAATATTGAAAACAAGGTATCTGTTAAACCATTTTTTTTTATCAAACTCTGTCCAACAGTAAATTAGTGTCATCCACTGGGTCATGGCAGTCTAGAGAGCACTTTGCTGATAACTGTAAAGACCAAAAAGACTGAATTTGCTTAACACTTGGGTATTTTTACATACTTGAATTGTTTTGATTAAGCACCATTACCAGAGTCGTACTCATAGGCATGCCTTACATGCATTTCAGTTCGCTTTAAAACAATCTTATGTCTATTCTTTGCATTTTGTGCAGTTTCTGCAGGGATTAGCTAGTACTATAATACTAGACTGCCTAGCCTCTAATAATCAGTTTAAAATAAGTTATTCATTAATGTAAATTTCAATCATGCCTTTAGATAGCTGCTCAAAACAACTGCAAACTAAATGCTTACACGATTCCAAGTAACTTAGATTATTATATATAGTAGCCAGATTTACAGGAATATTCTGAAACCATGGTTTCATGAAATAATACAATGAAAACATTATTTGTTCTCTATGCTATCTGAAAGTAAAATGCAACACAGAAGGGATAAAAGTGCTTTAACAATTAAATCAAAGGCAACTGACTTAATGTACATTTTGCGATCACACACAGTATAGGGAAGACACAGGGAAGGCTATGAGATGCAACTCGTGTGAGGATGTAAAGCATAGTGACACGTCAGACACTAACCACAAGGATACTAAATCATATGTAAGTTTTGTGTCAATTCTTGATAGAAAAAAAAAATCTATCTTGACAAATTTGCCTAATATAAATGGCAATATTTTTACTGTGCTATAAAATGATACTTACCTTAAGACATTGCATTGACTGTTAGATTATATCTTGTACATGACAATAGTAACAGATCTTCCTTTTAATACAGAATCTGTTTTATAGAATAGAACAACAATAATGCAGGTTTGCCACAGCCACCAACATAAGCGCTACTCTTAGGCAAGTAAGTAATTGGTTTCTAAGCTACATTTATACTATTGTGCCACAGATATTGGTTCTAATTGTCTTCCCTTTCATATGGTCTTATCAGTAAATATTGTCTTCCCATTTAGGCAAAACTGCTGTGTACAAGGAGCCCCACAACAATCACTACCCTGTAAACATATGTAACTTATTTTTAACACACATACTTGGGTATGTACCTGCATAACCCCATTTCTGCAGCAAGGCTTTATCTTATATTTTTGTGCCTTTATATCTTGTTATGCTTCTTTCCGTCTACCTTCCTGCATATATATATGTGCTTGTTGACGGTATTACTCATCTTGTGGCATATTCTTGTTCCTCAGTTCAAGTGGGTATCCCACGATAGCCAAATCGGCATGTGAAATTACATGACAAATGTGTCGGGTGCTCCTTTAAAAGTTTTAAACTACCGAAAGCATTTGAAAAGTTTGAATGAGTTTTCTGTAGGAACATGGTGACAAAGATACAAGTAATTATTTCAAAATGCTAAGCCTGAAAAGCTATACCTACACAGCACTTTATATACTGTAACAGAATATCGTTCAGGATATCAATAGAAGAACAGGAAAACATAAATTATATGAGTGATGTTAAAGAAGGCCAGTTCACAAAGGATATTATTGAGACAACCAACTCAAAGAGTGGGAAAGCAAAATTTACAATCCTGAACATCAAAACATTCTAAGGGGAAGTAAGTGACAGCAGGCCAACAAAATTCTTACAGTAAGGTAGTCAGATATAAATTAGCAAGAAAGAAAGTTTCAAAACAAGTGCTGAAGTATGGTAACAGTAATATTCTTACAACCAATGGAGGAGTTTGAATTGAACTATTGGGAAACAAAGCTGAAAGTCAATGAAAATTACAGCTCTTTTGTTGACTCAGTACTAATGAGAAAGTGTAATGAAGTGGTGAATCAGTTCTACAGTATACTGTAGAACTGACTTTACAATAGAACTGATACTACAATAGAAGAACATTTTCATACTCTGTACTCTTTCTCAATATAAATTTAGGTGGAGGAAGCATAACAAAATACCTTCTTCAGAAAACCCTTATATGCTACAGCCTAAAATATTTGTTATAAAGTAATACCCAGTACTTAGGTGCATAGAATAAATACAGATAGCTTGGGGGGGGGGGGGGGGGAATGTTCCTGTATTCTAATGAACATTAGCAATACAAGTACAACTTCTGGTTTCAGAAAAATGTTCTCTTTCTAAAATGTTGTATTTGGTTTTATTTTGTAAATAAAAAATCTTGATAATCAGTTACAATATATATTTAAATACTAATCCACCCTATAATACCTTTTTATTTAGTATTGTAAATATATCATGATTATGCTAGACAAACATGGCATTTTTCAATGTATGAACACCAATTTTTATCCTGAGTCAAGCAGGCTTGGCTGACAATTCTAAATTTAGTTCAAAGGTTGAAAGATAATGTATCTCAACATTAAAAAAGAATAGTGTAAAAAAGAATAGCAAAGGTGTCCACCAAGCTATATTGGTTTCATAACAAAGGTGTCAACTGGGCTATATTGTTTCACAGCACAGGTGTCAGCCAAGCTATCTTAGTTTCACAGCAAAGGTGTTGGCCAAGCTAACTTGGCGTCATAAAAAAGGGGAGCCCGTCAAGCTGTGCCGTAAGCCGATACAAAAATTAACACTTCTTGCCTCTCGCTTATCATATTAATATTATAAAAATATTTGGGTACAATTTATTGACACAAAAGTGCTCTTTATGGCTGTCCAGTAATATACATCACAAATCATACAGATCTGTGCAGTTTGTTTTCCCATAACTGCTGCTTTGGTTTAGATGTTATGATCAAATATATTTCAAATATCAAGAGCCTTGGGTGATCTGTATACATGTATACACATTCCTGGTATTACCGTATAGCACCAATGAACACACAAAACAAGGAGAGATAGTTTTTTGCAAACTATATATATATTTCTTTTCACCGGGTAATTTTCTTCAAGCTCATTTTTATTGAAATATTATAACTTGAATATGAAGTATTTCAAACATTGTGTAATCTCCCATAACCATGTGGTCATTTTAAGAGATTATTGGACTACATATGAAGTTTCGAGTAACCTAGACCACAAGAATGCCAACTATTAGGTGATCACATATCTAAATATATCTAGTAGTAAAGTGGTTAACATACATTACACTTATTTTATGTATTATATATACTGTATATATATAAAATAATAATAATAAATACAATCTATGTTAATTGCTTTACTACTAGATATTGTATATACTCTACAATTGGAGTGTACCACAAAATGTTAAATGAAAAATCTTGCAGTTTACACCTGAAATTATTACCTATCACTACTGTTCCAACACTTCATACCAGTGCACCGATCTGATTACCACAGCTATCATGAAGGAAACTGATGAATCTCAATGACTTGGATATGGTGAGGATGGAGATCAACAACCAGTCAGCACTGCCAGTGAACAGTAACCCACTGTTCACCCATCACAGGGGAGCCGTGAAGCTGTTAGCATCCAGGGCCTTCAGATAGCTGTAACAAAATTATTAGTTAATAATAGGAATAATATATATTTTAGCATAAACATCAGCATCAGGAAAACAAAGTTGCAAGGACATCCACCAATGGTAACCACTTATGCAAGCATAATATGACTGCCTCACCTTGGATTGTGCTCCTCGACACGACCCCTAAGGATATTCGGACCAAGGAACTGCGAAAGTTGCGTCAAGCACTGGCTTGCTGCAGAAGATGTCAGAGCATTTTCACATTCCTGAAATTAAAAGTACAGTACATGTATACTGTATTTTCCCTTACCAAAAGATTTAAACCTGAATTTTGATACGATTTTATGAAAGCACGTGGGCAATGGCCAAGATGGGGTAGAGAGAGAGAGAGAGAGATACTTGTGCGATACATATTAAAGAACATGGGAATGATCAAAGTAGAATGTTGTTGTTGTTTAAGATTCGCTACTTGGAACTAAAAGTTCCAAGTAGCACGGGCTATGGTGAGCCCGTTGTGGACTTACCTGGCACAGGAGCCACAGGAGCGGGGCTGTTGTGTCAAAGCAGAAGCATCTGTGCAACAAATGGCTAGATAAGGGGTGTGTGTTTAGAGAAGTGTATTTACATTATGAAGTTAAAAATGCTCTAAACATCAATAGTCTTTATTGTTACATTTTTATTTGCATTAACTCTTTGCCAAGTATTCATAGTCATCCTATTTCCCATTTTTGAGGGGATGGTTAGGCATCACAGCAAAGATAAAAAAATGATGAGCAATGTAGTAAAAGAATGTTATAAAAATTAAATTAAAAAAGAAAATAATTACAGCACTCGGCCAACTCCATACATGCTCATTACTCCTCAAAGTCCTTCAATATTTCCATTATTATATACTTTTCCAAATAAAATTAAATGCAGAAATATACGAAGAGCAAGATGAAAGGGTCTAAGAAGTCTTCAAAAGTGGAGCTGGAACAACTTCCTGACATGGAGGAGGGGGGGGGGGGGGAAGAGCTTATACAGAGATTGAACTGCTTACAATAGTAGCAACATAAGAAGAGGTAAAGAAATAGATGCGAAGACTGTGAAACAAACAATATCGAAACTGACAGGCAAGGTAATTATAAGGAGAAAGGAGAAAGCACTAAGCCATTACAAATATATAGCACTTGGAAAGGACGAGGATAAGGGTTTTTATGATAGGATGAATGGAAGGAATGCTGCCTAACCCCTTGCACAGACTGGGATTGAACAGTGACCTGCAGTAAGCGAGATCGTTGTCATGGATTCTAATGGACACTGCTAAAGTATTATACAAGCCACATGATATAATCTACAATGCATCACTGAAAACAGGCATGGTACAAGATAGCTGGAAGGAGGCATATGTTATACCAACATAAAAGGAAATAAACAGGAATCACTAGACTATAGATCCAAGAATTTAACAAGCATATCACACAAAGTTTCAGAGAGAAAAATAAAAAAATAGTAGAAAACCTAGAAATAGAATTTGCTTCATATCAAAATACCATTATTAGGTTACCAGAAAGCATTCAAATTTATCTCCACAGGATAACAGGAAGCAGAGAGTATTATTACCAAAATAATGAACTAGAATCCTTTGTGTCATTATTTGTTGATGCAAATATGAGGAAAATAAGGACAAGCAAGGACTATGCAAAGCTCCAAAAAGACTTGGATAAGGTGCAGACATGGCCAAACAAGTGGGTTATCTTGAGATCTTGAGGTTATCTTGAGATGATTTCGGGGCTTTTAGTGTCCCCGTGGCCCGGTCCTCGACCAGGTCTCCACCCCCAGGAAGCAGCCCGTGACAGCTGAATAACACCCAGGTACCTATTTTACTGCTAGGTAACAGACTGGACTGGACTTCATTCCAGATAAGTGCACCATCATGAGGATGGGCACACGAGTCAATATTATATAATGTTGCATGGAGGGTAAAATTTAACATGATTACCAAGGAACATAAACCAATCATTGCACAAACACACACACTGAAATATAAGAAAAATACAAAATTACCAGGGCATAAAATATAGCATCCAGAAATAGACGAAGGTGACTCTTGAAGACTCGCTTTCCTAAACCCTTGCCAAGTAGTGGGAGAGTCTTACAGAGCGTCTCTAGAAGAGTGACGTGGCCAGTGTAGTGTTTGTGTTGAACAGCTTCAGCCAAGAGGGGTAAACACTTAATGACTTCTTCAGTAGTACCAGACACTCCAGCTATCTCACTTATCAAGAACACACATCTGTAACATAAGGTAACGTTATATGGGTGTGTTCTACATGTTGAGCCGACATTTAAAGTCAGTGAGACTCGAACATTATCGTGAAGAATACAAATTCTCCAAATGGCTATAAACAGCATGTACAGTACAGCCTATCCCAATACAGCATTATAGTGGCCTAGTGCATAGCTACAGAATGTGAAGTAGTTTGACAAACTTTGTTTAGATAAGGTAAACACAAATGTCTCCATGAAAACTAGACATTAATTGCTAAAACTAAAAGATACTACAAAGACATTAAAAAATACCGTACTGTACAACGATGGTTTTCAAAGTGTGCAAACCAAATTTCAGTATTAAAATATCAACCAAGTACAGTAATTTTAGTGTTACTATGCAAAAACTTAACAAAACTGCCACAAAGGCATCACAGACCCATATGAAATTACCTATGTACATTACATTATACGCAGGAGTACCAAATTTTGAGCCGTTCTGATCTGGCTTCAATATTTATAAACAATTGCCAAAAACAAACCTCAACAAAAACTTGATAAATATTTCTGCAAGAAGGCTGGTTAATATTTTTATAGTAAATAATTAAATACATAACCACTGCACTGCTCACCTGGTTTTGGCAAAAACTTCATAGTGCAACTGTCAAGGACATATTTTTGTTGTTTTTATAAATGTTCAGGTAAAGTTAATGTCAAAATGTTTCCAAACTGAACCATTTTAATTTCAAAGAGTGATGAAAACATTAAAAAAAATGTTAAAATATAGCCTACAACTCTCAGAGCTCCTTAGGGCACTATGCACAGTACAGTGGATAATCTGATCTTTACTGTATATAGCCATAAAGCTCCAAACCAACATGGAATTGACAAGTCCTTGGAATAAAAATAATATAATTCATAAGATAATTCATTTCAATTTTAGGACACCCAACAAGTAACAAAAAAAAAGTTTTTACTTTAGAAAAATGACTTTAGACTCACACATTACCTGGTATTAAAGTACTTTATGTGAACCAAAAATCATGCAAAAAAAAATCAAATTCACAGTTGATATATCATTTAAAACAAAACCCTAATATATCCCCAAGTCAGGAATATTTAAAAAATGACTTCTTTCATACATTCAAGCAAGACTTCACGAGCATTGTTTACAGAAAATATTATCAACCCTACCCATCAGCTCTTTCCCAGAGTTGTGGTGGCCGCCTGAATTTGCATTCGGTGCACCCACCTCCTCCTCGCCCCATCTTAGGGGCTAGTGAACCACACGAATACATCTGGAAAATATAGTGCATCACATTTAATGAAACACTTTTCTTCAAAGCTCACTTAACCAGAGACAAGCTTTAGTCCATTACCAAAAAAAAATGAAACCAATTAATGTCTCTTCAAACAATATTTGGGAATGCTAGAATAGCTAATTATTGCTGTAATTAAAGCAATGTCTAGTTGGACTAAAGCTTGGAATGAAGTGAAGAACACCTCGCTAAAACATACATGGAATAAACTTGTGACATGTACAGAAATAGGTGGAGCTTCAGGTAAAAATGGTGACAATGACAGATTTGGTGTCGAGATCCATGGGGTGCTCCAAAAAGCCGGTGAGGATGTTTACTTGAAAAATGTGGGAGAACAGTTCGAAGGTGATGCCAATGATCAATGTAAGGGATAGTGATAGATGAGGAGATTGCATAGAGTATTTCTCCCCCACAATAGGAAGGTGATATGGTGTTACGAGCCAATTTTAAAATAGGGCTATTGTATAACCAGTATTGATGGTCTAGTACAGACATTCTCAACACAGGAAATGAGCACCCCAGGTCCACACTAGTGTATATATTTCTCAAGGTTGCTCTAGTCAATAGAATACATATACCTTTGATATATATATATATTGGTTAATAGAATATATATTTGGTCTTAAGGTTAGAAAATCAAGGCATTAAACATTTAGAACTTGGTTTTGTCAAAACTCTAAGTGGAGGGTTGACTCGTCAAGCATCCAGTGCAGAGAGCAGACAATAGTTTGACCATTGACAATTGATATTAACATTACTATTATTTGTGTTGAAAATATGTGGGCAAACAGGTGCTACTGTTGATCTTTAAAATGGATATAAAAAAAATGCCACTAGGGAGCTAGGTAGTCTAACAATAACAGGAATCTTCTGTACATCACCATACTCAGGAAATAAGAGTAAAACCTATACCATGTTCCTATAATAACTTGAAAATCTTTTTCCAAATCTCTAAAAGAACTTGCCTGTTTATTTGAATGGAGATCCATGTCATTGTCTCTCTTCCTCTTCACAACGCCATACATAGCCGGACCACTTTCCAAGTCGCCATACTTCTCAATTTCAGATGGCTGATCCTCAACGCCTAAAAAAAAAAAGTTTGTCATAGTACTGAAAGCAATGATTTGAAACTTAATGGGGAAATCACTGCATTGCAATTGAATACTCTTTGTGATATTCATACAACTAAATTGAACAGCTTACTTTCTTCATTTAATAAGGAGAAAAGTAATTTTTGTTTAATGTATTCATGCACTTTTTACCCCCTTTATTCAAGTTTGGCTTGTTAACAAGCCAATCTAACAACACTAACAGAAAGGTTATATGAGATATGATTATAACATACAAGATACTAAGGACTGGAATTTAGTAAGGACAATATGTTAGACACATAAGGAAACATAATGAAGGGGCACAGCTGGAAATCAGAAACACAAACAAGTTAAAGAGATGTAATAATATGAAAGGATCATATCCAGGTTGGTAAGCAAGTGGATGAATCAGTAGTGGATGCACTGGAAGCCACCTCCACTCACAGTTTAATAGTAGTGAGGAGAATTAACCATGCCAGTAATCACACAAATGCACTCATGCTTTTGAAGCACAAAAGAAAAACACTCGCCTGAAACACTACATAATGTGGTACTGATCCGACTCTCAAATTCATAAAATAAAACATCAACATTCAAGTATGTGAGTAAACATTCCACATTCAAACAACAGCTAAAATATTATACTTAAAAAAAGATTTTGCCATACACATAGCATTTCAAATTAAAATATAAAAGAAAAAAAAAGCTAGGCAATAAACATCTTTGCCCCATGGTGGATCACTGGAGTTAAGTATTGAAACAATATTATTACACCAGTGAGAGTTGTATTAAGAGCGACCGTGTCCAGCACACCAACTCTCACTGGCACAAACACAAATTTTCATGCATCCAAATTGTGCAGCAATGAGCCTTGCAGATGGAGATTTCTTAGCTGATCAGTGCTGGTATTATCAACTAAAAATAATACTGTACCTTAATTAATCCAAATAATGTTGATAATTTTTTTTATTTTCACACGTCAAACAATAATTTGTTTTATTAATTTGATTAGATTTCTCTCATTAACTATTTAGAACATCTGTGTACTATACCTTTTAGTCCTTCCTGCATCTTCTCGATAATCATGGGTAAAACATCCTTGCCATAAGCCCGAACAACGTTAGCAATAGCAATTGCTGCTCCTTGGCGTACTGAGGTAATGTTGTCCTGAAAAGAAGTGTTTTGTAATGAACTATAAAAAAAAAAAAGAGCATGAAATTAAGCTATTGCAACATGCAAGGAAATACGCTGCATAAAGATCAGCTTTTATTGAAGGCGATGTTTCTAGTTTAATGAAAGACATTCCTAAAACACTTTCATACAGACTCAATCGAAATGTTGGCTACATAAAAGACTTGCTCAAGTTCTGAGTTTTGCTTAAAAACTTTGTGAGCTGTCTGAGCCCTACATTCTGTATCATTTTTTTTTATTCAATGCAATAATATTAAACTTGAGTTTACAAAAAAACGAAACCTTTTAAATTTCAATAAGCAAAACATATTTGTTTCCGTAATTTAAACAGATATCCTGGGGCCTGACAGCTGAGTGGACAGCGCTTCGGATTCGTAGTCCTGAGGTTCCAGGTTCAATCCCGAGTTGAGGCAGAAACAAATGGGCAGAGTTTCACCCTGTTGCCCCTGTTACCTAGCAGTAAATAGGTACCTGGAAGTTAGACAGCTGCTACGGGCTGCTTCCTGGAGGGTGTGTAACAAAAAGGAGGCCTGGTCGAGGACCGGGCTGCGGGGACGCTAAGCCCCGAAATCATCTGAAGATAATCTCAAGAAGATCCTTAATATTATATAATTTACTGATACTTTATCACATGACAAAGAGGATTAAATCCAAATGAAAGAATGAATGCCATAATGATTTGAGTTTCTACCAATGTGAAATGCCAAAAAACAAAAAATACTGGCAGCACACATGACAGGTGTTTACCTGGAGGTTGTTGAAGAAGAGCGGGTAGAGGTCTGCCATGGTGCCCTGAGACTCTTCTGGGAAGCAAAGGATGAAGTTGCCACAAGCAACACATGCAGCTGAAAGAGTGTAATAAAGTTAGTGTATATAACAATCAACACAATAAATGGAAATGAGTTAACTAAAAAGAGTAAATATGATTTTGTTTATACTGTATAGCTATACCCCAGGTGCAGAAGTTTTCCTCAAAACTTGAGTGAGGGAGAGGATCATGAGAGAACAGCTTCCATGTAATTCTTGCAAAAATCTTTGAAGCCACCCTCAAGAGATCTTTCATATGATACTCTTTCAACTTTCTTTTCCCAGATGCTAGATGCCTACCTGTTATTTGGTACCTTCTTTCCAAAATCTAAAACAACACATAAATAAATCTGTTATTTAGTATTGTTTCAAAATATATATATATATATATAAACACACACACATACAAATGAAAACTCCACACCTCAGTATATACAGTATATTGTATATAAAATGTGTGTCCCATGATTGTAAGAGAGCTCAAATATTTTGTGGTAAACAGAAGAAAACAACAATAAGTTTCATTGTACATTAACATTGAAAGATTTTAATGATATAGTTCCCAACTAGTCCTAAGTATTATTGCTCCATTGTTCAGTCAAGTAAAAGTAAAATTATACACTCAACTGCAGCAGGAATTTATACACAATTACAAAATATATAATACTGATAAGAAAATGACAACATTCACTATATACCTTTACATAAAGGAACAAGCAAGCAAAAACATTTGACAAAACATTTCCTCACCATCTCTGACAGGCCACGAGTCATCATTGAAGCATATAGTTAAGGCATGTAACAAGTCTGGTACATGGGCACGCACAGCATCAACAGCAATTTTAAGAGCCAATTCTGCAATACACGCACATGCTGCTTCACGAACTGCATGATTATCTGCCCTTGTAGCGTCTATGTAGTAGCTTACCTGTGGAATGTGAAATTAGTAAATTATCTCTTATTGGGCAACGTAATTTAAATGACATTTTATATTAGATTTAGACACCTTATTTGTAAGTGATTTAAACAAATCATTACAGTTGTGGCTGTAGTGAACAGGTGTACAGCCATAAATAACTCGCAACCAATAAAATATTAAGCTTGGTATCAAAGTCTTCCTATTTACTGTAGAGATAAATGGAATAAGAGGTACACAAGCTTTTATCAATGTATAATGTGTATTCCATTCACCTGGGCTGTATGGGTCTCGAACTGTCGACCCCACTCATGTAAGACCGAAGCTCAATCGACTGAGCTATGAGCAGTCTTAAAAAGGAAAGTTTCCAGAAGCAGTATCCTGCTGCCAAACTGGAATTTTTAACTTTCCCTGAGTACTAATGAAGCCCAGAGGAGTTACTGACCCACGCCCACATCACATCAATTGTAATTTAGTAAATAATTGTGAGTAATAGCGTGGGTCAGTAATTCCTCTGGGCTTCGGTAGTAGTCGGGGAAAGTTAAAAATTCCAGTTTGGCAGCAGGATGCTGCTTCTGGAAACTTTCCTTTTTAAGCCTGCACATAGCCCTAATGCAGCGCTGTTAGGGCGCCTAACAGCTGGCTGGACAGTGCTTCGGATTTGTAGTCCTGAGGTTCTGGGTTCGATCCCCAGTGGAGGCGGAGACAAATGGGCAAAATGTTTCTTTCACCCTGATGGCCCTGTTACTTAGCAGTAAATAGTTACCTGGGAGTTAGACAGCTGCTACGGGCTGCTTCCTGGGAGGTGGGGGGGAGGCCTGGTCAAGGACCAGGCCGTGGAGAGACTAAGCCCTGAAATCATCTCAAGATAACCTCAAGATAGCCCAGTCGACTGAGCTTCGGTCTCACGTGAGTGGGGTCGACAGTGCGAGACCCATACAGCTCAGGTGAATGGCATGTTTATTTCCACGGAAGTGTGATGACAATTTTAAGATGTGTATCACAGATAAATTGATCATCAGTAATACTCTTTAGATACTCTATTAAACTTTAGAAACTCTCTAAACTTTTTCTCTCTCTCTTTCGTTAACTTTTAATTCAAAGCCTTAGGTCTTAATTTCAGGTCAAGAACTTGCTATAATAGAAGCTAAAGAGCAGTAATCAGCTTCCTTCAAACAAAAGCTGCAGCCTCTGACTTACTGACCCTAAACCCTATCCCAGCCTTTTCACAAGATATCTATGTAGACTGTCACATATTATTTCAGTGTGACTGATAAGATTAACAATGTAAGATATATTTCATACTTTTACTAGCAGTAGTCATGACTTGTGTGCTGGCCTCAAATACAATTCAAAGTTTTTTGTTATCTTTATATGGAAACCAAATTATTAATAACTATTCTGCACTTCACTTTTTACCTACCAATCTTCAACAATGCCAACCTTCATTTCCATATCAGTATCTTAAACTACTCATACCAGGATTCAGGTCAATATGCCCAAAAGACAGAGGGAACTAAATTAGTCAGCATATACTAATTTTCTATGTATATCAAATGTGCCCACTGACATTATATGTCTACTGTAAACCTAAACAAAATTAAAAATAAATGGATAAAGAAATTTAAGACAATTGATTGGAAAGTAAATATTTAAGACAGATAGATGAGCACTACTATAACCAAGAATGCTCTGAAATACTGTCAAAATAATAAACAAACGGATAGATGAACATTACTGCAACTCGGCATGCTCTTCATGCTCTTCTCCAAGAGTATTTTCAGCTCTATCTCAACTAAAACAACTTTAATCACCTTTGGAAACAAGATGATAAATCTTATTTAGAGCATGAACAAACAGCACAAAGTACTAACTACTGGGTCTATGTATTTTTCCACCAGAGCCTTCCCTTCTGAGCCAGCCACTTGTCTCCATGTCTCCTGTGCATATAATCTTACTCCTTCAGCAGCATAATACCTGAAAATAGGACAAAGTATAAAAGGATTTTCTAAAATTAAATCTTCCTTTCCAAATATCACCTGAAATAATCTCCCCCATATACCAGTGGTACATTCAATAACTGAGTTATCACAACAGATTACAGCTGATGTAATGAAACCAAATCCCTCTGCATCATCATGGAAAAGATGAATAAACAAAAATTGAATTACATTAATTCAATTTACATAGATATGTTGGCATTCTTGGGAGCTTACATTTTAAAACATCCAAGTCCAGGAACTAAAGACTCAAGACATTTTGAATGTAGTGGGAGACATGTAGAGAATCACTACTACTAAAGGCATGAACCAACCCCCACATAGAGAACATAACTTAACTATTAGCATGTAATATGTTATCTATTTTCCTCCTTACAGAAAAAAATTTCCACACAAAACTTTCTTTAAAAAGGTTTATCCTCCAGGCACTTTTCACCCAGTTTTGTTGATCCGACTAGTTCACCTGAATTGAACTTTTACACTTACCTATTAAGACAAAGCCTTGGCAGCAACACAGGAAAGAAGCGTTCTCTGGCTGTTGGTGGAAGGGACATCAGAAACTTACGAGTTGCCACTAGTGCTGCCAAGCGTACCTGAAATTATCCCTATATATTAGTGCTAGTTATGGCTCGGTGTTAATTATACGCTTAGCTATATCTACCTGCCGTACAATCTACTGTATCTATACCCAATACTCTATTTCCTGCAATCTGGGACAGAAGCCCAGAGCAGTCTTCTATTTCTATATCAAGAATAAACTCCACATACTTATCACACTAACAATGCTATATCTCAACATTAACTGTGAATCAAGCTACTCTGTAAATAGCCATCATTAACAATCCTACTCTCGTACTTCAATATGCATTATTTTACACTCTGAGCAAAATTTAGCCCGATGACTTTATCGGATGACTTTTTATTCAGACAAACCAAAAATGGGAACCAGGCATATCCAGATAATTGGTGTCTCCGTATAATTAAATAGGCTTTAAACTTAAAGCCTATTAATAGAGTACTGAACTGTAATAAAAAGTATAACTCAAATGTTCCTGTTAATGCCTTCAATTTACACAAGTATTTCACACAAATATTTTATGATTTACAATTCATGTTGTAAAAAGCAGTACAGATATGCAAGGAAAATATATATTCACCTGACTCCAATTATCAGCCAGACCTTGACCCAAGTGGCGAGACAACTGGTCACCATACAGAAATAATGGGTTCGTCTCCAGCAACTCTGCTCCTTCTAAGACAAGAATGAAAAAGTTATAAGAATTCAGAAGGGGTGACAAATTACTAGAACATTAATTAGATACGTGCTAAAAAAAGGTGTAGCCCACATTGTAAATGTGTAGCGCAGTGCCAAGTCAATAAAATGAGGGTTATTGCTATCAAATGTCACTTGTTATGTACATACAGCAGCATTTCTATGAATTAATAGCTCTTGGCTTTACAACGCATAAACATTTAAAAAAAATGCATTTTAAGGCATATACAGTAACTTGGTATACAGTATCCTCCCTATTTAGTAATCATCTGCTGTGGCAGACCCTAAATGCATGTGCAAGATGGCTTTCTAGGCACCAACTGATTTGAAAATATCATTTGAGTTTCTTCAATATTAAAATAGCTCCATTCTTTATTACTTATCTGCTGATATAAGCATTAGTGGTCTTACCTAAAAATTTTCATGAATATTACATGATACCAAGGTATGTGATTTAAGTATACTATGCAACAAGGAGAGATATAGTAGGGAGTTAAAAAAAAAAGTGACATTTTAAAACTGAGAAAACAAAAAGTTCAGCAAAGATATTCTCTTAACAGCATTCCACAATAAATTTGAATACATATACCGAGTGTAAATTCATACATATGGTAGTTCTTATATGGCATTTAGTAATTTACAAAGTGAAACCATCTACAGAAAAATTTATGAAGTCAAAAAATAACACCAGTTAATAGACTTACCATACGCCCCACACGACACCAGAGCAGCACACACACTGAAGCCAGTTTCCCTCACAAAACGGTTGGTGTGACTTAGAGCCTTAAAAATTAGGGTCAGCAGATCCTATATAAATAATAAGGCATTATAGAAATAAGTATGCAGATACACAAGAGTAATGATTCAAGTTAAAATGCCACATTAAATATATACAGCAATTAAATATAGAATTAAAATATAACAATTAAATTATAGAAATATAATACTGGATAACAACGTAAATACTGTACTATATTGAAATGTTATGAGTCTTGAGAATTTTTTGTAATACTGTACTGTATATCAATTTCAACTTACTTGGTCAATGTAAGGTATAAAGTTCTGTCCAGTACCAGCTATCATGTGTTCGAGACACTTCATGCTTGTTTCCAGGTTTCGCCACCCAGCAGTGTCGTGAAAAATTTGTGCCGCATCAGCACTGTTTCTCTGAGGAAAGGAAGTATGCTATGGAAAAACAGTAATGCAAGGACAAAAGAAAGTTACAATTCTGGCATGTTTTGGCTCGTCCAACTTAGTTTTCCAAAGGCTGCAAATCAGAATTCTCATCATAAAAATTAGCACACAAGAAAATCATTTAAATCTTACTCTCTCTCGTGTTCCTGCAGAAAGCTTCTCCATCAGTTGCCTTGTAGTTTCATGTTCATTTCTTGAGGCTTCATCATCAGTCATCTCTCTCTCTAGATTACAACGAACCAAATCCAGTACATGTGATCGGCACGAGGCGTAAGTGGCACCTTCATCGTTTTCACACAGTGAGCCTAATACTTCTCCTAAAAACATAATAGAGTTGTGATTCAGTGTCAGTCATGTCAGTTCAACGAAATACAAAACAGTTCCGATAAAAACAATAAAGTTTGTTTAAATACTAAATTTAACAATAAAAGTGTAGTAAAGAATTAAACTAGACATGAATTAAGTTAGAAGAACAAGATCATTTCATAGCACTGAAGCTTGCAATTGATTTGAGCTCCTCCCAAATTAATATGCACAAGTCCCATGTTTATTTAGAATCCCTGTATTGCAAGTTAATCATCTGTTAGAGAGATTTTATTCACCTGCTGCCTGTCTCACTCTTACTTCCTGGTCAGTGAGCAATTTAACAGATGCATGTCGAACATCCAATTGGAGTTGGCTCTCAACATCCAATTTGGCTGCCAAAACTAACACCCGCAGTCCCAAGAGGGAACCATGCTTGCTCTCCCATGGGCTGTAAATGTAAACAACAAAATAAATATCATACAATATAAGAAAACAACAGAGCTATACTTTGTTTCCACAAAATTAAACCCCAAGCTACAAAAAGAATTCAGTAACAATTCCAGCAAAATACTGTAATCATATCAAGTACAGTAATATCAAATACCAGTATTTAATTTTGGTACAAGAAACTGATGCAACACAATATACAATTTAGAATACTGATGCTAATTTATCAAACTTACATGAAACAATAAAAAATATATATACAGTAATGTGGTTAAAGTCTTAGAATATCTTACACATTTTGCAGCATACACCTTATCAGATACATTTAAGCTTAAACAATTGACAGTGAACGTCACCTGGAAGAATCCGAGACAATATTCAAAAGGGCCTTTTGTAAACTCTCGATCAACTCGGGTGAAAAGGACTTGATCTTCAAAGTCAGGTCAGCAACTGCCCGGTCTCGTTCCAACTTCTGACTTGCACAAAGCCTGGTAACAACATTCTCTACCTCTTGCCCAAACATAGTAACCCTGCAATAAAACAATCATGCTTAATCATAAAACAAATTTATGTAAAGAAAACTAGGGTTTCCAGTTCTGGGTAATACAAAATGCTCCTTTCCATGCAGTACTTCTGTTGCTCCCTAAGCCAACAGGACACTGCTCACAAGCTAGGCTCTAGTTGACTTTTGCTCCACCCCAACATGGGACTTTTTTTAATGTTTTTGTCATGTAAGTGTAAAGTAAAATAGTTATCTCAATTCAACAACAAAGCAACTGCATGCTATAAAACATTACAAATTGGTTTAGTTTGTAATGCAAACCAATACTGGCATGGTTTGCATTACAAACCATGCCAGTATTTCAAACTGGCATGATTTTACCCAGTTCCATGCTAGTTTGAAATACATGCCAGTTTGAAATGAAATACATCATGCCATATTGAAAATAAGCAATGCTTTCAAAGGAGTACTTTAATAATCGTCAAAATAATGAACTCTTTAAGTCATGGATTATCAATACTGATATTGGGCCTATAGGGTACTGCTCTATTTAATACTGTACAGTATATATATTATATAAATATACATAGCTAGATTTGTATGAGCTAGACAATATTATTTTATCTAATATACAAGCAGTGCAAGACTCCACAGGCCTGTATCCAACATACTGTATGTATATGCAATCCTTATATTATGTTAGGCATAATTTTTATGAAGATTCTCAAAACACTCCTGAGAAAGAGCTGCTCATTTTCTAATAGGCCTATGGTTCACTCTCCAAAACAGTGTTGAACAACCTCTTCATAATTTTGCTAATTAGACTACTAATAGCTAGTCCCCAACCATTTCTGTTCTGTCGGGTTTCGAACACTGGGTTCCCAATTGTGAGTCGAGAACAAACCCAACAAGGGGGTTCCGTTGCCCCCGAGCAGTATAGTGCCTGAAAGACTATGCGTGCTAGTGACTTTACAAGAATGTAAAACATCAATGCTATGTACTCTTATAAACGCAATGTACCTTTTTGCATATAAATCAATACATATATAAATAAACCACTGTACCAAGTTTCAGCCCCGCTACTGTGCAAGGTAAGTCCATCATGGGCTCACCACAGCCCGTGCTACTTGAAACTTTTAGTTCCCAGTAGCTGAATCTTAAAACAACAACAACTACCAAGGATGTCAGTCTTATTTTAACATTAATATAGCAGACAAAGAAGTCTACAATATACAAGAAATTTATCAAACTGTGAAAGAAAACCTTCAATGGGTAAGGTCAGGACCATTAAATAAGTCATTTTGTTGGGTGACAGGCAGCCTGAGTATACTTATTTATTTATTTATTTATTTATCTATATACAAGAAGGTACATTGGGTTTGTGAAGATACATAGCATGGTATTTACATTCTTGTAAAGCCACTAGTATGCGCAGTGTTTCGGGCAGAACACATACATTAGGCATGTATCAATGTCCCCTCTCTCAAAGGTCAACTACTGACCCTCCCCAGGATGCAACTCCACAAAAGTTGACTAACTCCTGGGTACCTCTTTACTGCTAGGTGAACAGATGCATCAAGTAAAGGAAACATGCCCAACCATTTCTGTGTCGCCCAGGTTTCGAACCCTGGGTTTCCCAATTGCGAGTTGAGATCAAACCCATAATGGGGGTTCCGTTGCCTCCGAGCAGTGTAGTGCCGAGGCTGCAAGAGACCTGGATTGTGGAACCCATTATACTATCAAGGCTCTTCACTCAGGGGTAGTATACATTATCATTATTAATTCCACTACAATATGTTGCCTCCCATCTTGTATAAATTGTTAGGTAACAAATGTTTTAGATTCAGATTTTTATGCTGCTTGCTCAAATTTAGAATATGTAGTCCTACTCCTCTTTATTAGAGCTCTGCACATTATAATCATACAAAATATTCTACCTAGAAATGTTGCACACTTAAAAATTATGTGTATTTGAATGATCAAGTTTAAAGATCATTTTTTATGTATAACGTAACAAGTCACTTGATACCCAAGATGGTTTGCCAACGCATTATAAAACCTAAAATAACCCAACCTAACCTAACGAGATATAATACAGCAGTGTTAACCATTAGCAAATAAATTGTCTTTAAACATCTGTAATTACCCAAGAGCAAGATATGACCCCTCTACCCTTCCCAGTCCTCTACCAAGATATTAAAAGTAAATATAGTCATTTACGCATCTATAAATGCCTTCATTCCTACCACAAGTATTACTCTAATGACTGTATATAACAGTCAACATTTGTTCATAAGTCAGAATCATTTACGCTATTAATGTGTCTACGCATCAGGTAAGTGGTTAGGGTTGTGAGAGCCATAGTTACAGGTGACGAGGCCGAGTGACAGTGTGCGGGGCTGGGCGAGGCCGCCACGGGTGATGCTGGGTATGATACTGGGCACGGAGGCTGGGTACGGTCGTACCTCAGATGTTGTGCCTGAGATGTCTGTATACCTGCTGCTGCTGCTGCTGCAGTGATGGTATACACACACTATGCTCGGAAACTTCGGCTGTTATTATGGTGTTCTTGTATAACGCCTTGGCCCTCTGGTGGTGAGGGGGCGAACCTTGGTCTTCTGGTGGTGAGGGGGCGAACCTTGGTCTTCTGGTGGTAAAGGGGCGAACCTTGGTCCTCTGGTGGTGAGGGGGCGAACCTTGGTCTTCTGGTGGTAAAGGGGCGAACCTTGGCCCCTCTGGTGGTGAGGGGGCGAACCTTGGTCCTCTGGTGGTGAGGGGGCGAACCTTGGTCTTCTGGTGGTGAGGGGGCGAACCTTGGCCCCTCTGGTGGTGAGGGGGGCGAACTTTGGCCCCTCTGGTGGTGAGGGGGCGAACCTTGGCCTTCTGGTGGTGAGGGGGCGAACTTTGGCCCCTCTGGTGGTGAGGGGGCGAACCTTGGCCCTCTGGTGGTGAGGGGGCGAACCTTGGCCCTCTGGTGGTGAGGGGGCGAAACTTGGCCCTCTGGTGGTGAGGGGGCGAAACTTGGTCCTCTGGTGGTGAGGGGGCGAAACTTGGCCCTCTGGTGGTGAGGGGGCGAAACTTGGCCCTTCTGGTGGTGAGGGGGCGAACCTTGGCCCCTCTGGTGGTGAGGGGGCGAACTTTGGCCCTCTGGTGGTGAGGGAGCGAACCTTGGCCCCTCTAGTGGTGAGGGGGCGAAACTTGGCCCTCTGGTGGTGAGGGGGCGAAACTTGGCCCCTCTGGTGGTGAGGGGGTGAACCTTGGCCCCTCTGGTGGTGAGGGGGCGAACTTTGGCCCTCTGGTGGTGAGGGAGCGAACCTTGGCCCTCTGGCGGTGAGGGGGCGAAACTTGGTCCTCTGGTGGTGAGGGAGCGAAACGTGGCCCTCTGGTGGTGAGGGGGCGAACCTTGGCCCTCTGGTGGTGAGGGGGCGAACCTTGGCCCTCTGGTGGTGAGGGGGCAAAAGTTGGCCCTCTGGTGGTGAGGGGGCGAACTTTGGCCCTCTGGTGGTGAGGGGGCAAAACTTGGCCCTCTGGTGGTGAGGGGCCGTACCTGGGCCCTCTGGTGGTGAGGGGGCGAAACTTGGTCCTCTGGTGGTGAGGGGGCGAAACTTGGTCCTCTGGTGGTGAGGGGGCGAAACTTGGCCCTCTGGTGGTGAGGGGCGAAACTTGGCCCTCTGGTGGTGAGGGGACGAACTTTGGCCCTCTGGTGGTGAGGGGCCATACCTGGGCCCTCTGGTAGTGAGGGGCCGTACCTGGGTCCTCTGGTGGTGATGGGGCGAACCTTGGCCCTCTGGTGGTGAGGGGCCATACCTGGGCCCTCTGGTAGTGAGGGGCCGTACCTGGGCCCTCTGGTGGTGAGGGGGCGAACCTTGGCCCTCTTTTCCGGAAGTATTTTAAAACCCAGCAGAGTTTTGGTGTTTACGGCTTCGGCGGGTAGGCGTTTCCATGGGTTTACAACCTACTATATATACTGTACTTGCATTGTGGTGCAAGAGAGTTGGATGTAATTGAAATTGAAATACATTTTATGAGGTATAAATACACACAAAGGGGTGATGTAGCTCAAGCTATTCTCACCCCATTCATATATATATATATATATATATATATATATATATATATATATATATATATATATATATATATATATATATATATATATATATATATATATATATATATATATGTCGTACCTAGTAGCCAGAACGCACTTCTCAGCCTACTATGCAAGGCCCGATTTGCCTAATAAGCCAAGTTTTCATGAATTAATGTTTTTTCGACTACCTAACCTAACCTAACCTAGCTTTTTCGGCTACCAAACCTAATCTAACCTATAAAGATAGGTTAGGTTAGGTTAGGTAGGGTTGGTTAGGTTCGGTCATATATCTACGTTAATTTTAACTACAATAACAAAAAATTGACCTCATACATAATGAAATAGGTAGCTTTATCATTTCATAAGAAAAAAATTAGAGAAAATATATTAATTCATGAAAACTTGGCTTATTAGGCAAATCGGGCCTTGCATAGTAGGCTGAGAAGTGCGTTCTGGCTACTAGGTACGACATATATATATATATATATATTGCATAGCTTAACTTACAAATCTTGGCCGTTACACAATAGCCAAAATTATTTGTAGTAACAGGCGGTGCTATATGGCCTTCTGGACTTAGATTTTTTTATAATTAATTATTTATTCCCCTTATTTTACCTCCACTGTTTCTTATCCTGTGAGTAAAAGCGAAGTGTCAGGGTTTGTCAATCTTGATCTATCTTCGTACTGGATATATATATAATTATATAATTAATTATTTATTCCCCTTATTTTACCTCCACTGTTTCTTATCCTGTGAGTAAAAGCAAAGTGTCAGGGTTTGTCAATCTTGATCTATCTTCGTACTGGATATATATATAATTATATAATTAATTATTTATTCCCCTTATTTTACCTCCACTGTTTCTTATCCTGTGAGTAAAAGCAAAGTGTCAGGGTTTGTCAATCTTGATCTAGCTTTGTACTGTATTATGATTAAGGTACACATAAAACACAAATTATACTTCAAAATTATTTAATTTAAAATTGTGTGCAGTATTGTATAGGTATTTTAAGCATTTTAGTGTAAATCAAACACTTGTAGGAAAAGATAAAATTAACTGCATAGAGTATTTTCTTGCACATTGTTCTGCTGATAAAGCATGACTAGAACCTACAGCAATATACAGTAATAATACATCAGGCAAGTCTTAAGTTAAAAATACTGCTGCTGCATACTGTATTGTTCTGTGTTGCTAATACATTTGCAATATACTTTGGATGATTTTGAACAAATTTGCATTAGGCATCCAAGAGCAAGTCACAGGATTTTGTTAAACAAGCCACATTTCTTAGGAAGATACAGTAATGTCTACACATGCACATTTATAAGAATATAGTATTTTTAAAAGAATAATGCATAGTAATACATTTGTGAGAGCAGTGGATGTATGGCAGTGTGGGTCAAGTTATATCAAGCAATGCAACTGAGACAACCAAATTATTCTTGTAGTTTTCCCTTTCCCTGTTCTACATAGTCAAGTACCAGTTTGCTCAACTGGGTTCTCAATCCAAATGAATATCCTTCTTGCAAAGAACAGAAATGGTTACATCGTCCACTTTGAGTCATGGTTTTCTCACCACATTCAATATTTTGATAAACTAATTTCAGACTTGGCTCTGCCGCGCGTAAAACATGGAGGTTGGAGGCACGAAGAAACAATCCGTAGATACCATAATCATACTCTTCTGGGTGGTCTCGCTTGAGATCCTTCTCATTTCTTATGAGAGGAATAGTTTCAGCTACTGACTTTCTTGCTGGAAGGAAATGAATTGAGTAGTAAATTTAATAATTAATATATTTTATAATATAAAAGGAAAGTTATAGTGACATGGAGTTGGCGCAAGTAATTAAAATAACTAACAAAATTAACTCGCGTATAATTGACCATATACTGTACTTCAAATTGACCTTACATTTTTACGAATCTTAAATAATAATAATAATAATATTTCAAATTACTATACCCTCCATCACATTTTAGGAAAAACAAAAGTCTATGCTAGGCTCCACTTACCTGCCATATAATCACCAACATAGAAACTAATATGGCCAAAATCGTAATTGTCAAAGTGACCAATGTTTCTGTTGACCTCCAGCTTGCGATATGCTTCCTGATCAGGCACAGTCTCAGGATGGTATTGCGTAAATGGTATTGCTGAGAACACCTGAGGATGTTACCAGTGTTATATTCATTTGTTGACAAATCTCCAATTACAAAGCTAACCTGTATATGCATAATATCCCATATGTACCGGTTCAGAGTACAGAAAACCTGTCTCACTAACAAACGTTCATCATAGAATGACAGAGACTGAGAAGGAAAGAGTCGTGTGGCAGACATATTCCAAAATTGGCAAAAGGGGTTTGATGTGGTGAATCTGAAATATGTAAATCTGGATGGTGCATCTGGGAGGTAATTGAGGACTAAAGCAGAATGTCAAAGAAACAAGATGTCGGGATGGTAGAATGCAATGACAGGAATACTGAAAGAATCGTTTCTTGGAAAAATGTCAGTCGTTTAAATACTAGTAAATGAACATCCTACTTAAAGAGAAATATTCTTTCATACTGATGCCTTCGACCTATGAAGGTAATGAAAAGAATCGAAATAGAAGCAGCTTGCAAAATGTAGCAAGAGGACTTTGACAATTTGAAATAATAATGTCTGGCAAGTAGTTGCAGTAATTCAACCATATCTTGAATTTCTCAAATATTACACACTAAAAGTATCTAAAACAGCACACAATTGAAAATACAACATTATGTTCCTCACTGCATTACTCACTTATCTATCCCTATCTCACTACCCATCATTACTCAATAAGGTCCCAGGTTCAATCCCTGCAGTAGGACGGAAGCATTTGGGCACCTTTTCCTTTCACCCAATGCCTCTCTTTGCCTAGCAGTAAATATAGGTACAGTACCTAGGCATTTGACAACTGTTGTGGATTTCATCTTGGGAAAGATTAAGAAGAAGAGAGTGGACCAAACTCCTACAAGTCAAGTCTGGCCTAGGGCCGGGCTTGGGGAGTAGAAGGACTCCCAGAACCCCATCAAGCAGGTATCTAGCACGTATTAGTTATTGCCTTATGGAAAACCATAATAAAATCTTTCCTCGTACAATAAACAGTATTATTGTTCAAATGTATAAGCAGGCTAAAAACAAATCTTTCAATCTCTTGTGCTCTTTATATTTACAAAATCCTATACTGCACTGCTAACTTAGGCTTAAAACTCTTCCTTGAAAGATGCAGTGGAATACATAAACATCACATAGGATATAAGTACAGTATTGTATTTCTTTGGCAATTCTAAAGTGCAACTCAATCTATGCAAATTTGTCATGCAAATAAAGGTATGTAAAAGATAGAATTTCCTCCTTAATGAAATACAGAATTTCATAATATTTACGTTTATCACATGTAATGTTAAAAAATTCCTAACTGCCTACTGCATACTCAGTACCAATCCCTCAATACATATCTCTAATTGCTTTCCCTTCTTATTCCAACTGTTACTCTCCTTATCATTCCATAATTATACAGTATTAAATTACATTTGCCTTGATCCATCATAAAGAGAGCTATGGTGATTATGTCTCATCTTCCCTAAAATCTTTACCATATGAAGTTTTGAAGTGTCCGATGATTTTAACATACATTAGCCTCTAATTCAATATATTCAATCTATCTACTACTATGTTTGCAAAATATATTGTGGACTTCAAAAATCTGTTACAGTTGGTAAGTGATGAGTCTGTCACCTTTGTTTCTTCTACTTGTTTTGGCATATTTAATACCTGCAGACTCTCCATATAGATTGTGTAATTTAGGTTCGGGAGCCATTTATTAGCATGTCTTTATGCTTTTTCTAGTGTGTTGATATGTTTATCGAGATATGGGCACCAAACAACTAGTGCATATTCTAATTTTGATCTTGCATATGTTGTGAATAGTATTTAATGCATTTCTCTAGCCATGGATTAAGAGGTGATTCTGAGATTGGCCAGAGTAGTGTAGGCTCCTCTTACTAGGCCCTTGACATGGTCCTCTGGTATACTATCTAGGACCACGCCTGAATTTCTTGCCTTTCCCTGAGTTCTTTGGCATCTTTTCACATACTGCAATTTGTAGGTTAAAAAAGATACAAAATAGGTGAAAAAGACACAAAACTTGGGATAGGACAGTAAATTGTGTGTGATTGCACTGAATGAATTAATTAAATAATCTGGATGTGTGTGTCAGTCAATCATGTGCATTTACAAAACATTGTAATTTATAGATTTCATTTCTCTGATTAAAACCAATTCTACAATAAATTTCTTTATCACTTTGAACTTGATTATTAGGCTAATCTTCAAGGATCTTTGTGAAAGCTTACCTGCCAATTTAAGATAGTGTTCATCCTGACACGATTCAAAAATTCATTGCTAATGTGAGAAGAATGTCTTGTCACGAGAAGTAAGGTGTCATCTTGTAACTTTTTCACCACCAAGTCAACTATAGCAAATTCAGAGGGCCGCTGGCCAAGGGTGTGGACTGGGAGCCAGCCAACTTTGGATCCAGCATCATGATGTTCTCTGGTGTACTTTAGTGCCAAGTCTTTCAAGGGCTGAAAAATATTGAGAAGATATACATGCAAGTAAAACTTATTCACCAATAAACTTCTAAACCTCAATAGCATAGGTTGGGTTACTAAGGAAATTAAATAAAGTCTGCATACTGGTATTGTTAATTAGCAATGTTAAATGTCAGTGATCCTTATAGGTTTTCAATAACAGTATTTTATTTTTTCATGTGCACCTGGATGTAGGAATTATAAATATGTGTGCAGTTGAGGGGTCAAAAACAACATAAGATATTTGATGATTCCAAACATGAACAATAATAACAGGGATCAATAAGAAAAGGAATGATTTTCAAGTGCCCATTAAGAATAGGAATTACATATAGTGAGCCTACTGAGAACAGGAACGTGATTAGTATGAGATAAATAAAAACATTAATTGTAATACAGTACAGTAATTATATAAGTTACATGTTCTTGTCTTATTTAAGAAAGCTACACTACGATACTGTACAGAACTTTATTTTATCTTTAATTATTATTAATATATGATTAATTTCACTTTGCAATGGTCTTAACTGAACATTTGTATTGATTACCTTGAATACATCTGCATCAGTAGAAGAGATTCCAGGGTGATAGAGCAGAACGAGGAGGAGGAATGTGTGCTCACCATTCACCATACATTCAACCTCATATCTGATACACAATTTGTAATATTACAAATTTTAGTACTGTACTATATGCTGTGTCAAAAGAAATATTATTCTTAACAAATTATTGAAAATGTATACAGTATTGTATTACAAATTATTGAATATTTTCAGTATTTGTATTAATTAAAAAAGATTGTACATGAAATTTATAGTGCTGCATACAATATGGCAAAAATTTTATCCATTTATCTATACAGTGTATTACGTGACAGTTTCTATTTATTAATGTGACAGCAATTACACTACTATTACAAAACTTGTGATAGTGCTTTTAATACAAACCAATTGATATATAATCTAAGGCAACACTCCACTCTTGCATATGACAAGAATTATATTACTCCTTATGAGTTGTCAAAAATCAAAACATTGAATATAATGTAATGCTTTTTTCTGGTGGACCATTCAGTAGCACCCCAAACTAGAGTACTGGGGCTCACAAGCTTTAAGGAATTATACCAGGCCTGCAAGACCCACATGAGCTTAATAGAAGCCAGGACCAGAATCTGGCTCATTCTTCATGATGAGTGGAGTTTGGGGACCAAAAACAACCCAAAACCAAGAAAAATACAAAAGAACATATAAACCCATCAAAAAACCACCTGCTTAAAATAGAATTAGTAACTCAGGAAAACAAGGCAAACAATCATTGCTGGCAGCTCAGGTCACCCAAGGTCCCCACTAGCCAGACACCTTATTCACTTGCCTGGTGCAGCCAGGACTACACCCCTCTGCTAAGCCCACATTCAACTTCATACTTTCAAATAGGCGGTGATGGCCATTCTTGGAACAATTTGCTCCATGTGGGGCCATTTTTGTTCCATTTCCTGCTTCACATTTGTTTTGTGCCACCTATCTGTATTTTCATTTTCTGCAGCTGTGTGCAATGGTTTAACTGGCTTAACTGGCCTTGGTAACTGGCTTGCCCAGCTATCTTCTCTACAGAGTTTGGGTTTCCTTCTCTGAGTTGACTACTCTGGAGTCCTCTTGCATCTAGGTAGTGTATGGGGTCTACTTCCCATGGTGAGGCTTGGTCACAGGGAGTGATAATAGCCATTTGTGTGGCTATCACACCTGGCTCTGTTTCCTGTCCTGGTCACTGAATACTAAGGAGACCCCTTTCAGTATAAAAACAAAGAATTATCTGCCAGGTAGGAATTGAGGAACAATATTGCCACACCCAGAAAAAGAGCAGAGGAATTGAATTCAGACAGATTAGGGATAATTTCAGATGCCCAGTCTCTCCCTAAGCAACAGGAAGTTCCATAGAGCCTGAAGAAGAGTGAGAGTTGCATGGTAAGCCCCTTCTGCGCCACAAAGAACCACACCTGAGCTGGACCAGAGGAAACCTCATAATCTGGGGTAGAGATAACACAACTCCCACATTCCATTCCCATGCTCATCTGTTGCAGCTTTGGGCTTCAGCTATTGCACTTCTCTAAGACCTTAGATATCTTGTTGCTCGAAACGCTATGCATTTTTGTGGCTTTAGGTATTGTATGTACTAGCTCTATCTATAAATCTAACATTATGTTTGTAACTCTTCATCTATGTTCTTTTACCTGAATACAAAATTTGAATTTGAATATAAGTGCATGAACAGAACTTGGAATTTTTCCCATGCACAGAACTAGGAATGTCCTTCATGCATAGAACAAGGAATGTTCCCTATTCACAGAACTAAGAATATTCCCATGCATAAAACTGTGAATGAAATATGCTTCTCACTCTTATGTGTCTTCAAAGTTATTGATAGATACAAACTAACTTATTAAGTTTATAAAGTAGTTTAAAGACAAAAAACACATTTACAGTATGTAGAGTTTTCATCCTTACCGCTTAACAAATTCAACTGCTTCTACCATCTCTGCTTGAGTAATGGCAAGCACCAAGGTGATGCGATTATTCTCTGTGACATATGGCATGGGTATAATTTCAGGTTCAGTGAGAGACCTAGTTGCTTCAACTCTGTAAAATAAAAATACATGGAATGATGCATATGTGCTATTACAACTAAAACACCTACTGTATGTAAATTTATACAGTATGTATGGTAAGAGGAAAGGTAAATATGTACAAAAGATTTTTTCTCTTTTGAATAATACAGAATACCATCTATGGAGATAATCCCCTATACTCACTTTCTTGTAACCGTCTGACCAGATGTATTATCACGGAAGATCAAAGACAAAATATAGTCCACACCTCGTGTGGGATCCAAACGTCGATGGCCATATTCTATACCTCGATATTCTAAATTGCCATTGGTTTTTGTATGCATGTGAGCTACACTTGCATTAACAACACTCTGCAAATATAACATATGCAAAAATCAACTTAAAAAAAGAATGACAAAGACAGAGAGAGGGAAGCTTACATTGATCAGTAACAATACACTTTAATTTCACTGAAAATATTTTGGAAAAATAAGAAATTATATTTTTACAAAACCATAAGTAATATCTACTAGAGAAACCAACTCTAAAATAAGACAAAATGCTAATAAATACGCTTTTTATATTACAGTGTGAAAGTTTATCTAAAAGTGAAAACATTTATGGCTTTCTTACCATAATATCTAATAAATCTGCACCAATAATTGGCTTTGTATTTTGGAAATCGTCAGGTAGAAATATATGTGTTGCATTGAATGTTTCCCATCGAATAACATCAAATCTGCAAACAAAAAGACATTATCTCTAGTTAATTCTATGCAGGTGTTGGCTTACATCTCAAGTACTGTATGTAGAATATGTAGAATAACAAAACTGACAAAGATGATAACTGATTTAACATTTTGTACAGTCACTAGCTTTCCTAGTCAAACTTTATCACCTTTTATTTTCATATTTAGTCTACAAACTTAATTTGTGTAAAATTAAAGAGATTTAAGTTTGTGTTTTTGAATAAGCCATTTCCTTGCTTCCTGAGGTAAGATTTAACTTAATTGGAACTATAACATGCAGTTGGACATAGAGGCACTCTAGTGCTGGAAACACAGGGAACTTTTCAAGTGGTCCCTGCAGGGTGATAAAGGCACATCCAGAAGGCTTGGCAAAGCAGTTAGCAAAAAGTATATACAATATGCTCCTTAGCAGACACATTTCACTTTGCCTTCAGATGCAAATAACTTTTCCTCAAAAAACGGTTGGGGTGATGTAGCTAAAGGCTGCATGCCCTACTGTAACTTGTCACTGACAGGCTGCATCACGACTATTTACACAGTTGTAACACTGACACTGCATCTATGTGCCATTCATATTCATAAACTAAATGAAAGTGAGCTTTCAAGATCAGTACTAGCAGAATTCTATAAGAGTGATAGATTTGTTGTTTTTGCCTAAGTTTATTCAAGAATTAAATGCAGCAAAACAACAAACAATGAATGAATTAATGAGTTACTCTAAACAGCTGACCGAGATATTTATTTTGTCATGCCTGAGCTGGCAAAGTCCCTAAGAACTGCTTGAAATGGGACTATGGGGCACAGGACATATAAAAAACTATACACAATATGAAAATAAAGTTTCCTATTTTCATAGAATAGGAGACCACAACCTGGAGTAAAATAGAACATTTTATTATATGAAACACTCCTTGCTGAGTGATAACTCGGCCTCTCTCCAAGATGAGGCCATGATCCATTCAGATTGCATGCATAGTTGTTTTCAATCTCTTATTTTAATAGTTCGGAACTTCTCCAAACCATTTTTATGAGATTTGATATGTCTTGTTGCCCCCCTTTCACTGACTTTTGGGTGGTTTATCTTATTGTTGATCTCTGATCCATATAAGCCCTCTGCCTTACATATGGGACCAAGGGAAAATTTAAAGGACCTTTGTTCCCAGTAGGCAATGATACTCTCACATACCTTGTATTGGCCAATCTAACCATTAATTGCCAGTGCATAAGCTCAGGGAAGGAAGCTACTGAGAGGACTCCCAGAAGAAAAATCAAAGGGATTTACTGATGGTTCCATTTATAAACACCTGTGACTGAAATGTAAGCTCAGGGAATTTACTGTAGCAGATTGTATGTACAGGACACCAAATCCATGAAAAATGTGGTTGAAATGCAAGCTCAGGTGTGGTTGTCATAAAGAATCACTAATGGAATTTCATAAGGAAATACTAGACCATCTATTTCTTACTGTTTAAAATGTATAAATGCCAACCAATGGTGGTACCACTTACAGAGGACATACGGCTGCAATATAGCCCCAGGTGAGAATTTAATTTACAATGCAGTATGACTAATGAAAATTTCTAAATAAAATAAGTATTTGTTGTCAAATGAGTACACAGTAAGTGGTTCTTCATATACTGTATACCCAATTCTCAGTCCCAGCAAGGTATCACTGCAAGTAAATTTCAGAAGTGCAGTATCTAACAATTCATGATTTATTATCTGAAAAAAATTTGGCACAAACCAGACAAATTAAACGTACAGAGAATCTGATATAGGCAACATTCCACATCTTCTTTCTTTTATTTGTGACTTAGATATAATGAACAATAATTCTATAAAGGCTACTATGCTTTAAAAATCTAATTCTGTGGAAATGTATCTCACTTATAAACACTTCATTAAACTGCATTTAAAGTACAATATACCCAAAACACTTTTAATTTTATAGAACTAGCAACCCAGGTTAGTACAGTACATATGAATGGGACACATACCCCTTACGAGGAACAACAAGCAAATATACTTGTTAATCACCTTGTCAGAGGGTAATGTACTGGTGCTGTTCCAACGGGCCATGTATCTTCTCTCTTTATTATTGGTGAAAATGGTTTGGCATATTGTATTTCTCTTCTAAACTCCTGAATGCTGCTGTTAACACGTCGCACGTCATCCTGGCAAGTAAAAACATTCTTATATTTTTGTGTACTGTAATTCATTATTTTATATTCAGGGGAAATTAATTATTGTCCCTTTATTTGTCAAGTTTTTTCTTGCATTATGTAAGTCAATTTTAGCTTGTGTACTGTTAGATTTGAGTTTATTTTGGTGAGTTTTGATTTGCCAATCATATCTTACTTGAAGATAAAACATGTGAAGGGTATACACATCGTTGGCTTCTGGGACATTGGAGACTGTCACAGCTTCACGAACCAATGAACTACCACCTATTAACTGCAGGTGAGAAACAACTTCTGCATCTTCTCTTAGTCGGTAGGAGGTGTATTCCTGACCCTAAAGAGAAATACAAAAATCTGTAAACATCAGAGGTAATACAAATGCTGTCCTCCTGCTAATCACCTTACTCTATTAAAAGCTTCAGAGGGAGGAAAATGTGTCATATCACAATGCATAAAATATATACATTTATTCTCTTTTAAGTCTCTTAAAAAACAAACATGAAAGGTTCTTCTTTAACCTTCAAACTACACAGGCTATTTTTATGCATTGATTGTCATGTGCAACAAAAATTTTCTGAATTTTGTTTTTTCTTTTACATTGTTAATTAGCATCTAGGATGAAAATCCAAGTTAAAAAAGTCTGCCTATCATGGTTTAGCTGTAGTAGCTCAAAGAAATTGTGTCTTTTCAGTAGTAATGAGGCAAGGTGCCACACTAGAATAACTCAGTCTATTTATTTTCAAATGTAACAATGGCTTAACAAGTATTGATTTAATGTTCAGCATACAAAAAACATATAAAAATAGTACCTGCAAATTAGACACACATGGTTTGTCAGTTGCATGAAGGATGCACCGGCCAAGATTATCCGTGTCAGCTTCAGAGTAAGTGTTGCGAGTACACCAACTCAACTTTGCACCCACGGCTTGTAGCACAGAATGGCTGAGAATGATACCAGCATCTGAAATATAGTAAAATTATAACAAAAATTAGTTAAAGCAAGTTTTAATTTAAAATCATGTAGAACAAAGAAAATATTGGCACAGTACTGTAAATATAAATAAAAATTATATGATAATTATTATGCAATGCAAAATATAATTAATTAACTTGAATAGGATGCATTCCAATCAATAACCAAATTTTTATTACATAAAACATGTTAAATAATGTACAATGCCATTATAGTAAGATAAACAGAACAAGTTACAAATTGATATTTAATTTGGAGCATATGTTTTGACCTCAGTAGCAGTATAGATACTAAATATAGTTACTGCCTTATTAAATGACCTTATTAAATTAAATTAAGTGAAGGTCACTCGTTGGCCTTGGGGGGACCTTGAGAAGAAATATGGGAAATCATTACCCGATTTTCACTTTCAGAGGTTTGGAGGAATCACTTTGGAGTAAAAAGGATGACGGGGAAGAGTGCACGCATAGTGTTTCGGGCTGCAAATAGAAAATTAACTGCAAAAACCAGCTGTTGTTTTCAGCTTATAAATCAACGTACTGTATTTATAATAGAGGATTATTGTACTTGACCAAAACTTACCAATAGAACAATAGAGTGACTCAGGATTATCCATCAGCATCCCCATATGAACATTTTTACTGATGCTGATCCTCTGTACCATCCTGTACAACTTTCTCCCATGAATGTACGTACGGTCCGAGACCACAAAAAAGTAATCAAATTCATTTAAATAGTTTTCATGCAAATAAGAAAGCACTCTGAAAACTTTAATGAGTGGCTTTTCATCTTTGAAACCCACAATTGGTATATTTAAACCCAATTTTTTGGAGCCAATGCCATCTATGAAAAAGATGACTTTGTCTACATGATGGTTCAATGTTTTATTTAGAGCAATTCCAAACGAGCCAATGCTATCTTTTGTAGATATAACTGCTACGAGGAGCTTATCGCGCATTCCTAGTTCTGTCGTATAGTATCGAGGCCTCAGCAACTTCTCAGACTTTGACGGCTTCAAAGCATCTTCCTTATTATAATTATCCAGTACGAGGCGAGGTTCATAATCTCTATCACTGGACATTCCATCACTCCGCAGGTCTCTCAGCTTCCCCAATCGTCCACCGCTAAACAGATCAGGTGACATGGATCTTGAGCAGCCATCATCTATGAACGGTGTCCGAATAAGGCTCAAGGCAATGCCAATGCACAGACCAATAATTACAGAAGAACTCTGCCGGCTGTGGACGAGGACAGATTTAAGCGAGGTACTCATCTTACGCTAATTTTCCAAAGCTGTGGCTTGCCTTGGTCAATACTGTACGTAAATAATGATATATATGTCACTTTATTCCTAATATATGTGTATTTTTCTGCTCTAAGAACTGTGAAAACTGTGAAGACAGGCGTAGCTTGGCCTGCTACGCCCTTTACAAAAAACTGGCCAAGTTAGCAATGGAAAGTAAACACCCGCATGTAAACAAACACCAAGTTACTTTCACCACAAGAATATAACGTACTACACACATATACTTTTTTAACGAGTGTCATGATCTTCCATACCTACATAAATACATTAACGTTAATATATCTGCAAGAGTTTATATAAATTTATAAGCTGATTTTTACAGTTGGTAGAAGTGTCTGTGAAAACAATGTATTTCTGGGGATGGGAACCACCATCGCGTCAAAGGCATAAATAAATTTAATAAATAAAATGTTTGTTGAATTTCTAGACAGAGCTAGTACATACTATGCCTAAAGTCATTAATAAGCACAGTGGTGCGGGCAACATGTGGGGAAAAACACTTAGACTAAAACTTAAAACTAATTGAGAATTAAATTCAATGTCTTTCTTTATTATGCACCCCATACCCATCCCGTGGGCGGTGGTGTAAAGGATTACAGAGGCATATGATCAGTTCAGGAACTGAACCTTCTAGTTCGTTTAGCTAAGCAAATAACAGTTTTTTGACGCTAGTTACAAAATTATTAATGTTATATATACATGTACACATTCTCGTACATGTACATATATAAATACACATACATTTGGTCATAAGTTTACAAAACGCTGTTCTTAAATGCAAACCATGCTCTGAAACTCTCCCTGGACAGATGTAATAGGACCCATTATCACCACACCAGAAATAAATATCTCTTTGATATCCCCAGGGTCAAACTTAATCTGTGTAAACACTCTATGCAAATTAAAGGACCTAGTCTATGGAACTCACTCCCTAGTGAATTGAAAAACTGTAAAACTTTTGCCTTATTTAAAAGCAAAAGCAAAAAGTACCTAACTTCATCTTCTTAGTTTCCTACACTGAGCTTTAAATTTGCTCTGTACCTAGTGTTACCCAATCTCCTAATTTTTATGTAATATCAAACAACCTTATCATTGTGTTCATTGCTGTCTTCTTTTATGTGCTAGCCATATGCTGTATTGTGACTACCAATTTTTGTCAACTACCATTCAAGCTGTCATTGCAATCAATCTTATATTGTTTCTGCTGTATTGTGCCTACCAATTTTTTGTCAACTACCATTCAAGCTGTCAATGCAATCAATCTTAGCTACCTATGTGCTTTAATATACTGTACCTACAATTTTCTCTCATCTTTTTTTTTTCATTTCATGTAATCTGTTATCATTTTTTTGTCTATAAATTTTGCAAGTATTTACCTCCTTAAAATTTTCTTAGATTAAGGACCTGCCCGAAACGCTGCGCGTGCTAGTGGCTTTACAAGACTGTAATTACCATATTTGTATCCTCACATTCCTTATGTACATTCTTGTATATGCATAAATAAATAAATAAATAAATAAATAAATACATATTTAATCACCCACACAAATACACACATCAATAATCTTTGTGTCACAAGTGATCAACAAGAGGCTCACAACAGTCACTATACAAGGCACTTTACATCTATGGTGAGTCACACAGTTACTAGTCTTGCTGCACACCCACCCAACTGGGCGGCAGCTTTACAGTCAAAGCATAAATTGAATTGAAAAATGGGAACACAGATGATAATAATTACCTGATGGATGGAACAGCAGAAGTAATTTTAACTAAAAAAAAATCTTGAAGTTTATACATGGTGGATATCAGTAGTTAATCAAGTTGGTCAATAATCAATATTTTTGGGAAATAACAAGATATAGGTTGGCATTTAGGAGGTAATGAAGATTACATGGAATTTATTAGGTAGTACTTAGTTATTCTCTTAAACTGGTTAAGAGAGGTACAGCCGTTGACATGATTGAGAAGGTCATTCCATAGTCTTGGTACCATGATTTGTAGTGCATTTCTAGTTTGGTTAAGGCGCACTCTTGAAATATCAAATAGGTATTTGCTTCTGGTGTGGTGCCCATGGGTTCTGTTACAACCTTCTAGGAAGCGTTTAAGGTCAGGATTGGCATTACAGTTCAGAGTTTTATATATATAGAGTACACATGAGAGGATGTGCAGTGACTTAATATCAAACATATTCAAAGATTTAAGGGGGCCGAGTGTTGTCAGGGGCCAGAGTTTGTTATTGTTCTAATAGCAGATTTGTGTCGAGTAATTAGAGGACGTTGATGATTTTAGGTTAGAACACCAAGCACAAATACCATAAATGAGATAAGGATAGATGAGAGAGTAATAGAGCAGCAGGGCGGGGTACATAGTATCTGATTTTAGAAAGAATGCCAACTGTTTTAGAAACTGTTTTGCTATATTTAGATTATGGTCCTAGAAATTCAGCTTGTTATCAATGAGAACACAAAGGAATTTACCATCTAGTTTGTTACTAATTTGGATATTGTTAATTCTTAGATTAATTTGATCTGATGATTTATTATCAAACAAAATATAGACGGTTTTGTCAATGTTAAGGGTGAGTTTGTTAGCAGTTAGCCAAAGATGGACTTTATTTAGTTCAGTATTCACTGTGTCATTCAAAGTAAGATGGTTAGGACTGGAGAAAATGAAGGTTGTGTCATCAGCAAATAAGATTGGCTTGAGATGTTGAGAGGCATTTAGAAGGTCATTAATGTAGATGAGAAAGAGGAGAGGGCCAAGTATGCGGCCCTGTGGAACACCAATGTTGATGTTCAAGAGAGAACTGGATAAGCACCGCCAAAGGATACCTGATCAACCAGGCTGTGACTCATACGTCAGGCTGCGAACAGCCGCGTCCAACAGCCTGGTTGATCAGTCCAGCAACCAGGAGGCCTGGTCGACGACCGGGCCGCGGGGACGCAAAGCCCCGGAAGCACCTCAAGGTAACCTCAAGGTAAGGTATGGGTAGGGTGGGAGAAATGGAATTATTCACAGAAACATATTAGAGCCTGTCAGTAAAGTAAGACTGAAGGTATTGCAGGGAGTGACCTCTGACTCCACCTATATAATTCATATATATGGTAAAAGTACCGTATTAAATACGGGGTGTAACATAAAACTATAAACAAAAACTACTATTATATAAAGAAAATAAATGTTGAAAACTATAGTATCATTAGCAGAGTCCTACCTCTAATGTATAATAATATATTGTTAATACATATAGATTATAGAAATTGTAGTGTGAGAAGGTGTAGAGACTGATTGTAATAAAATATAGAACAATTTCCACTGGTCCGATTAAGACATTTTGCGCCCTCCATAATCCTTTCTTTGTGCTACGGCTCACAGGGTGAGTATGGGGAGCACAATGAACTACAACTCACAGGATGAGTATGGTTTTGCACAATAAACTACCACTCACAGGATGAGTAATGGGGTACTGTGGTCATCATGATATTTTGATAAACTGTGAATTAAGATACTGTTGATTTAGTTATATAACGGAAAAAAGGAGTAGGTATAAGTAAACATTTTATTTGTAAATCAACACTTTATTACAGAAACAAACAAAAAAATTACATTTAAGTAATAATGAAAAGAAAATTAGGAACATTGTTAATTTTTGCACTAGTTTATTTCTGAGCTTAAGCATAAAATGTCATAAAATAATAATTTAATACAAATTATTATTATAATAGTGAATATTCATCATATAACTGTATACTTTTCGAAGCATATACAATTTTCCCCAGTAATCTCTGATAAAAACCCCCCTGGAGAAGCTCCATGGGTTTAATGGGTGCATGAGATCCTCTTGGAGAGGATCCATGCACCCACTACACGATGGGTTACATATGCACTTCCTGGAGAGACTACATATATGCACCCCCTCCTTCGGGAGAGGCTAGATATGCATACCTTGGAGAAGCTCCATGCACCCCCAGAAGTGGCTATATATTCATACCTTGGAGGGGTTACATATGTACACCACAATGAGGCTACATATGCACCCCTTGGGCTATATATATATGTATATATATATGTATATTAGTATATTTTGGTTGTAGTCTTTCTTGTAAACATTTGTTGAATATGACCAAAAGGGTAAGATTAATGATTCTAACACGAATCTTCTCAATATTTCTTGTTTTTCTTCACTGTCGAGTGTAGTTGAAAAATTAACTCTCCAAAGTTCACTTTCACACTTTATTTATGGTCTGACGCCTACAAGCGTTTCGCAAGACACTCCTTACATTTTCAAAGACAATTTTACATACTCTGCCAATGCTTATATTCGTTTTGAGTGAGGTGATACAGGACATGATTGAGATGAACAAGTGAATCAATAGGTACACCATTGCGTGTTTTCATCTTCTTGCTTCTGTGCTGGTTCGGTGTCTTGAAGAGGGCAGAATGTAATTATGTGTTAATTGGCTGTTGATTGTTGATTTTGAGTTTTTGATGTGTAGGGCCTCGTTGATGTCGAGTCTCCTGTTGTCGTTGTATTTGTCGATAACTTCTGTGCTGCTTGTTAAGATTTCTCTGGTGGTGGTCTGGTTGGGGAGATTATATGCTCTTTGATGGAGCCCTGTTGCTTGTGCATTGTTAATCACCTAGAGAGAGAGAGAGAGACGTTGTTGTTTTGCCTATATACTGAGATCTTTTGGGCTGACAGTCCCCAAGTGAGCATGTGAAGGCATAAATGACGTTGGTTTCTTTCAAGGGGTTCTGTTTGGTGTCTGGAGAGTTCTTCATGAATAGGTTGGCCGTCTTCTTTGTTTTTGTAGTGTCATGGTAATCTCTCTAGGAAGAGATTCGGCCTACTCCATTATCACCTATTCTCATACCACATCTACTTATTCAAGACCTGCAGCCCCAAGAACAACAACTACTTCTCAGATGTCTAGACAGAGTACTACCAGTCTACCTTCCCCAGGGCCCTCCATACCCTTGCACCTGGTGACGGCCTCAGGATCACGCCACCGCCGGAAACAAGGGCACCGCTAGTTAGCCGGTTCCCAGTTATCTACGACTCCAGCACCACCTGGATGGCCGTTATTCCATATATATAGAGGCTTGCCAGCTCCAGCAAGCCACGGGGAAGACATCTCCGGTCACACAGGGTGCAGTCGCACCTCCACAGATCTCCAGTATCAGCTAATGATAATGGTAATGGCTCAAAAGGGCCACCACTTACGGGCTATTCATGCCCGTGCCACCTCTTGGGTGGCTTAATCTTCATCAATCAATCTCCAGATTACTCCTGAGTGCTCTACTGACTAGGTCTGTTGGTATACCTCAGTGTGGTAACAGATTTATGCAGTCTTAGCTCACAGTATTCCCGCACCATTTTCTAGTATTTGCACATTAACGTAACGTAGCTTTGTTTGTTTGTCTTGTTTAATTTGCACTCTGTATCAAGCCAAGCTTGGATAATATTTTGTTGTAATTTGTTTAACGTCATTCTTGAGTATTTTTAAATTTTTGTTCTCTGTCTTATCCTACAGTTACCTCAAGGTGAAGATTCAACTTGCAGTCTAACTTTTTTGTTTCCTTTTTTTTTTTGCTTTTTTTGTTTGTTTTATATGCCTGGCATCCCATCTTCCCTAGAAAGACTGCACTAACATCCATTTTCTCGTCACAGTAGTTTTTGTAGTACGTTGTGTACACGCAAAAATAACAGAATGTCGGTACAATAGGAGAGGGAAGGGTTGCGTGGACAAGGTATAAGGGAGTCATCTTGACTAGATTTGTGGCTGACCCTGTCCCTCGCTGACGGTGATGATGATGGTTCTGTCTGGCTGACAGGTGGACAAATACAGCTTGTTGTTCTGACGATAGATGTACACTTCGCTGCTCTCCACCCCTATCTCCATGGCCCCCACGCGCTCATCCAGGGCGCGCACCTCTGATATCTGCACCAGAAAATACAAAATGATCTTTAACCTTATAATGAATAACACGTGCCTTCAGAAAGTTACTAATTGTGTAAAGGAACAGTTAAATTTCATGCAATTAGTGTTATTAGAATATTCTCAATACCTAACGTTATTAAACAAAACGGTTAGTATTGATACGATGAATGTGTGGTCGAATATCCTTAAAGTTTTGTAAAATTGTTGAGAAACAAAGCCGTGACACCCACAAACTTAACAGAACAAACAATTTCTGTATTATAATGGTTAACTTTAAATGTTGTCTACAGGAACTGCATTTGGTGGTAGAGAAATCTTTTTCCTAGTTTTAGTGATGCAGAGAGGTTCTGTTAGTTCCCATCTCGAACTCACAACCCCCCCATGTAGGGGGTGCTGTTTGTATGTGCTGGTGGTGTGAGCATGTATGTGCAGTATAATTTCGGTGAAGCAAGAGAGAGATGAAGGCCAGTGACCTTTGTGGAGAGTGCCAGAGCATGTTGTGTGGGGTCCTGGGTAGTCGGGCGCTGGGCCAGACCTCTCAGCTCGCCACGCACCTCCTGCACCAGCTGCCGGGATTTCCATAAGTGCCTATACGGAAGGAAATAACAATAACAAATATGCTCTTCGGTGTAAATAATGGACAATGATGTATTTAGTAAAGAGAGAGAGAGACCAATAAAATAATGAGATACAACTGGTATAAATTTTAAATTCAAAATAGTACAGAGAAGCAGTAGGTTCGAATACTGACGTATTAACTGATTTTTTTTTTAATTCAGAGTGAGATTATTACTTGATTTTTTGTAGAAGTATTGATGAGACTGAAACTCATATGGAGGCTTCGTTTCAGGCTTTGTAATTAAGCTGGAGACTTTCTTTTTAGCAGATAAAAGGTATTTTCGAGATTCGAACTTGCTTGATGACTTTGTTTCAGATTCTTAAATTCATTTACAGATTTGGCTGAGACTGGAACTCGCCTGAAGACCTTTAGCTTGAGGTCTGAAACTAAACTGTAAATGTTATTTGTAGCTCCAAAATTTACCTGGAAGCTTCCTTGCACATCTAAAAATTACCTAGAAATTTGATATGACTGTCTGGAACTCACTTGGTGGCCTTGCTGAGGCTTTGAAAGATGATTTTGACATCGGCGTCGGTTTGGTCGAGGTCGGTGGAATAGGCGTTGAGGTGCTGCTCTGCCCTCCGCTGCAGGTCGGCCAGCGAGGTCTCCAGAGTCCCAACCCACTGTAACAACACGTTCTCCAGTATTTATTTGTTTCTGGATGTGGTCCTTGTCCACCTTTCTGAACTGTTGTATGGTGGGGGAAGGGGAGGCTGTTCACCTACTTTCTTGCCTGCTGAAGGGGTGTTGAGGAGTTTACCTTTTTATATCACCTGTTGTCTGCAATATTCATCAACTTCATTACCTGATATAAATATTCGTCAACCCCTTAACCTTATGAGGGTGGAAATAGCCTAAGCTACGTTGTTGTTGTTTTAGATTCAGCTACTGGGAACAAAAGTTGGAAGTAGCACGGGCTATGGTGAGCCCGTAGTGGACTTACCTGGCACAGGAGCGGGGCTGTAACTTTGGGTGTACCGCCTAAGCTATTCTATCCTCTTGAGATGTATTGTTGGAAATTTCCAACACTAATACAATACAGTTGTATTATTATTAATTATTACTAAAATCTACTAATTGCTGTAGTAACTAAAATTAACCAACAGTAGAGTTCACATGAACTAATAATTGTATCTGTACAATAATGCTGGAATTCTTACGTAACCAAACACCAGTATTGCGTCAGATTCTACCAAAATAAACACATTTATATCCAGTGTGTCAGAGAATTGAGTTTGATTCTCTAAAAACAACAGTGTTCTGTGTGATAATTATTTACCGATAACCTGACTCCCAAATAATGCCAAATCGAGCGTTTCTAGTTACAACTGTTATCTGGTAATAAATTTAACGTCACACGTGAATGCCATGGAGAGAATTAATATCATTCTCCATTGCTCGTTTAACATCGTAAAACGAGCAAATAATAATATTTAGCTCCCTAGAATTATAAACCCGTCATTATCCAAGCATTTTAGCCGCAACTGCGAGAAATAATATTATTCGTAGTAAATAATTTGTGTAGCGAATGCGGGGACGCGGAGCGGGGCAGGGAGAGACGCCATTAACGAGAGAGCGTGTGGAGGCGTCGGTGAGAGAGGAAAGTCGCCAAAGTGCGGTGTGAAGACTAGTTGCAGAATTGAGCAACTCGTTTGGTGTCAGTGTCATAGGATACATTGTGGTGAATCGTCAACAAGAATTAACTTGACATTCAGCCCGGAACTTGTCAATTTGTTCCGTGTAATCCATCGTGACCGGCCAGAGAAGCGCGTCGACATCTAGGCCAAGCTAGCCACCACGTGTTCGCCATTGCGACGCTAGAGCCTGGGACGCGAGTTTCGGCAAGCTTCAACTTATACAGTGCCCTATTAGCTAAGTACACATATTCCCTTTTGATGCATCATTAGAGATTGTTTACAGCAGGGTAGCTTGTCATCACGCCGAGCGACATAAATAAAACACATGTTAGTATATTTTATCACTCTCCATTCCCAATTTCTTGAATATAGATATTTAGCATCCTAATATGTTGCTACGTAATATATTTTGATTTACAGCTTGCGTGTGAGGAACTCCCCGAGCTGTTACTTTCCTGTGTTATTCATCTCCCAGTGTTATTCATCTCCCAGTGTTCCATGATGAATTCCGGAGATTCCGAGGATGATTCATGACTGATGTCTTGGAAAACGTCTTCAAGCTAAGACCCTTTTCCCTATTCAATTATTCAAATTATCTGTACTGGATTATTACTATTGATCACTGTGCACTGGATTTAACACGTGTTTATTATAATCATTAATTTCTGATATTCATAATCTATGTTCTTATTGGTGACAAATTCTCTATTGATTCTCTAATTGGTCATAAGATTAGGTTATTACATAATGAACTGGTGTACGAACCACACTAGTTCCTAGACATACTGTATATGAAGTTCTAGCAATAAGCCCCCAATGTAGGTGTTTGAGGCTTTGATTCAATTAAATTATATATACAGCCCATTAATTATTCAAGTGATTATATTTTCTAGTATTTATCCATAGTTACTGGTTCCTCTAGGAATTTCAAATGATCACATTTTATTAGTTTCCCTCTTTACTATAAAAGAGGGTGCTCCTTCGTAATTGATTTCATTACTTTAATAATTAAATAAATAGAGTCAAGCCCCAAATGTCCCACATGTATTACATTACCTCAAGCTTACTTGAACCTTCACCTGATGTAAATGTTCATCAACTCATTTACCTGATGTAGATTTTCTTTAATTTGCCTGAGGGCCTCCAACACTTCAGTGGCCTCAACGAGGACACGAAGCCGGCGGCTTGTCACAGGTCCCCCATCTGTCCTGATGATTCAAGCTGGATTATAAAATTCAGCAGTATTTTGGCATTTACGGCTTCGGCAGGTAGGCAGTTCCATGGGTTTATAACCTTATCGGTGAAATCTCCTGTTTTCTGAGTTTACCTGAGAGCCACTAACACTATTGGCCTCGACGAGGACAGTAAGCCGGCGGCTTGTGTAAGGTCCCCCGTTTGCCTTAATCTTTTCCAGCTGTACTTTAAAGGTAAACAGAGTTTTGGCATTTACAGTTTCGACGGGTAGGCGGCTCCATGGGTTAATAACCCTGTGGGTAAAAAAGCATCTCCTATTCTCAGTCCTACTGTGGATTGCTGAGCTTGAAACCGTTGCTCCTTGTTTGTGTTACATCCGACCTTTTCAAGAAATTGTCCGGATCAACATCCTCCAAATTGTTCAGTATTTTAAGTCTCAATAAGATCCGCCCTGTCATACCTGGTTTGTAGTGTTGTTAGCCCTGTGGCACTCAACCGCTCTGTCCTATATTGTGACTTGTTGAGCTTGAAACAGTTGAACCTTGTCCGCGTTACATCTGACCTTTTGAAGAAGTTATCTGGATCAATATCCTCCATATTGTTCAAAGTCGTCTTCACCTAAGGTATATATTTACCAAACTCTTAATCATTTGTTACATGGTATGACCTAATGTCCCTTCACTTCATGTATGGAATGTTCCCCTGCACCGTCAACTGGTAAAGGAAATATCTATTCACCAACCCTGGATGAGGCGTTCGTTTGCTCCCTCACCTACTGGATAAGGCATTCACCTACTTGCTCACCTGCTTGATGGGTGACAGTTCGTGGCCGACACAGCCAACTTGGCATGGGGCATCACAGGAAATACACCAGAAGTCCTCCGCTATGAAGCTAGGTGCAGTGGGTAGCGTTTTCTGGCTAGGGGTGGGAAGTGGGGGATGGTTGGCGATGGGCGGCCGGGTAGGGTTGGTAGTGGGTCGTGGTGGTTGGGCAGTATGTAGAGCCTGAAGGCGTGCCAGATCCCGCAAGTGGGCCAGAACGTACCTGAAGAGTAGATAGAGAGAAAATGTGGATGGTAGATAGAGAGAGGCCACATGCTTGAAACAAAAAGGGAGCGCAAAATGGAGTTGGTTGGTATTAGGCTTTGTACCTACTGGAGGGTTATTAAGGCCGACACCTTTCTGGTACTTGTCCTTGCTTGTCCTATACTATACGTACTACATCATTTATTTTTGCTATTCTTATTTTTTAACATTATTTGTTGGTTCGGCAAATTGTTGCTTTAAATAGACTTCGCCATTCTTAATGGGCTTGTACATAGCCTTCTCTTTTCCGATAATGTTCATCTATGCAGATCACCTACATGTTTAAACTTCAGAAGTGCTTAACGTGAACTGCAGTTGGCAAGGTCAGGAGTTTGTATTACAGTACTTCTGTATCGCCCAAGAATGTTAATGTCTATCATGCTGTATCCTCTAAAAATGGTAATGTTTATCAAGTTGTATCCCCTAAGAATGGTAATGTTTATCAAGTTGTATCACCTAAGAATGGTAATGTTTAAGAAGCTGTATCACCTAAGAATGTTAATGTTTATCAAAATACATCACGTAAGAATGTTAATTTGTTTATCAAATCCCTCGATTTGATATCCAGTCCGATCCCTCAATCGTCGTCGTCCCTCAGTGAACAAAAAGATTTGTTTATCAAGCAGTATTACCGAAGGGGGCACCTAATGTGAGTCATGTTTAGATCAACACCCAAAGAACATGTTTGTATGAACCACTACAACGATGGTTCGAGTATTGGACAAAGAGTAAAAGTAATGCAGATAGAGCAAAAAGTACAAAATATAAAAATATAAAGGTATTCAACCTGTTAGTCTGGAGTTGTGAGGTGTTGACGAGGCTGCGACAAAGTGGACAGAGAACTTCCCTATTACGAGGTACCTCTGGCTCCTTGGCCACTGTGTAAGGCTTGGGCATTATCGGCGGGTTGCTGGCCCTCTTCTGGGGTCTCTCAGGGGCGGGAGGAGCTCCTAAGCCTGCCTTGCGTGCTGGGAGGGCGGGAGGGGATGTGGGTGATGGTAGGGTTTTGGGATCCGGAGGTGTGGTGGGAAGAGGGTCGCGGGGGTGTCGCGGGATGATGCTGGTAGAGGCTGTTTGGGTAGACAGACGCCGAAGGGCCGGGTGGGACCTGTTTGTCTGCATGATGTTGGCGAAGGCAGCGATGGCACGAACGTTCATGAGGTTCCCATTGATGACCGAGGGAGTCGACGCGACGGAGCTGGTGTGGCCTGAAGCACTCTGTTGCAGGAAGTATAAGGAAAGCAGTGTCAGACACGGACAAAATCTAATTTTTTTTAAATACTGTAGTTAGGGATTGAGAGTTGAAACCCCGTGTGCTTAATTAACTGTATTTACCTAGCCAACCGTGCCTCGATTATTGTACTTGCTCTTTAACAAAAGATCATAAAACGAATTATGTATAAAACTAATTATAATTTTTTTCGGGGCATGCCTGTACAATCTAGTGAAGGGACACTTATATCCATTATGGCAACACAGTAAAACTAGACAATAAGTATTACTTGATACGTTTTCCATGAAAATAGTAGAATGCGGTTTCATTAACTCTGTTGATAAAACAATTAGAATTCTCTTCACCGCGTTAACTAATATTGATGGAGTGCCCGTGGAGAAGTGTGAATCTTAGAAATATATAGGAATTGGTAGTAATTAGTGTTACTTCATTTCCTTAAAGTCAAAGGTACACTTTATTATTCCTAGGGTTTAATTAGCATTTTTACTGCCGCTTCCACTTGTGTCACTTTCAGTAAATGATGGATTCTGACTCCTTTTCTTCATAAGTCTGCTGCAAAGTAATGTTGTTAATTTGTTAGTAGTGATGTGGGTTCTTATGCCACACGCCAGGTCTTGCATTTTCCTATATTAAAAAGCATTTGCCAGCCTTCTGACCATTTGTGGAGTTCATGCAACCCATCCTCCTGTTTAGATAGTAATTTTTATAACTGTGTGCACCATAGTACAAACATTGACGTACTAAGGAATTAGATAGTAAAATTTTGCAGGCGATGAGTCACAATAACGTGGCTAAAGTATGTTGACCAGACCACACACTAGAAGGTGAAGGGACGACGACGTTTCGGTCCGTCCTGGACCATTCTCAAGTCGATTGACTTGAGAATGGTCCAGGACGGACCGAAATGTCGTCCTCCCTTCACCTTCTAGTGTGTGGTCTGGTCAGTAAAATTTTGTATTATTCACTTTACAGAGTCCGAAAAACTTAAGTTTAAAACAAACTTAAATATTCCTAGGCCTAGTATAGTACTACATTAGGTGTCAGATAGCGGCAGTAGGCCTATGAAGGTTAGGTTAGGTTAGTTCAGTTTGTCTTTGCAACATACATATAAAATTTTTATCCGGTTTGTCCAAATTCAATAAAACCGATTTCTGTCCCTGAGCCCATTATGTGCCTCTGTAACCCTTTCCACTACCGCCCACAAGATGGGTATGGGGTGCATAATAAATGAACTAAACTAAAAACTACTTTCAAATTGCATTGTAAGTCGGAAACTGTACTATGGTCCTCATCATTCCTATAAGTACTATCAAAACAGGAGGATGGGCTGAGTTCATATAGTTCTCTTTGTAAGCCTAACACTGGCTGTCTGTCCTCCAACGAAAATGAATTATTTATTTATTCATTTATTTATTTATATACAAGAAGGTACAGTGGGTTTATGAGAGTACAGAGCAATGATGATTTTACATTCTTGTAAAGCCACTAACACGCATAACGTTTCGGGCAGATCCTTAATCTAACAGATAGATTTAAGTAGGTAATTTGTAGCAAAATTTAAAAATGTTAACAGGTACAAAATTAGTAGGTACATTACAGTAAAATTTGAGAATTATCAACAGATACATTGTAGTATAATTTGAGAATTATTTCTAGGTACATTGTTGTAAAATTTGCATTCAACATACCAACCATGATATAAGATGACAGTGAATAGAGCGGTGAAGTTTTACAGCTGAGGCACATATTTTGGGGGAGTAGGTTGCACAAGATATAGTGTGTGTTTGAAGCACTAGGTAAGAAAGTATGATGATGAAATTTGGTACTTCTTGGCTTTACTTTTGAATAAAACGCAGGTTGGACAGCTTTTTAATTAGTTAGGGAGTGAGTTCCATACTCTAGATCCCTTTATTTGCAAAGAGTGTTTACACAGATTTAATTTGACTAGTCTATGACATTAAACTAATCGCCATTGATGGCAACAATCGGTCAGGAGACGAGGCTACCCGGGATGGAAGTATATAAAATACATTACTCTAGTTACAGCCCCGCTCCTGTGCCAGGTAAGTTCACTACGGGCTCACCATAGCCCGTCCTACTTGGAACTTTTTGTTCCCAATAGCTGAATCTTATACAACAACAACATACAGTACCTGCTGTAGAGGCTCGTCGTAGATGTGCTGGGTGCCGGCCTGGTGGTGCTGGGCTTCCACCCGCTGCCCGGCTTCCTCCTCCGACCTCCCTCTTTCATCACGGGATCTCTGTGGCGACAAAACAACTCACTCTTAACAAGATTCAGTACAATGATATACAATATAGTTTCCTATTGCCGTGACAGAAAGCTTGTTAGACTAACCAACGTCCCCCTAGCCAACATGCGACCACTCCCCAGCAGGATGATGGCCTTAGCAGTTGCCTAACTCACATTTGTTGTTTAAGATGCAGCTACTAGCAACAAAAAGTTCCAAGCAGCACGGGCTATGGTGAGCCCGTAGTGGACTTTCCTGGCACAGGAGCGGGGCTGTAACTTGGTTAATTGCCTTCAAGGAAATGAAGGCAATTATTAAACTGTATAAATCTCTGGTGCAACACTACTTGGATTATTGAATCCAAGCATGGAGACTTAATCTGTAGAAAGACATAACTTATAAAGAATTTTTTTCAGTTTTATTAAACAATAAAGATTTTATACAAAATTTGAAAATATCTTGAATTACTTTATAGTTTATTGAAAGCCTTTAGTTTTGTTTTATAAGTTTTATAAAATTATAATATCAGTATAGCTATAGGTTAAGTACTAATTGTAATTAAGAGGCAATAAATGCTATTTACTTGCTTGTCCTACACTCCCATAGTCGTGTGTGGTCGTGGTTTTCTATACAGCTTTTTAGGTAAACTCTAATGTTCACAATATTTTGGTGCGATGCTGGGGATTAAGTGTATTTATGTACTATGCCGATAGTCAGGAATGTACTTATTACATTTAGTATGAAAATATACTGTCTATTCGGAGGATGGGCTGGTGTTTGAGAAAGTTCAACACCGGGCGACAAAAAGGTGGATGGTATTCTGGAAGATGGAATTTCCCTTCAATTATGTCCTCTCGTCCCCAATATTCGCTTAGTCTAACATCAGCACATCTGTGCCAGGCTTGGATTTTTTTTTTTTGTTCCGATTAACTGAATCTAAAACAACAGCTTAGGCTCACTATAGCTCACCTCACTCATAGCACTGAAAAACTTGCACATTTCATCTTAAACCTAAGATAAAACACACACGCTTCGACGTAGGGAAAAAGGGGGGGGTAATATATCATATAGCTACTCCTATACATTAAAAGAGCCAAACCTTAAATTTTGTTTTATAATATAACAAAAATTGTTATACACATCATGAGGAAAGACAACCAGAAAGGTGCTTTCTTCCATACACAGAAAAATCAGAATATTTGTGGTCTGGGAGAGGAGTAAATTTCAGAATGTCTTCTCCTTTCCCCAATGGAAGGGAGAAGGGCATCCCCTTCCAATGGCTAGGCCACTGGAAGGGGTGGTTGATATCTCCAATGGTGTCAGTGACCATCCTGACCCTTAACCCTAACGACAAGAACTTGCCGAAATGTCATTAATTTAACCCCTATACCACCCTAATTACAGTCTTAGAAGCAAAAACTCACAACCACATAGATATGATCCGAGGTGAGGCCAGAGGTGGCAGTAGTGGCGGAGGAAGTGACCAGTTCGATGATGCAGGAGACGCAGACGGTGTGAAGACAGGGCATCATCTTGGGCGTCTTCTGACCTTCGTCGTATTCCTCCAGACACACCGGACAGTCCAGGCTCGTCTGCGGGGCGCCCATCATGCCAGGCAATGATGACCCGAATTTAATCCCAGGAAATTTAATACGAGGGATTAGGAATCAATGTATTACTTAATGTATATATTTACATTATTATATTTTCAATATACTGTACAGTACAATAATTTATGTAAGAGTGGGGAAATATTTTAGCATCACAGAGTGCACACAAACAAATTTTAATACGACTAGGAACGGCGGTTGCAAAATCAACTTCTGTGAATGACTTTGCAACTTGCCCGACCATCGCTCTGGCAAGGATTTTCGCATTGCTATTTTATCCAAATTATTTCTAGCCAATTATATTTTCGAAGCTGAAAGGTGGTATATATAATTATAGCCACAACTAGATGAGGGTACCCGATAATACCTAGGTTTGTCCGTCTGTCTCTCTCTCTCAATCTGTACAACAGACTTTTAAGAGGAACAGTGCCAAATGCTTTTTGACAGTCTAGGAAAATACGGTCTACCCAGCCTTCCTTTTCCTGTCTTATTTTAGTAACTTTGTCATAAAACTCAATCAAGTTTGTTAGGCACGATTTAACATTTCTAAATCCATGCTGATTTTGTCACTTGTTGTCTTAATAGAAGTCAACCCTACTTAAGGAGGGGCATGGGGGTCGATCTCAGTTTCCACTATGACACTCCCTATACAATCATAAATCACTATGGGAAGTTGCGTGAGGCTAACAACAAGTATCTGGCTTGCAACATCTTACAGACAAATATACACTCTTTTACGATATGAACTAGAGGGGATACCCAACTGCACCCTGGTGTCTCTTCACCCTTCCCCTCTCCCTCATATCTCTCCCTATTTTCCCCCCTCACTCTCTTCAAACATGCACTCCCTCTCCCATACCCCATATGCCCCTCCCCTATATGCGAGGTATGAGAGAGGGGGCTCTCCCATACCCCACATACTTCATGTGTAAAATTTGAGTGAGGCTAGCCCCAAGCATCTGATCTCCAACCTCAGACAAACAAAAAGACATTCTATTTTATATCAATAGACTGATACTGATATAAGCAAAAAGTTTTGGGAAAACCACATCATAAGTTAATACAAGGCAGAAAAAATTTATAGTTTACAGTACAGTATACGGGGAAAAACATATTCCTGGTACCTTCTGAAGACCACTTTTCTCTCAATAATACACTTGGCACTATTATTAAGGACTTTTGCTACTTCCCAGTCACAAATACACTGTATGAAGTAGATTTGCACGCTCACCAGTGACACAGAATGGAAACATTTCTTTTTGAGGTCTGAGGTGACGTAAATGTCGCAGAATGTTTGGAAGGTGCAATGATGCAAGAATATAATAAAAAAGCCTGCAAAGCAAATGAAAATACATGGCAATTGAAAGTTAGGAAAATTTATACTTATATTTAGCAAATTTTGATGTTAAATACCCTAATTATGTGCTGTAAATTTTGCAAACGGCAATTCCTTTAATGACGAGAAGTACTTTGCCTTTATAAAGTGGTAGGGCACTGCTGTGCAGGTTATACTAGAATGTCATATCCAGTTCTGTGATGGTATAGTGAATAAATGTGTGCACATCATACATGTGCTTATCTATTTCTTCAAGGCTGATGTGTTTCATCTCATTAGCGTGGTAAACAGCATAGTTATGATTAACATGTAAATGTCTCCCTCATGTTTCCACTATTTCTCTTGTGCACTACTAGTATCACTTACCTTCTCATCCGAATCCATCGTAACTGTCTATATGTATGAGTTACGCTGAAATATCAAACTGGACAAATTACGTTTATTTATACCCTTGTAATTTCATTCCTTTGCTGTTTTACAATATACAGGGACTGTATTGCTATTTATGGCACTTTCACTTTTCCATATAAATAGCACTGAACAAAAATCTTTATGCCTCTTATTTCCACACCTTACTCCACTGTAATTCCTCACTTTTCAAGTCAAATAGTTTCCTTTATTGTGTATATATATACAGTATTTCTGAAGTGCCTCTATTTCCTTTCTGTGAGCACTACATCTCTCAGCTGCTAGCTTACACCTTGCTTAATCAAGTCCAACTCAGTTAAACTGGTTTCCTTCATATCTATTACCTTATCAGAATTGTTATCTACTTATCATCCATTACTGATTACTGTACCTGAACTCTCTCCAAGATTATGGAAACTGCTTTTCACTACAAGTGATTATGAATGGAAGATATACACCTAGAAACTAACAAATGACTAATGCAAGATAACATAGATACCTTATTCATTTGATAGATATCTATATCATTATTCATTTGTTTACTGCCTAACAAGATAGGTAGTAAAATTTTAAAATTATTTGATTCATTATTTTGGACAATAATTAAATACAATTTTAATTAACGTGTCATCCAGGCTTTCCAAAAGTTTGTTAATGAAACTGATTTAGTAACACAATTTTCAGTCAATAAATATAAAGTAACATGATACTTTAAACGATTAACTCAAGTTCGTATATTCTCGAAAAGTCATAAGCTAAAAATTTAACTGATCAAAGCAGTGAAATACACTGAAACGTATTCTAGATCTAGAATACACAGCACTCATTAATTGGCTAGTCATGGTTTATCCATAAGCTCAAGATTAGTGATCACTGACAACATAACAAAGCTTTACTTGGTCCTGGTGAGGGGCAGTGTTCATTGTTGGGTTCTGAGTGATACTGTATACAGAAAGTTGTGGCTCTAAGCATAATCTTCAGTCTCTCCTAGGAAGTTTCAAGAGGCACGGTAACTAAGGCACTATGTTGAATTTTAGATGGTGCAAATCTCAAATTGTTTATGGTAGCTTGTTGCCCGTGTCATTAGGAAATAGCTCCCTCATAAGAGATGACAGATATAAATGAGCTCTTTGCTGTATTATTAGTCAGTCAATCTTTTCTCTAGGTCAGTGGAGCCCAACTAATAAGTCTGACTCCAACACAATTAGCGTGAAATGCTGTGTGAAACAAGTGACTGTCCGGTTAACCTACAAACGTTGCTTTTCCATCTGGGCATTAACTTGTTTTGATGGAATGAAGGAAATTTTGGGCCTAGACTGGTCAAAGCCTCATCTTTTTAATTTTGGGGGCTTCCATTGCATAGTACGGAATGGGCTTTGGATATTAGGTCTATAATGAATTGGGTTGTACAGTTACCATATGTTTGCCATTCTTCGGAAGTGCTCAATATTTGGCTGTAATTTCACTTGGTTAATTCAACATCTGCATACTGCAGTAGTATATCTATCTTTTTTGTCGATTCTATTCAGTCACTTGGAAGTACAGTACCTATCAGCTGCTTGGTGTTTGTGTTGCCTTCCAGTTGAACTTAAAGTGGTGGTACATCACCAACTCAGGGCCCAAGATTCATCGAAGCCCAGGGTTCTAGATTCATCAAGGCCCAGGGGCCCAGTTTTATTTTATATTCAACTTAATTCCACTTTTAACGCTAAAGCAGAAACCCTCATCCCCACTTTCCCATTACTACATGCATTGAAGTAGAAGCTCCACAAATACTTAGGCCTGTTTGTGTCTTATTGCTCAAGGCCAACCAGTGCATGGCATAGTGGGTGGGTCTGCAAAGTCACAAGGTGATTTCATTTAAATTTAACAATCTCCATTATTTTAATAATATATGGTCAACTGATATAAAGTTATCACCACAAATCAAGTGCACAGAAAGAAAACAGGTACAGTAAAATAATTTGACTGGAGAACAGAAACTCTTGAAAGTCCACGTTTCACAGCCTAAGCAAATGTGTACTCGGAATGATGTTAGTGATGAAGCGGGTGATATACTGTCACCGATGTCAAGATTAAGCAATCAATATCTGCATGCTCATCATTTAACACTTTCAGAAGGTAGTATCAATTTTGGCTGTGATATCTAGCCAATTAGAGAGATACTGTAATATACTGTACTCATTTGCGATATTAATTCAAAGCCTGCAGATAAGTCGTCATGTGTATTCCTGGTAATTTAACAATCTGAACTTTGCTCTTCATGTGTGCTTAATTAATTTTTGTTTATAAATAGAATGTCTATGATAATTGCAAGACAAAGGATATTATTTATTATCTAAAACAACATGTACGTGATAATTCAATTTATTGTATGTTTTTATGACAATTATTCCATACCCAAAAATAAGCTCTCAATGATACTATATTTATTTTTAAATTAACTAAACCTTTATTAAATTTAACAGAAGTGAAAATATTAAAATAAAAATATAAGACACAAAGAAAGCATGATGTGATGAAATCCACTTTGGTCACATCAAGATGTTTCATGATAATGTACAAGCCACTTTCTACAGGTAATAGTATCCAAAACCTATGGCAGGTACATTCATGGGTGTCTTGAATTAATCCAAGAGCTCTTCAGCTCATTAGATACCCTCTGAAAAGAAAGAGAACGTTAAATAGCTAATTCAGTATCGGTTCAACTTGTAAAAACCTTAATACTGTACAAAAAGTTTAGGATTAAATAAATTCTAATATGCAAGTACTGTATGATGAACAATAATCAGGTTTGTAGGTACAAATGAGTTTTCAGTTGGTAAAAACAAATGATTATTACTAGCATTTAATCGGAGTCCCGAGTTATTACATCTGGATGCTCTACTAGGCAAGATTACTTCAGATACAATATCTTATGATAGGATCCTTATTGCAAATGCAGGACAACTTTTTGCACAGTTTTAGGTACACTTAGATACATCTGCAGGAGAGCTGTTTTTGTGTCAAGGGCTACTGTTGTATTTACTATTTTAGTCACAGACCATCTTTTTCACCCCTTACTTCTCTCATAGTTAGACAGATAGAATTACCCCCAAAACTCACTCTTGGCTCCTAGGCATCTCCTACACCTGTTGTGGATGGGCTGTTGCTTAACCTCAGAGTCTCACTACATTTAAGCTCCCAGTTTTAAAAAATGCCTTTTCTTAATTGGAAATAGGGCATAATAAACAGTGGTTAGTATTAAACACAAGATGTGTACATTAATAGGTGTTTGCACTACTGTCAATAGGATGACAGTAATGCAAATACCTATTAAACAATCTCAATATAATGAGATTGGAAAGCTAAGTTCCAGACCAGCTACTTTAAGAGTGAATTTGCAACAAATCTCTCAGATACCTCAAATGTGTTGCAACCAAATCTTAACTTATCAGAGGAGCTTTGGAAAGCTTAACAAATCAGGTTACAACAGCTATATGTTGTTAACGAGGGTGCATTATGAGAAACAGGCATATGTCCTTTACTGATAAAACATTATTTTGAGTCTGGCAAGAGTTTGTAACAGGTTGCCATCATTGACTGGGTTATTACATTGATGGCCTTATTGCAAGTTATCAATACAGTATAATCCTGTGCAATTGGAGCTAGTATCAAAGCTGTCCAAAGATGTGTATACCTTTTATCACAATGCTATGAGCAGCAGCAATTTTCAACTTCTGGATTCGTAAAATCAAGGAAGTCTTAATCTATCAAGGGAATGACACTTGTCTCACAACACGGAAATAAATCACCAAGAGGAAATATTACAGGTGTCAAATCATTGGTTAGACTGTTGTAAATTCTGCAAGGCTGACCACTGATTCAGCGAGGCAACTGTGTAAGGGGAAAAAAGCAATCTTCGGGGGGTGGCAGACGACAAATTCAGTGCCACAACATGGTTCAATTTAAGAACAGTGGAACATTAAGTGAGCCGCCAACAAGCTCACTGTAGTGGGCTTGTTGGCCTATTCTGGGTGGTTCCCATCTAGCTCAAACTTCCCTTTTTCAATGAATTCATCAAGCCTACTTTTTAAAGCTTGGCTATACCATTTGTTTTCACGATTTTGGCTGGTAACCTATTCTACAAGTCTACTACCATAGTGCCAAATTAATATGTCCCCATACCTATTTTTAATCTAAACTCCATCTTATAACCATTGTTACACATTCTTACCTGGTCTGACAGTTTTAAGGCCTTTTTGATATCTTCCATTAATGCCCCTGCTCTACTTGAAAAGTCCTCAATTAATATCTGTCTTTGCAATGCACCTCTCCAGAGAATACAGGCTAATAAAGAATACAAGCTCTCTTAACCACTCCTCATATGGATTGTCCCAAATACCAAGGATCAGTCTACTCATCCAATATTGAAATTTCTGACGGAAATTGATGTTCACTCTGTAATACAGTGACCAGAACTGGATAGAGAATTCTAATCAATGCTTCACCAGAGCCAAACATAACTGAAGGATGATATTTATGCATTTATTGCCAACTCTTCTGGCAATAAACCCAAATGTTGTATTTGCTCATAATAAATTACAACATCTGGAAGCTTTGCCATAGGGACCATGTTATAATGACCCCAAAGAGTGGCAATTAAATTAGTGCTCACATTTCCAGGAAATTATCCACCACAGAAAATGAGGTATACTTTTGCTTGGCAAAGAGATGTCAAATTGCACGAGTATGTACAGCAATAGGAAAATGAAACATGACTAGTGTTGAATATAGGTTAGCAAAATAAGAGTAAAAACTTACGGAAGTTTGATCTTCATAAATGCATAGCAAGCAATAGCTGCAATGATGATACAGGCAAAGCCAATAATGATGAGAAGAATGCGATTAAGCTTGGGTGTCGAGGGAGAATGGGTTTGGTCAAGAACAATGAAACCAATACCGCCTAGGGCAAACATGAATGATGATGCCAACCCTTCCATAATGTACTGCCCATTTACTCGATATGCCATGAAAGCAACCTGAAAGTATAGAGGGAAAAAATAAAAATAAAATGAATTAATACATTTAACTATTTTTATCTAAATGCAGAAAGAGCCTTAATTTAATTAGGCTTTATTTACACTTTTCTAAGCAAACTCTAAATATAGATTTACTAAATTTGTTCTAATTTGGTACACAAGTTGTTAAAACAAATCTAGGTGGTGTGTTTTCCATCCACAAAGCTTTTAAATCTCTAAACATCTAAACAGGCTTGTATCTAAATTTTAAAGCATATCTAAACAAAAATTGTAATTCAGAACATGGAACAGTACTTACTGGCCGTGAATGACCATGCTCATCTGTGGTGGAGCCAACACTTGGTGGTTCAACAATCACATCATAAATTATACCTGAAAGTTTAAAAATTAATTTAATAATCTCTCCTAAATACTACACTAGCCAGCTGTCATCCAATACAGTATATATCAGCAAAAATGTCAATGGGAACAAAACATGTATAACAGAAAATACAATAATTGTAAATCCAGGCTGCCCTTTCTTTTTTCTCACAGGGTTTTTATTTCAAGGAAACATGTTAAGTTGTTATCAGCATTACTGATCTAATTCTTTTTTAATTTGTGGTCACCAACTACCTTATCTCCTCTACCCTGATTAATTAGAAATCTTTTGTACTAACAAAGATTAACTACCAAAAGAAAAAGGGGCAAAAGTCACCTTCATCCACATTTTTAAGGTGACATTTGACAAGGAATTTGAACATCAGGAAAGTTATATTTTAAAACTAGTGCAACAAGGTCAGTAGACTTGGAATAATCAGTATATAAAAAAAACATAGCCAAGGCACAATAATATAGTACTGGGTCAACCAAAAGTAGTCCATTGTCCTAACTATTGCACCATTAGTAGTTTACATTCACAGTAAATTACTTTAGAAAAAACTTTTTTGTTTAATCATAAATAGTAATGACAGAATAGCAAACATTTATACAAAATAATTCGTATCTTATAAAGCACAAAAAGACCAAGAAATTACAAGGGCTTGCAACAAGGCTGATGACAAAAAAAAAAGTTAAGATAGCTCAACATAACCATAGAGAACATGATCACAAAGTGCAAAAAACTGATGGAAACAGACAAAGGAGAACGAGACAACCTTTTCCCATGCAAAGCAAAACATTTGGACAGGTTTCCTTACTCCTGAGGCTTCACCTAACAGTAAGTATCTGGTTGTTTATGTCAACTGCTGTAGATTGCAGCAATTGGCAGTTGCAGCAATCATGGGAAAGGTCACTCATTGGCTACATGGATGTTAATAACCAACAGAATTCCTGTTCCCGTTAAGGAGAAACCAAATGATCGGATAATCAGACAAGAAAGCATGGATGAAAGAAACTTAAGACAAAGATACAAGAGATACTCAAATGTAGAAAGGGTGATAAGCAAGTGGTGTGCACTCAAAGTAGTTATGAATGCCACCTCCATCCAGTTTCAGTGTAGGGTCTAAGACAGTGTTTCTCAATTATTTCCCTTGAAATAATTCTGGGTCAGAGATACACACACAGATTTTATTGTTAACTGAAACGAAAAGAATTCTGTCTTTGCTCTTTATATTGGTCAAATGAAAAAAAAGAAATAGAAATGACTCAAAAATATACTTGCATATGATCAAGATTTGCCCAATTATCAACTGGTCTAAGACCTGAGAAAAATTTAACAAGACATCATCGCTACTCTATAAATCTAACCTAATCTAACAAAAATAATATGAAATGTGTTTCCCTCCCCCCCCCCCCCCTAAAGAGATTTGTGGTGCCACTATGATGTTATAATTTTTGTGCCAGCACAGGTTTTGGATCCTACTAGTTTGAAAAGCAAATATAACAATGAACTAGAAAGTTGGGAGATGTAAAAGCTCCAGGCACCACTACTAAAGCTATGAGTAAGGCTAAACAAAATAAATAATAAAAACTGCCAATATTTTCATGGTATGAATAAATATCACCTAAGCAAACCTTATCTACGCTCAACGAAGCTCAACCTCTAATATCGCACCAAAGAGGAGCAAAATTTACAAACACCGTGAAAATGGTCACAATGGATATTAAAACAAAACTCAGGTGATAAGAAAATGAATAAGGAGCGGTGGGAGGGTAGTGCCAGGGGGGGGGGGGCGGCGGCCCTCGCCAGGCCATGGCACCCACCTCCAGTCACCAGGAAGTACGACAGGAGGATGAAGGCAAAGACGACCATGGGTGAGGGCATGGTGATCCATGATGGCTTCTTCAACTTGAGCTTGGGCAGCTCCAGTACGAAGAACGGGAGACTGTAGAGAGCATCCAGCATCTTGGTGACGTCCTCTCAACAACAACAACAACACGTGCCGGTCCAGGCGTCTATTGGCTTCGTCTCCTCCAATCACAACCTCACTGGCCAGCTGATGACCAATCACAACTCTCAACGCGTCTCCTCTCCTACGAGAGGTTAAGAGCGTAAATTTATTATTACAGTTGATTACAAAATTCACAAAAATATGCAATATGTCCATAATAAGGAGCAGATATATTGGTTTACAATTCTGCGAAAAACTGAATTCTTAGAGTTTGTAGGTTAATTGTGAGGAAGATCATCTCATTGTCCACAAAAGTACTACACATATGATATTAAACATAAATGTTAATTAATATAAATAAAATGCATTAGTATATTTTATATATTGGTTTACCTGAATTTACCTAGGAGGGCCACTACTTCTTTAATGACCTCGACGAGGACAGGAAGATGGCGGCTTGTCAAAGGTCCCCCCCATTTGTGCTGATGATTTTTGGCATTTATGTCTTCGGCAGGTAGGCAGTTCCATGGGTTTATAACCCTATACGGGTTGTTTTATATATGCTAATTGATTTAAACCAAAATATTTGTTGATGCAAAACAATTTTAAACTAATTTGAATATCCATTACTCTGTTTTAGATTGCATAATCCGGATAATAGAGAACTATTTAACCAGTATTTAACTATAAAAATAGTCTAATGGTTATACTGTAATTTATTATACAAGTTAGGCTTATTAGATTCAGTGTCACGCTGATAGTAACCCACACTTATGCTATACCCTTTTCATTCCTTCTCTCAGAATTGTAGAAGAGAATCACATAAAAAAGTGGCGATGCCACCATAGAGTGTAGCGTCTTCCTATGTATATAGCGTTTAGATGGATTTAAATTGTCAGTTAAGAAATGTATATGTTTATCTCTTAGAATGTTCGGTAATACGTTTATTGCTTGTGATGTGTGTTTATGTATGTATTAACACGATGTACTGAACGGGGTGAGAATAGCTTGAGCTACCTCATCCCTTTGTGTGTATTTTACCTCAATAAACTTATTTCAATTTCAATTTCAATTTTCAATTAAATTGTCAAGCAGTGAGGGTCTGCTATGAGGCCGATGGTGCTGCCAGGTAATCCACTAGGGTTACTAGTGGCCGCCTTGAGGGCGGGGGTGACTGGAGCTCCGGGTACATTTATCAACATCATGGGGGGCAATTTAATATTATTGGTGGATATATATGTGTTGGTTAATCAATTTAAAGTTGGTGTATGAATAACAGGAAAGCCTAATTGTGTGTAAATAGGGTGTTGATTTAGAGGGGGTTAGTTTGGGCACAAGCTCGACCTCAGGAGGATCTGCTCACGTTGTAAACATTAACCACCAAAGTTGGTTTTCTAAGTGTTACAACTAAATATATATCACCATGTTAGGGTAACGAACACTATAGGTCTCCATGGGTATATGTGTCAGTTCGTAGACCAGCGTTTTGTACAGTAGACAGGTCAAAGGCCTAGCCTGCCTAAGCCTACAGTGATGACCTCTTGGAAGTGCATCATAATAATAATAATAATAATTTTTATTTAGGCAAAGGTACATACATAAAGAGATTTTACAAAGTTTGTTGGCTTTATAGATAGAGCTAGTACATACAATGCCTAAAGCCACTATTATGCAAAGCGTTTCGGGCAGGAAAAAAACACTACTGACTAAAGCTTAAAACTAATGGGTAAAAAGAAAAAAATGCGTTGAGTACAAAATAAAAATAGAGGTAAAAGAGGGGGGAACATTGTTGAAAAAACAGCACAAATACAATTACAAATTATTACAGAAAATTACATTAAAACAGCGTTGATTTGAAAAAAAAAAAAAAAAAACATGGGTTGACAATAGAGGGGTAAGGTAGGTTACAGGGAATTTATTAGGTATAGCTTCGTTTTTAACTTAAACTGGTTGAGAGAGGTACAGTCTTTAACATGGTTGGGAAGGTCATTCCACATTCTGGGCCCCTTGATTTGTAGAGCATTTCTGGTTTGATTAAGTCGTACTCTAGGAATATCAAAACTGTATTTATTTCTGGTGTGGTGCTCATGGGTTCTGTTACAACCTTCTATGAAGCTTTTGAGATCAGGATTGGCATTACAGTTTAGCGTTTTATATATGTATAATACACATGAGAGAATGTGCAGTGACTTAATGTCTAACATATTCAGGGATTTGAGTAGGGGTACCGAGTGATGTCTGGGGCCAGAGTTGGATATTGTCCTAATAGCAGCTTTGTGTTGAGTAATTAGAGGACGTAAATGATTTTGGGTAGTAGAGCCCCAAGCACAAATACCATAGTTGAGATATGGATAGATAAGGGAGTAATAGAGAGTCACCAGTCACTCCAGTAATCAGTCACCAGTCAGTCGCCAGTAATAGAGAGTCACCAGACTCCAGTTGTGGAGTCATCACTCCACAACTGAACACGGGGGAGCACCACTAGGTTCTTTTTTTTTTTTTTGAGATATATACAAGAGTTGTTACATTCTTGTACAGCCACTAGTACGCGTAGCGTTTCGGGCAGGTCTACACATTAAAATTCCATATACAGTATAATGGAATGTATGCGGTTGCTTAATAGTAGTGAGGGAGGAAATGATGAGGTGACAGCAAGTGAGGGTTTTATCTAGATAGTAGACCAGGAATAATTTCCTTGAATCGCCCTAATGTGATCAAATCTTTTGTAATTACCTATATCATACGTTCTTCTGTTGATATTATGAAAAACTGTACTCCTGATATTATTAATACCTTCATTTTTATTCTTTTCCAGAAACGGAGAACTAACTAAGGATGTTTCACTTTCGAGGGGTTCAGCTCCTGGGTGGTCCTCGAGGTGGAAATATATTTTCTCAGACCTTTCTATTGTGTTTTTCAAGAACTTGCGGTGTAAATATTTTTCAGGCTAAAGAACTTTGTAGTGTTTGTAAATATTTGTGTAAACACAATCATTTGAAGGCTATTCAAAGGACATGTAAATTTATTAGTAATGCTGATGAGGCAGCTTCCCATGCAAGAGGTGTTGGTTTCTGTCCTAGAAGTCGGGCACCTCTGCTGTCTCGCCCTGAGTGGAGTAGAGCAGTCATATCCAGAAGCATTTCAACTGCAGGAGCTCAGAAGCTTTTTTGGGAAAGGGAACCAAAAGGTGGATATGGAAGGAAGGTGAGCCTTTGTTATTGATTTTTTGTTTTTAAATTCCTGTAAAGCAGTGGGAAGATAGCCAAATTCCAGTGGTTGTCCATTCACTGGTTTGGTCTCTTGTCTCTTAGAGATAGTACTGTAGAAACCAAAGCATTTTGAAAACAGAAAAGTAAAATATGATTGGAAATATACTTTCAGAAAAGAGTCGGGGTTGGAGGCTTCTATTCCTGGTGCTCCTTCTCTTCCTTCTTGCTTGGTCTTAGGACTTTGGGTAGGAGGAAAGGATGTTGACTCTAGCTTTGGCTTCAACTTTTATTTTATTATTATTTTTATTATTGTTGTTATTATTATTATTATTATTATTATTATTATTATTATTATTATTGTGTTGTATGTAATAAAATGCTGTATTCTGGTTGGCCACTCAGTAGCTGCCTTAGCTAAAGCACTTAAAGTGCATATGAAACATGTCTTTTCAAAGGAAATTAAAATGAAACATGGCTTGAAATTCATGAAATTTCTCATTGAAATGTCAAATTATAACACAACATTTATAAACTAGAATCTTATTCATTTTAGGATGTTTTATATCATTTGTATTTTATCAATACACAGATAAAGTACAATCATAAAGAACTCATTCGTGATGGCCTGAGGGACATGCGATCTGAAATTACAAAATGGAAGGAAGAGTTGCAAGAACAAATTGAAAATGATCCCATTATAGTCAGACCAGGTTAGTTACAATATATGACTGGTGTTCTGTACAGTACATGTATGGTATTTGGTATTATATAGGTTATTTCTATCTTATGCTTTTCATATGCTTTTTAGTTATATAGTAATGAGACATTTAAAGCATAAGTAATAAATAAAGGCATGACAGAAGAAAAATATTTAAGGAATTACTATTTATGTTAAAAAAAAAAAAATTTTGAGATTTTATTATACTGTATTACAAAAAGTTTATTTTATATCATAAATGTGAGTGCACATGAAAAAGCATTGATGAGCAGACACACTGTGTTACCTCCTAAGGAAGGATTCTGTTGTCATTGTGAGAGCAAATATGATGCTGTCAGGCTGAGTGACATTTAATATTCTAGTGCCACAGGGGAATTTTTAAATTATCCCCTCAGGGTCATACTCGTACTAGAGAGCTCTTGAGGAAGTTACTCTGCTAAAGTGAGCAGTAGAAGGCTTGAATCATACACTATCAAAAAACTTAATGAGTCCTCCTTGACAACACTGAAATTGCCAAAGAGCACTTTAGTAAATTATTCGTTGACCTATTCATCTGTTCCATCTGTCTGGATGGCAAAATCTGAAATACATCATGCCTCACCTCACTACATATTCTCACAGTAGTCATGACAAGAAAATTGTGTGTACAGGGAAGGCATTACAGGCCCAAAGAAAAAAGTCATCCCCACTGCTGGGAGAGAGTTATCAGGTGAAGCCACATACCAATAACAGTGGTGAGGGAGCCTGGGTACACATCTGTCTATAAACATACAGTTAGAAATCCAGGAACCTCTGTCCTAAATCTCGGTACGAGTTATTCCCAAGAAAAAGGGCTTTGATAGTAACTAAGTTCTGAAGGTTATGTTCATGCTCTTAGAAATGGTGTTATTGAGTTTCATTAATGTGTATGAATTGGTGCACTCATACAATAGTGTACAGTACCCTTGTCCTAGGATAGACAGAGCATGTTGGACCTAACATGAGCAGAAGCATCAAGATAGTGTTGCAGGGCAGCAGGGAGACATTAGGTGGATGTGATATACCCTATGCCATTGCCTGTCTAGAGGCACCATCTTCAATTGGATGACAATCGGCTTTCTCTGGTGGGTGCTGGTCTGATTCTTGGCCAGTAATGACGGATTTGCTTGGAGTTATACCGTTCACTTACTCTGATGCCATAGTCAATAAAATTTTAAGTCTTGAGGGTGTTATTAAAAGCAGAAGTACCCATCCTAAAACAAGGCAGAAAGGAAATGTAGGAGAGTATCGAGGGACCAAGTGGTATAGAACAAGTATCAAAGCCTAGGTATGCAGTGACAATATCCTGCCCTGACTACCATTATGAGCCTACCAAGTGATCTTGTTTTTACAGAGATTTTACCTAAAGGAGCATTTCATATAACTCAAAGCCTGATTTAATTTGTTAAATTAAGTAGTTGACTATGATGCAAGTTATATGATTAATAATAGTCCATTTACTAATAACATGTTTTCTGATGCTATTGAATACCTCCTCAAACAAACAGAATATATAATTTATCTCTGTTTTTATAATGGCATTTATAGAATAGATTATGTATGAGCCTTCTCTCTTCCTGAAGGTGACATGGACAAGATCTTGGTTCTGGATAGTGAAGAGTCATTGAACCACTGGATAGTGACATGTGATTCAGATCATTGTGAGGGTTACAGTTCGGCTTCACTAAGTGTTTCTCCAACAGGACATGGCTTATTCTCAGGCCATATTAGCACTCAGGTCAGTCAAGGGGTGTGCATTTGTAATTTAAATATATTATTTAAATAATCATGTTATGAATAAGTTTTAAAAAACTTTGTGTTGATATAATGTGCTATAATCTGAACTGTTGTTAGTGGAAATTGGTAAAAGAAATTCATCTTATCACTATGTTGATGCTGATGTGTTAGATTTATAGGATTAGATAATACTAGAAAATGAAACCTTACTTTTAATAAGATGTAGCTGTGACTTGTTGAAGCAGAATACTGTATATAGAAGAGGAAAAGAACTGTTTTCTACCATTTGAAGTTTACCTTTGACATTGCCTGCTGTTCCATATACTAATGACTAGATCAGTTTCTCATGTATGTAGCTATTATATACATTTAATGAATTTAGTAAAGGAGCAACAAACTAAATATATTTTAAGAATGTTCATGACAGAAACAATGTGCCCTCACATTGCATGCCTCACAAGCAATATTGGCCAGAGTTTGAACCCTAGGTAGTTTGGGATGATTAGACACTACTCTTTAACTGTTCACTTTGCCCCTGTTCACCCAGCAGTAATTGAAGACCTGCTTGTAAACAGACTGGCTGATTGTGTTTCATTGAAAATTAATAGGGATAAGAATCTATGCATTGATCAACTGAAGGTTGTAGCGAACCCCATGCAACCACAACTAGATTGAGTAAAACTAGATGACTTGAGGGTATAGGGAGTATAAATCTGTGGTTTATGGTTTCATTCTTTGAAACCATAGCAAGCTGAGCTTAATGATTAAGCAAGTTTTTTATTATTTTTATAGGTCCCTAAAGATGGAAAAACAAAACGTGCAGGCTACTGCAATATGAGGACAATTAGACCAAGGGTGAGTTTTGTAAAATAAATAAATTCTGTTAAAAATAATATACTGTGTTATATACTGTAAAAATATCCCTTTGTTTTTTCTCTCTAAGGTTGAGGTTAGGCTCTCTTAACTTGTCCTCATAGCTGAGCCCTCCCAGCTGTGCTGCATACTTCAGTAATGGTCTCACATAGGCAGTGAGACACTATAAGGCATTATTCATTGATTTATTGGTACTTGTTTGCATTTCTCTTTCCTTTATAATTGAAATAAAACTAAAGTTTGTTATAAAGTAATTTTCTGTTTAAATTTATATGGTAAATAATTGTCATGTAAAATAATTAACGTGCAACCTGGGACTATTCCTATATTTGTCTTGAAACAAATACTGTACTTAAAAATTTTCTGCTAAATATTTTTTAATCCTGCATTATTTACAGAAGTCCTTTAGAAGAGAGATGTACTTGGACTGGTCATGTTACAACCACTTGGAGTTACGAGTACGAGGGGATGGCAGATCTTACCTCGTAAATATTTCCACTGCTGGATATTATGATATAACCTGGAATGACATGTTCTCATACGTATTATATACTCGAGGAGGGCCTCACTGGCAGATCACGAGGGTAAGTTTAAAAAGAATACCATTGTGTGGTGCAATCAGTCTTGCATCTCTTGCTTTTTAGGGGTGGTGCTGTATTGGTCTGAGGAACCCATCTTCATAACTAAACACTCAATTATCTTTTGTTCTCTGTCAATCACTGTTCTGCCATGCACTTTACCACAGCATTTTGTAGAATAATGCATCTCTAGTTGGCAAGTGAATTACTTAACTATCATGATCATTGTAGTTCTTACGCTATTCACATTATTTTGATATGAAAGTACTATTATGTGTCTTTTTCTGGAGGGAGCCCCTTGAAGCTATCACACTGATTCAAGGGAAAAGCTTTCATGGTGATACATGAGTAGTTGCAAATGTCCTTCCTTGGGTGATAACTGTCTGAAAAGTTAGTCGAGGAGATATACTACCAGAGTAATGTGCCTGTATATACTGTGTGTGTGTGTGTGTACTCACCTATTTGTGCTTGCAGGATCGAGCATTAACTCTTGGATCCCGCCTTTCCAGCTATCGGTTGTTTACAGCAATGACTCCTGTCCCATTTCCCTATCATACCTAGTTTTAAAAGTATGAATAGTATTTGCTTACACAACCTGTTCCCCAAGTGCATTCCATTTTTCCACTACTCTCACGCTAAAAGAAAACTTCCTAACATCTCTGTGACTCATCTGAGTTTCCAGTTTCCACCCATGTCCCCTCGTTCTGTTATTATTACGTGTGAACATTTCATCTATTTCCACTTTGTCAATTCCCCTGAGTATTTTATATGTCCCTATCATATCTCCTCTCTCCATTCTTTTCTCTAGTGTCGTAAGGTTCAGTTCCTTCAGACGCTCTTCATATCCCATCCCTCGTAACTCTGGGACAAGCCTCGTCGCAAACCTCTGAACCTTCTCCAGTTTCTTTGTGTTTCTTCAGGTGGGGGCTCCATGATGGCGCGGCATACTCTAAGACGGGTCTCACGTAGGCAGTGTAAAGCGCCCTAAAAGCCTCCTCATTTAGGTTTCTGAATGAAGTTCTAATTTTCGCCAGTGTTGAGTACGCTGCTGTCGTTATCTTATTTATATGTGCCTCAGGAGTTAGATTAGGTGTCACATCCACTCCCAGGTCTCTTTCTCGAATCGTTACAGGTAGGCTGTTCCCCTTCATTGTGTACTGTCCCTTTGGTCTCCTGTCACCTGATCCCATTTCCATAACTTTACATTTACTGGTGTTAAACTCCAGTAGCCATTTCCCTGACCATCTCTGCAACCTGTTTAAGTAGTCTTGGAGGATCCTACAATCCTCATCTGTCGCAACTCTTCTCATTAATTTTGCGTCATCCGCAAACATTGACATGTATGATTCCACTCCTGTAAACATATCATTTACGTAAATTAGAAAGAGGATTGGTCCCAGCACTGATCCTTGAGGTACTCCACTTGTTACTGTTCGCCAGTCCGACTTCTCGCCCCTTACCATTACCCTCTGGCTTTTTCCTGTTAGGTAGTTCTTCACCCATACTAGGGCCTTTCCACTTACTCCTGCCTGCCTCTCAAGTTTGTATAGCAGTCTCATGTGCGGTACTGTATCAAAGGCCTTTTGGCAGTCAAGAAATATGCAGTCTGCCCAGCCTTCTCTGTCCTGCCTTATCCTTGTTACTTTATCATAGAATTCTAAAAGGTTTGTTAGGCATGATTTCCCTGTCCAGAAACCATGTTGGTGCTTGTTTACAAACCCAATGCTCTCCAGGTGCTCAACAAGTCTTAGCCTAATTATTCTTTCAAGTATTTTGCTGGGGATGCTTGTCAGTGATACGGGTCTGTAGTTAAGTGCCTCCTCCCTATCACCTTTTTTGAAAATCGGTACGACATTTGCCTCCTTCCAGCAACTGGGCAATTCTCCCGACATAAGTGACTCATTAAAGATCATTGCCAGAGGCACGCTGAGAGCCTGCGCTGCCTCTTTAAGTATCCACGGTGATACTTTGTCTGGTCCAACAGCTTTATTTGCATCCAGTGTTGTCAACTGTTTCATTACATGTGTGTGTGTGTGTGTGTGTGTGTGTGTATACATATAATATATAATATATATCTATCATTTTAGAAATATTGTACTAGGATTACTTTATCACCCTCTCACATATTGAGAAATACTGTACTGTAGTACATACTATAGGCAGATATATATTTATAGATTGAAGTCTATACTGACTTATGATATCTTACAAAAGAAAAATATTCACAAAGGTTTATGCTCATCTTTATTTCTCTTTGCAGATCCCATTCTCTAAATTTTTTTTTAACAGTAAAGGTCGTGCACAAGATAAGCAAGTGCCAATCGTTCTTCATCGAGTAGTTTCTCTTGGAATATCAGCAGGAGATCGTGTTAATGCACCGTTTAGATTAGAAATAGACTACATAGGTCTTTATAATGATCCAGATCACACAGAGACATTTGCCTATGAGATGTATAGAGTTCCTAAATATACATCTGCACATTAAGTTAGGAAAACTACCTATGTTTTCAGTGTACTCTACTGTATATACAAAATTGCAGCATAAACATTAATAAATTTACTTTGTTTTTATTTTTTGTAGTTAATATGCTGAATTTTAATTCAGTTTCCAAAATTATTATTAAGAAAAGTAACAAATTTCTTGTTCTCATATTGTGACAATAAACTAGTGACCTGGAAATGTAAAAGCACATTTTTGGCATAGAAGAAACTGCATGGATTATTCTGTTGAATAGTGATAAGAGATATATTGATTATATGGTAAATACAGTACAGGTACATAGATTTATTTTGTACATAGTTCATTTTGTATAAAGAAATTAGATACAGTATTTCCTAAATTTTATTTAACTCTCTGGTAGCCCAGCCACTCTGCGTGTTCCTGACCGTAAGTGTTCTGGGCTTCCCGGGCCGCCCAGCAATCCAAAAATATTTTGCCATCATTTTGCATTTTAAAGGTTACATGTTGTCACTATAAACTATAAATTTGGTGTCAAAATGTTTGCAAATAAATTCTCTAGAGAATAGCTGCAAAAACAATAGTGTATTTATTACACAAAAGTGTAATAATTATGGACAACAGTGATGAATATACGAATGTTTATGAACAATTGTATGATGGGTTTTAATGTCGTCGTAATGTTTATTGTCGGAGTATGTATGGTGTATTTTAGCTTTGTCGAAACACAAAAATGTTAATATTTTAATTTAAAGCATCAGTAGTTATGTAAATAACAGTAAACAGTAATACTTTGATATTACTTATGTAAATATTGTACAGTAAATTCTGTACAGTCACCCTACATTGGTAATGTAATGTTTTTAAATATAATCAAAACAATAAGAACATTAATGATGGAGATAATCGAGCACTGGAATAAACTGAAAAGTACACAAGAAATATCACAACTGGGTGAAGCTAATGAACAAATTCACAAGGGCCGTGACGAGGATTCGAACCTGCGTCCGGGAGCATCCCAGACACTGCCTTAATCGACTGAGCTACGACAGGGTTAAAAGGCTACGGGATCCAGCAAGTTGAGTAGAACTTCGGTTTCAACCCTTTTAACCCTGTCGTAGCTCAGTCGATTAAGGCAGTGTCTGGGATGCTCCCGGACGCAGGTTCGAATCCTCGTCACGACCCTTGTGGATTTGCTCATTTGATGCATCACGTTATTGTGATATCTGTGTGTGGGTGAAGCTACCTCTTAAAGGAAAATACAAATATGTCCAGTACATTGTGATCGGCCTGAGATAAATATGAATATATCTTCTATCCTCTCAATATGCTAGGAGTTCATCCCTGTCTAAGGTCAGGTTCGAGCTATCGTGAAAGAGTGGCCTTCACTGGTCTGAAATTGTGATATTAAAATTTTGTCCTAGAAATAATAGTTTAATAACAAGATGCTTCTCTGTTATATATCTTACTGCTGTGACTGAATCATGCAGCATATGTTAGTATTAGTCCCGGGTTGCAGTAAATGAGATACTGTTTTATAATAAAAATACATCTCGATACATTATTTTTTCTGTAAACAATACGGTGGCCTGCTGTAGCTTCCTGAAGCATGTGAATATTGTCATTGTTCAGTACTAGGGTAATACTGTATAATTAATACCTTTGCCTTTTTGTTTATTTCCTGCATACCTATCTCTTCTACATTTTGATGCATAAGTTAAATGAATTTGCCAAATGAATAATGTAGCAAAGCTAGTCTCTGATGCATTAATTAGCATTTGTTTGTATTCTTATCGCTCATTAGTAATTAGTGTTTCTAAGTGTAGTTACAGGATGAGAGATACGCTCGTGGTGTCCCGTCTTCCCAGCACTCGTCATATAACGCTTTGAAATTACTGATGGTTTTGGCCTCTACCACCTTCTCACCTAACTTGTTCTAACCGTTTACCACTCTATGAAAGTGAATTTTCTTATTTCTTCGGCAGCTTTGTTTGGTTAGGTTAAATCTTTGCCCTCTTGTTCTTGAAGTTCCAGGTCTCAGGAATTCTTTCTTATCAATTTTATCGATTCCTGTTACTATTTTGTACATAGTGATCATATCGCCTCTTGTTCTCCTATCTTCTAGTTTTGGCATATTTGATGCCTTTAACCTCGACCTGGAAGCTCTTGTTCTTCAATTCTGGGAGCTACTTAGTGGCATGTCTTTGCACCTTTTCCAGTTTGTGATATTGGCAACTTCCTCATGCAAGTGTTAGCCTAAGTAGCATATAGGGGTCACCAGAATATGTATGATACTGCTTGTCACTATGTGACGTGTAGCTTGTGTTCTAACCAACTTAAGGAAGGTTTAACCATTTAGATGCTAGATAAAAAAGATTCAACAATTTAGCTGCTAGATAAAAAAAAGTTCAACCATTTAGCTGCCAGATCAGAAAAAGCTTTACCATTTAAGTGCTAGATCAAAAAATGTTCAACCATTTAGCTTACTGTGATAAGTTTTTTCTTTATTGCACATTGACTGGTTGTATAATACCCAGTCTGATTTTACTGGGTGGGTTATGAAATTTTATTTCTGTAGCTCCAATAACTACACACACAAAAAAATAATTCTTTGGTACGAATTTAAAGAAAATGAATAACTTTAAAAAATAAAAATAAAACTTGGTTTGCATTTTCAACGTGTAAACCTGTGTTATTTTTTTAGCAATAATGATTAAATATTTTCTAATTTTTTATAGCAAATACTTTTGATTTTCTGTATGGAATTATACTCGTATAAATAATGCCACAGCATATTTACAAATGCACTTACCAACACTGGTGGGCAGTGATGGCAAAATTGTCTTTTGAGCATGCATTTTTGTGACCTTTTTGGTACTAATTTAGAAATCTGACCTAACATAAATATTCAAGTTATTTCTCAATACTGCCTGACATAAATAAAACTGGGTTGACACAAGATTTGTATTGTCAATATATTGTATTATTAGGGGTGAACTATTCTGAAAAAAATATTTGGTAATATGCAAAATGGTTCTAGCTATTAGGTAAAATGAGTGAGAGAAAAAGAGAGATAGAGGGTGTGTGTGTGAGAGAAAGAATGAGAATGAATAATTGGAGTAATATCGTGTATAAAAGGGGAAGAAAAGTTTTTGTTTTTTGCAGGCCTCAACTGTCTTGTAGGTCCAGTTATTTTCCTCAAAACTTCAGTGTGTTATATAATTGCTTGTTATATAAACTGAATAACATATGGGGAAAGATATTACATTCTGAGATAAGACAAAATTGTATGAATAGCCCACATGCACTCGGGCATGGGTAATGGTGTTCTCCACCATATGCTTCCTTTAAATGCACACAAGGAAATCACAATGACATGATCAATGCTAAAAGCATTTTTTAACAATGCTGGGGCTAAACCAGTGACCTAGTTAACAATAGCTGTGGTCCATACCACTAGGCCATGACATGGTGCCCAAATCTCAAGAAGCACATAAACTGGAAAAGGTGCAATGGCATGCTACAAAATGACTTTCGGAACTGAAAAACAAAGAATTACGAGGAAAGACTGGTGGCGTTGAACATGCCAAAACTAGAAGATAGAAGAAAAATGGGAGATATGATCGACCCCGCCTGGGATGCAACCCAACAATGGGCTCAGCCCATCCTCCTGTTTTGGTAGTAGGACAAACCAGAACACGATTTTCTACTTACGTTGCAAAGACAAACTAAACTAACTTAACCTAATCTAACCTTCCTAGGCCTAATACACACTATCCGAGATGTAATGACGTAATATAGTACATATGTGTGCTATACTAGGCCTAGGAATACTTGTTTATTTTTTAGCTTAATTTTTTTCAGACTATAAAGTGAATAATACAAGCTTAGTACGTCAATGTTTGTACTGTACTATGGTGCACATAGTGACAAAAAGTTCTATCTAAACAGGAGGATGGGTTGACAAGCCTACTAACTCCAGAGTTCCTACTTACTTGCAGGTTGAACATGTGCATTAGGTGAAAGGAAATGTGTCTAATTATTTCAGTCCCGCCCTAGATTCGAACCCGGAATTCTTGATTGTCCGTCGAGAACCAACCCGACATTATTAAATAGTGTGGGTTTATGTATAGTTAGGTCTAGCTAGTTTAAGGTAGGTAAGGTGTTTTGGTTAAGTTTAGAGCATACGTTGTCACTATACGCTGAACGTGAACGAAACACGTTTCGAATCATAACCTCGAACATAACTCGGTGGCCTATAAGTCCAAATATTGACTTGTGTAGGTTGTATTTGACTTAAACGTTGCGAACCTAACAACCTTTTGTTTTGATGATAGGCTGAAGGGTCTTGGAGTAAGTACACCTGGCTCCGTTCTTGACTCTCAGTCCCACGAGCATTACTTAGTGGGCCTCTGGGCCAGCCAGAGGCTTAGGGCCCGCGCAGGAATTTCCCTCCTCCCCACCCCCCCCCACACACACAAAAAATAAGTCCCACGAGTTACAGCCCCTTTCCCGTGCCAAGTAAATCCACTGCGGGCTCACCATAGCCCGTGCTACTTGCAACTTAGTTCCCAGTAGCTGAATCTAAAACAATAGCAACTCTCAGTCGGGGATCCCGGGCGGGACAGAAATTGTTTGGCACATGTCCTTTCATCTAATGCCGCTGTTCCCAGACTGAGTCTAAAACTGATATACATAGCCATTTTAACCTATCTTAAATGGTATCCATAGAGTTCTATAGTATCTACTTATAAATAAATAAATAAATGTTTATTTAGGTAAGGTACATACATAAAGAGATTTTACAAAGTTTGTTGGTAGAGCTAGTACATACAATGCCTAAAGCCACTGACTTTTCATGTTGAATTTTCAAGTGCTTGAGGAGTCGAGTTTGAATCACATACAATAATTCATCCTGAATTGTGGACTTTATTAGTGCTGGTTGTGGTGCTCAAGCGATCATTTTTTTCGCCAAAAGTTCCAACTTTTGGCTTTTTGTTTGGCAAAAGTTTGGCAACTTTTGGCTACTAAAACCTCTTAAATCTTTTGATAACATTTTTCCTAAGATAAAGGCAACCTGGGTGTGGTGGTATTATATGAAATTAGTATTTAGGAGATAGCAGGTGAAATAATAAAATGGATTCAGGCACCGCCCAGTCCATTTGATTTGATTCCGCGCCGACGCCAGTGCCGCGCCTTGAGAAGATTCCAACAAGAAATTATTGACCGGGAAATGCTAAAATAGCACTTACAAGTAATAACGAGTTGTTTATGCAGGTAATGATACTGAAGCATTATATTAAATTAGTTTTAGATGCAAGCTCTTTTACGAAGATTGACTATTAGTGTTTAATATAATACTAGTTAAAACAATAATAACAGATATATTCACTAATTGGTAACGAAGTGTATCCATGCACAGTGTACGATGTTTATCGAGCTAGCCCGTTAACTGGTATGACATAAATATATCTGAATTTTCCTGAGGACCACTAACACAACAACTAACACTAGAGGCCTCGACAAGGACAGGCTTGTCAAAGATCCCCCCATTTGTCCTGGTGATTTTTATAGTGATGGATTTAACAAATCGGCAGGGTTTTGGCATTACCTGCCTGGAACACGAAAAAGAGATCGAAATACCTATATAGCATTCCTGAATTTACAAGAGAGCCACTAACAAATATTTTTAAATCAGTCTCATAATAGGGTTGGTTTCCGTTTCCAAATCTGTGATACAGGCTGCTTTGCTTTGTAGCTAAGCTTGTTAGAAAAAAATGTACAGTGCATGGCTACTTCTAGACTCAGAAATCGCAAGTGAGACTTGTGGTGTTGCATTGTGACCTTTCTCAGTATGCAACACCACAGAGTATATTATGCCAATAATATACCCGCTCGAAACTCTCAGTAGCTTAATGAGATGGGTATGTTAAGTCTACGTAATCCACTAATTACAATTAATACCTTTTCCCAATGTACAGTTCACACCTTTTCCCTAACCAGTAAGGCATTTAAGAACGAAAATCTTTTAAGACGCTGAATCTTCGACACAGAGCAGACAGCCAGACTACGACCGCATCGAGCTTTTCACGCTCTTGTTCCTGGCACCATCGAGCTCCCACGCTCTTGGCCCCCTCAAGCTCTTGGCCCTCCTTAAGCTCTCACGCTCTTGGCCCTCCTTAAGTTCTCATGCTCTTGGCCCCCTCGAGCTCCCACGCTCTTGGCCCCCTCGAGCTCCCACGCTCTTGGCCCCCTCGACTCCTCCTCTCTTGGGCTGGACGGTAGAGCGACGGTCTCGCTTCATGCAGGTTAGCGTTCAATCCCGGACCGTCCAAGTGGTTGGGCACCATTCCTTCCCCCTGTCCCATCCCAAATCCTTATCCTGACCCTTTCCCAGTGCTATATAATCGTAATGACTTGGCGCTTTTCTCTGAAAATTCTCTTCCCTTGCCCCCCCTATCGAGCTCCCAAGCTCTTGACCTCCTCGAGCTCCCACGCTCTCGTCTCGCATCGAGCTCCTCGACTCCAGCTGCATTTAGCTCTGCTCTGCTCCAGATTGATTGATTGATGAAGATTAAGCCACCCAAAAGGTGGCACGAGCATGAATAGCCCGTAAGTGGTGGCCCTTTTGAGCCATTACCAGTATCAAGAGCTGATACTGGAGATCTGTGGAGGTGCGACTGCGTCTCTCTGCTCCAGGCTTCGTCGCAACGTTTATGGTACTGCCAACAATCGACTACTGTAACCAAGCCTACTAAATAAATATGAAAACCCACTAAACACTGTGTCTCTAATCTACCCAACAACGTAACATAATCGTACGTTACAAACTTATAGTTAGTTGTTTGGACAGTGGGTTGGTTTTTGTATTGAGGCAGGTATTTTCTCCCCTGATTCCATGTATGACTAACCATCCTGTGAGATGGGAATATTAGATGAACTTATAACTAGTTTTTGATCTACACTGTGTAATTTTTCATATATAATAGGGTAGTAGCACATTGCTGTGTATACCTAAGTTTGTTAATTAAAAAAATCATATCGGGGATGTTGTACAGGCTGCTATCGCGGCGTGTTCACGGGGGTCTGGTAGCTGGGTGAACATCGCGCAGGACTCGTAATTCTGTGGCCCGGGTTTGATTCCCGGACCAGGCAGAAACACATGAGGCAAAGTTTCTTTCACCCTGAATGCCCCCTGTTACCTAGCAGTAAATAGGTACCTGGGAGTTAGACAGTTGTTACGGAGCTGCTGCCTGTGTGTGTGTGAAAAAAATAGTAACATTAGTAAAAGGCGGGCCGAAAGAGCAAAGCTCAACCCCCACAAGCACAACTAGATGAATACAACTAGGTGAATACAGGATGAGTGACGTTGCACAATAAACTAGTCCTCCGGGGTCAAAATTTAAGATAAATTGAAATTGAAATTGAAATAAGTTTATTGAAGTAAAATACACACAAAGGGATGAGGTAGCTCAAGCTATTCTCACCCCGTTCAGTACATCGTGTTAATACATACATAGATACACATCACAAGCAATAAACGTATTACCGAACATTCTGAGAGATAAACATATACATTTCCTCCTTTACACAAGTAGTATGGTATCAGACGTACACACAAATACTATTATGACCTAGGTATACTGTATAGACAATTTGCAAGAGACATGTAGATAATTCAAAAAAAGATTACAGTCTTGGTGCAAAATTCTTGTATCTCTCAAGAATATCATCAACCTTTCTGTTGATTTAAGATAAAAGTAATTAAGAGCTAGTGTGAAAGCGGGTCGGGTACGGTAGTCGTCGTCTAGGTACGAGGTTTAGGTCTCCTCGACCCGCTAAATTTTGGAACTATTCATAGCGTCGTTACCCGATTACTGACGTTAGTATCAGCTACCTTCCCAAATCCCGCCAAAATGGTTCGAGCTACGCAAAAGACGTGAGTTTGAAGCACTCTGTAAAATTAGCCTTTCACTAAAGACCAGTGTTGGCGGTTTGATTAGGTGGTTACCTGAGTTTGTGGCTGAAAAAATGAATTCGCCGCCCGAGCCACAGAGGTGTCGTCTTAAGTTCATGTTTGTTTACCTCGTTCATTTGCATATCCTCGAGTGTCTGGGATGCCTGGACGGCCAGCAGACCTGGAATTAGAAATGGAAAATGAGGACTTTGGGTTAACGGTCCTTGGAGAGGCTGGGGAAGGGTCCCTGGCCCAGACAACATGCATGACAAGGTTTGGTCCAACTGTCGTAATCATTCCCACTACCTCGCACGGGCTGGCTATGGCTGCATAGTTTGTTGTTATAGATTCAGCTACTCGGAACAAGTTCCAAGTAGCACGGGCTATGATGAGCCCGTAAATTACCTGGTACAGGAGCGGGGCAAGTAGCATGGGCTATGGTGAACCCGTAGTGGACTTACCTGGCACAGGAGCGGTGCTGAATGTGCTGTATGAGCTTCTGTAAATGATGCATAGTAAATGGACGGATAGTAAATGAACACAATTAAATATCATCTCATCTTGCAACATTTCTTCAACTTTTTGGAATATTTATCAGTTATACATGACAATTAATTTTAAGCACTTCAAAAAAATAAAAAAATATAGAGTATATTTCAAAATAATAATTTAAATTAAAGGTAACTGCCTGGTTGCCGGATCAGTCCGGCAACCAGGAGGCCTGGTCGACGACCGGGGCCACGGGGACGCTAAGCCCCGGAAGCACCTCAAGGTAACCTCAAGGTAAGGTACATACACATGCTTAAAACTTGTAGTTGTTAATTGTAAGGTTTTGTTTTAAAACATTTGTGTTTATTATTATTTTGTGCACTTACAGTAAACAGTACTACATTCTTCAAAAAATGTGTTGATTTTTATTATGAGTTAAGTTAGATTTTAAAATCTGTGTGGAAACTGTCTCCTTTACAAAGTGAGTTGTAGGTTATACCATTCTTGATGCACCACTACACAAATACTTGCCACTAGATACTAAGTCCCCTAGATACACAACTTTACGCAGTTCGATGCAAGAAGTTTCCAGAGCATGCTGTACTGAAGTAAATTTACAGTACGGTATAGAAATATCATGGGTCAACTGCGTCACATAACAATTAGGTTAGGCTAGAATTAGTTTACTTTTATTATACAGTACTGTATTAGGGTTGGTTAGGTTTAGTGACTTGCAAACAGGCGACTCTCCATTACCATTTTTCTCCCGGAAACGGAAAATAATGATTTAATCCATTTAATTAACCTAACAGTGGCCGAATCATTTAGCCTTTGACTTGCCAAATCAGTTACTGTTTTGGCAAGTTCAAACTTTGGCCCTGTTACTCATCCTGTAACTTAGGAAATTACAGTACAGGTATATAACGTATAAAATTTTTTTTTTTAGAAAGACGAAAATAATAACTTCTACACCAAAAAAAGGTGCGAGAGAACCAATATCAACACCAGCAGGCCTGACTCCATCTACAAAGCGCAGGAAGTCTAACAGCTTTTATCGTAAAAAAGTGAGTTAATTTTGGTTAATTTAATAATGGTTACTTTGCATTTGCTAATTTTGCATATGCATGTATGCTTCTTAAGCTGGTGGGTAGCTCCTGACACACCATCTGACTATTAAAATATATTTTCCAACAACCGTTTCAATACAAATATATGATTTGTGCAACATAATCTACCTCGAAATCCACCATATTTCTTAACAGTTACATAGGCATGCTATTGCTTCATTCACTACAGTACAGTATTATCCCCATTTCTTCCGACATACACTCCCTGCCTCTTCTCAACACCATTTCCTCATCTCCCTGATCACACGCACACTTATCCCTGTCTCCTCCATCCCTAACCACCCATGCCTTTTCCTCATCTCCTTCGTCACTGCTCAAACTCTTACCCCCGCCCACACACACCCTACCCTTGTCTCCTTCCTCCCTGCCCATATGATCATTTCTCCAGTCTCCTCCCTTCCTGGCCACACACACACATACACAGGGAATTGGTGGGGGAATTTTCCCCCATCTCTTCCCTTAATGGCCTTACACACCTTTCAACATGTCCTTCTCTCTTGCCCACACATGTCCTTCTCTCGTCTCCTTCCTCCTTGTCCCCACATAGTGTCTTTTTCCCTACCCTATCCACACACTTTCCCCCCCCCCATCAATGTAACCGAAAGATTGTCCAGAATGCAAATCTCTCATCTAAACACATGTTTTGAAAATCAGTATGTACAGTATATGCTTAGAAATAGTTAAAAAAAAATTGACAAAGTAATATTATAAGCAGATAGTTACTGAAACAATTAATTCATATCTAATTTCTTACTCAGTCCAAGACCCCCAAGAGCCCTGTTGAGCAGAAGCGAAAGCACCGGTTTCGTCCTGGAACAGTTGCCTTGCAGGAAATCCGCCATTACCAGAAAGGAGCAGGACTCTTGGTCCCAAAATTGCCATTTTCTCGACTCATCCGGGAGGTCTTGAATGAGCAGGGCAAGGAATACAGGTTTGTTCTTAAATATTATTTCAATTTCACTCGAGGTGCTGTAACTCGTCAAAATACTGTACTGTAAAATAAATGTCTTATTTTGCACGTCATTACCACTGTACGGAAAAATATCTATACAGTACTATAATTCCCACATCTGTTTTCTGAAATGTAGGTACAGGTACAGTGTAACCTTGATTAGGTGAACTACTGGATTTGGAACCAGCCCCAATTTGTTGGAGTGAGGGATTTGTTGCAACCAGAGGCAATTATGTAATGCATTTTTATAGTATAAATTGAGAATAATTCATTGTTATATACAGTACTACTAAACTGTACAACAATAAATCATACTGTATCATTATATACCTTAGAAAAGGCATACTGTATACAGTACGTGTATTTTGCTAGACTCCTCTTGAGGCACCACTTGTAATTATAAACACCTTGTGTGTGACTGTTACAACGGATGTGTCAGTAACTGTAAACAAACATTGCTACCCCCCCCCCCTACCTTGCTGGATACCAATCTGAGGGAGGGAGGGGGGAGGCTTTAAGTGAGGGAGAGAGGCAGTGAAGGAGAAAGGCAGTGAGGGAAGGAGACAGTGAGGGAGGGTGATTTCAATGAGGAAAATTTTAATTTATATCTCAAATGAAGGAAATTTAACATTTTATCCTGTGGCATGATGTGAAATATTTCCACCAGTGTGTGAACCGTCCCAACATTATAAGCAAATGCGCACATCCCCCATTTCGGTGAACCAAAATTCGTCGAGTTGAGCGAATAAATCCGGCCTGAAAAGTGTGCGTCTTAACCGGAGATTTACTGAATCGAGGTTGTACTGTATTTGTGGAACACAGTCAGCATTATTGTCCTACAGGAGTTTGCCCACAGTGTTCACAACACCATGTATCCTACCAGCTACATAACAATGTTGGCCAGGAGAGTTATGTAGCCCTCTATGCACACACAGTTGAACATGATTACCATACCATTGGTAATCACAGTTGAACATGATGGTATTCATGTTCATGGCCAAGGGGGGGAGGGGAGAGGGTCTCCAGCAACACGCTGGCAGGGGGATGTCTCCAGCAACACGCTGGCAGGGGAAGTGGGGGGGGGGTTCCAGCAACACGCTGGCATGGGGAGTCTCCAGCAACACACTAGTAGGTTTCCACACACAGGCTTCAATTATAACAAGCCTTATCAGACGGATATTAATCCTATCTTGTAACTCAACTTGGCCATCCAGGGATACATCAGTTCAATCACCAGTACTTCACTAAGTATCACAGACAAATCACAGTCTACACAAACTCGCCCGCGTGTTCCCACTGGAACACGTCTTTAGTTCAGGACTGCCCTGGGTGAACTGATTCCTGTCGACCTAGGTACCACCCACATCTCTTCTGAGTAAAAGATGAATAGTAAGAAGGAAACTACACAAGGGTCAATAAGATGACAGCCTTCCACCAGGGCACAGAAAATGGGGTCGGGTGTGCTCAACAGGTGGTGTTGACATAATCATACCGCCCTTCCTAAAAGAATTGGGGTTGGGTGCTCTCAACAGACGACATCAACGTCGTCACACACTTAATGGACCAAATCTGTTACACTGCTGCTTGACCATTTTTTGCGCTCACTTGAGTTTGGCTATTGGCAGAGTATGTCCCATCAGTCCTTTCATTGTATGCCTTGGTACAGGTATAGTAGGGTGGTATCTTGAGTGCCTTCTGGTCTGCTGGGTTCTGGTTGTCTCTGTCTTATAGTCTTTACCCTCTGGTGTCTTGGTGGCCTACTACACCATCTCCTCTGCTCAGCAGTATTAGTCGAGGCCATACTTGCAGTGCCCTGTTCTTACAAAGGGTCTCTTAATTATTATGGTGAGTTCTGAAGCCTCACTTGAGTCTGGATAAGTTGCTTCTCCATGAGATCATTCCTTCTCCTGCATTCTGGTTAGATCAGTGTATCACAGTTTCTCCAGGTGGTTTCGAGCACCTGTATCTAGGTTTGTTTGCCTGGTTCTCTGGAATTGCCCATTGGCATACATTCCTTCCTGCATTGCCAGTTTGAAGCCTCTCGTGTACTACTATTAGGCTTTAAAGTTTGGTCAATTGGCCCTTGAATCTTTTCCCGTCTGATTTCTCTGATACAGTATTACAGGTACTTCTTCGTCTTCAAGTGATTTGCATTAACTCCTCAAGGAAAGACAAAAATGTGCAAATTTATAAATGGAAATAGTTTATGAAATACCCTGTACAGTATTTGAAGAATTAAAAGTTTGTGTAACAGTTACTTATTTAAGGTTAAAAAGTTCTATGTATTTGGCATGATTTTACCTTATTAATTTAAAGTGTATCTCTGGAATCTAATGTGAAATTCTTTGCCATTTTATTATAAAACGTGTATAAAAAGGTATCCTTTCCTTTACAGAATCCAGACCTTAGCACTAATGGCTCTTCAAGAAGCAGCCGAGTGTTATATTATTGGATTGTTGGAAATGGCTAACTTATGCTCCATTCATGCCAAAAGAGTAACCATATACCCTCAGGATATGAAGTTGGTTCGTCGTATTAGAGGAGATTGCTGAGGAAGGCTTGCCTGTCAGGCTTTGCATGCAACAGCAATTGTGTTTAATGTTTATAGTTTACATCTGCCAGATATGCAGGGCATGCTAATAAGTTAATCAAAGGTCAAATTCTCCATTAACATTGCAAAATTTTACAAAACTTTGCTGATGGCTGATGTATATTAGTGAGCGAGTTGCCTTTTATGATCAGAGATAAGGGCTTGTGTTCAAAAGGTAAGAAGAGTTATGTTATATTAAGTGTGAGTGAAAGAGAAATGTGAAATTTTTTATTTGAATAATTTTAGAACGTGTTAGTTATCACATGATGGGCTTATGTATGAGAGAGAGACACCCAGTGGTAGTACCCATTTTATTTTTTTCCTAGCCCCCATGATGCTTTCACAACTTTTTAGAACCTTGGTGGATACATCCGGTCATGAATTTGAGTCCACTTTTATTGTTAGCTCAAACTACCTATAATGTGTGATTGAAAATTTTGTGTAAATTAGTTTTCTTTGGACAGTCACTAGTCTATTATCATCTGGGCCTCAACTGGAAAAAATTGTCTATTGATTATCCTGTACTGTATCTGCAAAAATTGTGTGTTCGATTGTTATTTTTGCCGTTTTTTATTGTTTATTTTGGATTTTAGGTAATTTCCTGCCATTTTTAATTATCTATCACATTATCTCTATCTTTGTCATAATGGATATTTTAAAAAGATAGCCGATTCACAGATAATAGATCAGTGACTAATTGTAAATTGCATTCGGAATACAAATTAACATATACTATATATTGATTATTTTTGTGTTTACTTGTATGACTATGTATATGTATGGATATACAGGTAATTGCACATGTATGCAAGTGTATATGCAATTACCAATTTATGTTAATGTCTTTAAGGAAAATAGTTCTTGTGTGAGGAGGTGGGAGTGAAATTTTGTTGAAATTGTAAATTTTGTCTTAAGGCAGGAACAGTAGCAAACAGTTTTTTACTAACCACTTTTTTACTAAAGTACAAATTTATTTACATTTCTAATAAAGATTTAATCTGTAAAATACTTATATTTTTTATTCTTGAATGTCTTGGAGGGAAATAAGAAAATTCTATTTAAAATTATCACTTTGGAGGTGGTGGCTAGGTGCAGAAGTGCCTAAAGGATGCGCGTTTGTTTGGTTAACAAAAATGTTAGACAATTGGCAGTTACAGTACACCAAAAATAGCATGAAGACATACCGTATTTGCTGCAGTATAAAATCCACCCCATGTTACAAGGATATTTTGTGGGAGAAAAAACTATTTTAGTATGTTTCATTATACATTGAAAGATATTTTAAAGTTGATTTGGTACCATAAATCTTACTTCCTCAAAGATCAGCTGTGATGTAATTGTTTATATTTCGGGCAAGAGAATTTCTATACAGGATGTGAAACTTGTTTTTGTCCTGTCCAAATAGGCTGCCCGCCCACCAAAATCCACCTTGCCTACCTGCCAGTCAGCCACCAATCCATCCATCCAGCCAGCCTGCCTGCCCACCTGTCCACCCAGCCAGCCTGCCTGCCAACCTGTCCACCCAGCCAGCCAGCCTGCCCATGATTTATACCCACCCCATGCTGCCCACCCACCTGCTGAACCTGCCTGTCTGCCCACCCACCCACCCTGTTAGCAATCATGTCTGCCTGCCTGCCCATTCCACCCACCAGTCAGACACCAAATAATCCACCCCACCTGCTTGCCAGTCAGCAACCAATCCATCCACCCACCTACCCACCCTGCCTGCCCACAAGCCGACTAGCCCACTTGCTTGCCTGCCTGCCATCCATCCATCATACCTGAAGAGGGTTTAGTAACACGATTTACTTTAATAATTTTGCTTTTCAAAATTTTATTATTGGCAATGATTGTTTTTCCTAGCAAACTTGCCCAGTGTGCTTGTCCGGCCCCCCCTAGCCTACGCCGCTAGGTCTTGCATCCTTTATACGGCCGCAGTAGACGCAGGGCAATTTTTTTATACATTTAAAAATAAAGTATTTGCAGGGATTGTATACAGTACCTGCAAATATGGTAGTTGCTGTTTACCAGCATGTTCCTGTACAAAAGTAAATGGGAAGAAAAGTTCAGACAGAAAAGCACAAGAATTTGGAAAAAAAATAATTAATTAGGAAATCGGTATTTGGTAGAGCAACAGTGTGAAAGTTGAGAGGTTATAGCAAGTTAGCAAGGTGCCTTGCAGTGTAACAAGTAAATTCATAAGTTTTGATGTAGCTACTGGGACCACAAATATAATGTGGGGTGAGCACTGAGTAACTGCCGCAAGTAATAATTGCTTGTAGTGTATAAGCCTTCCACAGCAGAATTTAATTTGTTTAATTTTTACTAAATGCAGTTTCATGTTAGTGTCTCGTGTTATATATACTGTATAACTTTTTATCTACCGTTTCTGCATTACCGTATGTTGAGAATGCTTTTGCATATCGGCTTCAAACTTTCAGGAGTTATTGAAGATCTCACTTCTTGCATTGCTATGTAGCCTCCTAGTGGCAGATTTTACAAATCTATTTTTTTTTAATAATTTTCCAAGTTAGTGCCTTGTTAATAGCTGGGGTACTTTCATCCCCAAAATGTACCACTCTTTAACAACTTTGTAAATTAAAAATATACATATTAATTTTATAATTAAGTAATAAAATAGTAGGCAGGTGGATACAGATTAGCTAAGTATAATTACAAGAGGAGAGCTACACCAGTGGCTTGTTTGCTGACCCAAACAGGAATCCTGTCACACTGGGTGCCTTGTGCTCTGCTCCAGCAGGAAAGTGACAGGAAGCAAAAATCGCCTTAACCGTTCAGAAATAATATGGAAATGTACCTTGGCACATTAAGGCAGCACCCATGAATGGTATGTACAGTATCTACGATATTTTCAGTCTGAAGTTAGACTACTGTTATTTCCATACATCATGTACACTTATCATTCTAAGGGGCCCATCACCTATCACCCATAATAATTACCGTACAACGTTTTGGTATCTACCAATGTTACCAAAAATTATAAACTGTGTTCTTAAGCAACATTTCTCTATTAGGTACAAGCCGAATTTTCATTATCTTGAGGTTATCTTGAGATGATTTCGGGGCTTTAGTGTCCCCGCGGCCTGGTCTTTGACCAGGCCTCCATCCCCAGGAAGCAGCTTGTTGACAGCTGACTAACTCCCAGGTACCTATTTACTGCTAGGTAACAGGGGCATCAGGGTGAAAGAAACTTTCCCGCCGGCGCCTGGGATCAAACCCGGGACCACAGGATCACGCATCCAGTGTTCTGTCCACTCAGCCACAGGCTCCCATTAAATCGAGTTTTTTGTAACTTTTTTTTCTTATGGAATGATAAAGCTTTCCTTTACATTATATATGATTTTATTTTATTATTTTGAATTAACACTAACAAGTTGGTAATTCATGTTCTGAATATAATACTGTAGTATTAATTGGAATAAACCAATTTGAAAATAAATATTTAAAAATGAAAATCATTTTGCCTGTTAGGCACATTGGGACTTTCATACTAGGGCAAATAGTGTGTTCTAGCTGTTAGGTACAACAAATATATATATAAGGGTACCACCACTGGTGCAGTTATTGGGACCCATTTTTAGCTTCAGAGAAGCAAATAGGGAGCATTCAGAGAAAATTTTTCGCTTGTCCCTGATTTCTTGGGTATTTGCTTCTACCACCCATTTGATTGAAAACGTTATTGTACATGATTACAAATTTTGTGTGTGAATTTATTTTTCATTCACACTGCTATCACATGCAGCATTGGCAATATTAGCAGTAACAGTGATACATCATATGATGCAGTATGTCATTGCCTTGTGCCATTCTGCAGTCTTTGTTGGCATACTCCTCAAATTTTCCCTTGCTCCCATCCTAAAGATCTTTATGCCATTCCTGTCTGTCACTTTGACAACTGTCAATACATTCGGCTTGCCGACGACCTATACAGGGTACTAGTATTTCCAACATGTCATCATAACTGTATATCCAATTTCCCCCAATGTTTACCTATCCTACCTCTCATCTCAATTTAAATAGGCTATCCTTGTTAACCTTATTTTTTCCTTTCAATATCTTGCATGTAGTAATCATGTACTATTTCTTCTCAAACCCCCTAACTGCACATCCTAAATTAGGTAGATTTCCTGGTGTGCATTAGAAAAATAAAAAATATTTTTACCATTCTATATTGTAAAGCATAGCTTTCTGATGTTGGGGGAAAATCTTAATAATTTTAGTTTGCCTGTAGTGAGGTGAATGTTAATGATATATTCTGATAAATAATTTTAAAGTTAACTGTTTGTAATCGATTTCCCATCACAAATATCTTCCACATCAATAAGTCCTTGAAATTTTGCAAGGCATCAATGGTTACTAGCATTGGCTTCAGTAGAGATGTTGATGCACCTGACATGGTGGTCATCTTTTTCACAATATCGCAAATGATTGCCAGAAGTCTGTTGCTGAATGATGTCCACGTAGAATCTTTAGGACTTTTGACTATTACAGGGAACATCTGGTCTCCCACAGACAATAGGCACACCATTGATCTATCGTTTGAGGAGACGGCAGCAGTTTAAGGAGCCAATAGATAGTTTTTTAAAAGTTGTTCAATGTCAACCAATATTTTTTGACTAGTTGTACAGTATATGAAAAGGGGTGCAATTGTTCCAAGTTTCAGTACTGCACCCTAAATAGAAAGGGAGATTTGATTTTTTTTTTCAACGAATTTTACACATTTTCAAATCCGTATAACAACCACAAGTTTCAAATGAAATCATTTTTCTGACACATTAGCATATAATAAAGAATCTGGGGCCGGGGATTTTCCAAAACATCTTTAGTTTTTTAATACAAATAGACAAAGTGCCCCCAAAAATTATGCAAATATATCATGTTTTATTTCTATTATAAAATCATTAAATGAACTAAGGAAAAAATGCTGGCTCCTGATTTTAGACATAAACTTTACATATAAGGTGTAAGTTTCATGTAAATTGAGTAAACAATGAAAGAGTTACACGAAGATTTATGTAACTTGAAAAAAAAAAAGAGTAAAAAATAGTCTAAAGTGCTGCCATCTGTGGCTGAGGTTGATATCAACCAATTTCCTCCAAAATTGGCACCCTTACAGATAGGCTTATGTGCAGTCAGGTGTATAAGTTTCATGCAAATCGTCCTATAAACAAATAAGAAAAAAAAGATTTAATACTAATTTATTTTTGGTCAGCTATCACAATATGCTATTGTGATAGCTGAGAGTCATAGATATGATTTTAGTTGACACTTGTTTGATAATCATTTTTGACCATTTTGGAAAAATTTTGAAACAATTCAATTTTTTTTTTCCCCCCCTTTTCTATGCTCTTCGTAGTCAATCTTCCTTTGTAGTTGTTGTTGATTCTCGTAGTGCCCTCGTGGCTCTCGGGTCCTTTAAGGCTGATGTTCGTTGACACCTGTATCGTGCTTCAATTTAATCGCCAGGAGATCACCCTCTCACTAGACTCGTCTGTAGGAAGTACAGTATAGTATGTCAAATTACCTTGGATCATAAATATTAATCCGGTTCATCCAGTGGTTGTCGAGATCCAGCATTGGCTGTTTCTTGTTCACAGTAAATTTAAGTCGGTTGAGTTTTGTTGGGTTCCCAGCCATATGGGTGTCTCATTAAATGAGCGTGCAGATGCTGCCACCAGGGAAGCTGTCCGCTCTTGTCCCATCTCTCGTAAAGGTATTCCTTATTCCGACTTTTACCCGGTTATCCATTCCTCCATCCTTACCCGTTGGCAGGCTTGTTGGTTGTCTGTTACTGGTAACAAACTACATACTCTTAAAAGTTGTGTGTCCTCGTGGCTCCTACCACCGTAACCGGTGATGGGAAACGGCTCTGGCGAGGTTGCGTATTGGCCATACTCGCTTAACTCATGGTCACTTAATGGAGCACTGTCCTGCTCCTTATTGTCCCTCTTACGGTCGTGCATATCCTTGTTGAATGTCCCGATTTCCGGGACGAACGTGTCTTGTTTTCCGACTGTCCCCCGTGGTCGATTGTCTCTCGATCGTATTCTTGGTGACTTGGATACTTTTGATATTGATATCGTTCGCCTTATGCATTTCTGTTCTCGCATTGGCATCCTTGGTGATATTTAGCGCCCTCTGATTATCCCGCACATTTTATGGTGCTACATAGCCTTTCCGGTTTGGTGCCTTCTTTTGATTACTTACGTCCCGGTTTGGTGTCTTCTTTTGATAATTACTTACTTCTCCCTTCCTATTTATGCTACGATGCTGAGACTTGGACCAGATGAAACCCTTTTCATATACAACTAGTCAAAAAAAAAAAATTGGTTGACATTGAACAACTTTCAAAAAGCTATTTATTGGCCCCTTAAGAGCGAGAGGTTAAACTCCCTTTATTTGTCCTCATAGCCAAGCCCTTTCAATCCTGCTATTACTGTAGTCTAGTTGTAAACATGTACTTTCTCATGTACAGTGTGATTGATTCACATTTAGTTTATATTACATTGTAACAAGTCGCTGACACTACGTAACTGTTCCTATGACTACCCCAGACATTTGAGACAGTTGGTGGTTCTCTTGATCTGCTTCTAAGAGTTTGTATATATAATAGGATATTGTTTAGTTAATGTCTTTAGTGAGGGACGACTAATAAAAGTAAATGCTTTATCTAGCAAATTGTCATTGGGGAGTGGGGAAGGGATGGGAACTATCAGGGAAAAGCACCAAACCACAAGGATTGTATAGTACTTGAAAGAGGTCAGGATAAGGATTTGGGACGGGACGGGGTAAAGGAATGGTGCCCAACCACTCGGACGGATGGGGATTGAACGCCGACCTGTATGAAATGTGGCCATCGCTCTACCGTCTAGTCCAAGTGCTTGGACATTGGGGAAAATAAATTTTTAAGGGGATTTTTAAATCATTTAATTTGACAAATATTTACAGTCCTGTAGTGTCGGATATTGCATTGTTCTATTGTACAAAACAAATTTAGAAAACAAGGAAAGGGCAGGATGCTCTTAACTCTAATATTTTTGTCTCTTGTCCTTTAACCCTACAGTACTGTACAAACAATAGGTTACAAATGATAATACTTTGCCAGGCATGCACAAAATTTGAAACATTTCAAGCGCATCTTTAAAAAGCAGTTTACACTTTACAGGCAGCAAAGATGTGTTGAAAAGTTTCTGCATAAGGGAGTATCGGTTCCACAACAGACATGGCATAAAGATAGAACAGAATTATTTATAAATTTCATGAAACAATTACTATATGAAGCCTGCTAAAAAAAAAAAAGTCACAAGAAGCCCAAAGTCTGGAGCAATTCAAAGTCCTGTAACATGTGACTAGCAATAAGTTGGGGACTTCCATCTGTTAGTGTTCCAGTTTCTCTTACACACAAACATTATATATAAAAAAAACTAATAAAGTAATGCATCTTAAAATATCAGTTACATGGCATAAAAAGTGGGGGAAGACAGATTAATATAAGTACTGTACTTTACAAAAGTGTTTGCAGATGGTTATGTAGTATATTTTACCTTAGTGAAGAATATAATACACAACATGTCTGGATTGTGTCCTTGTCCCACTCCATTCAAAAGCCCACCTTCACTCAACTTTGTGAGTCCTCCCAGTAGTATCTAATCATCTAACCAGTGTTCCCTCTGCCTTTTTAAAAGCTGCTGCTGTCTGCAGATTAATCCTATTCTTTAATTTTTGCAATAATGGTAAAATCTAAGCACTAATAACAGTAAGAAAAAGAAACAAACTTTGCTACTTAGGTATTATATATTGTTCAAGTACTTTAGTACACACACACACTGCTTTAACTCGATACAACCCTTTAAACTTCAAATGTACATCTCGCAAAAATTTGAATTTCTTGTTTAATCTTAGACAGTTACAGCACTTACACAACAAGCATATTTTTCATGATTTAATCGTATGTACCATTCACCGAATTCCTATAATAATATAACTGAGCTTACATTGTTACTTACATTATCCATGGATTCATTGCTATACATATCAAATAATACAAATTAGCTATTTCTGCATGATGCAAAACAGTCAAAAGCTTTATTACCATTCATGAATAACTAGATTTTGCAACCAATCTGGTGTTAGACTGCATTAAAATGAACTGTTTATACCTTTTATCATCTCTAACCTTCGGTGAATCACCATTTTAAGATGTTTAAAGTTATTTCCCTACAATGGTTCCAACATATGTCTGTCCAAAAATACCAAAAAGTACTGTAGTTGCATAACAATTTTCCCATTCCTGTACATATGTCTTTATGACAATTAGTTCATAGATCTTCTAGACAATGTTAATTCAAGGTTTTATTCAGCACTATATATTCCATATTGCTTACAATACAAGGCAGAAGGGCTTTAAATTATATATTACTGGAACTCTACAAACTTTATTGCATATTCCAAAAATCAGGTCAGTAGGTAGAGGTTAATTTGTTTTTTGTTTCAAGCAGAAACAAAAGTACGGTGATTAATTATCATAAGGAGCCAAGCTGGGAAGACTGTAGCAGTCTGTCACTGGATATTCAAAATGCACTAAATATCATCCAAGATGCCAGTATGAGAACAAAAAGATACAAGGGGGAGCGATATCAAAGGTACTGGATTCTACTGAGGGACAAATTTTTCTTTGGGATATTAGGAAAGCAAGAAACATGATCCCAAAAATCAGGATATTCTACAAGGAGATGCATGACTAAATGGGACAATGCAATTCAGACCAAAAGGAGCAGGATGTTCCATTAAATGACCATGGGTGAAACTTTAGCACAATCCATTTATTAGGGGTAAAAAAGAGCAATGTTAAAAAATTCAAGGTTTCTCAAACTGCACACATCTTTTTATATATCATTTTTTTTACAGTGAATACTACACTTTGAATGCAATGATTAGCAATTATTTTGTACAAGTCTGTGTTGACACCATTATGTTTGCTGTATTGCTTCATTCTGTGAATATCACAGTATCCAAGGAAACCAAGATACAAAGCTCCTGACTACATACAGTACTGTACTTTTCCATTTACTCTATACACATATGTAAACAAACTTTGAAAAAATATATGTTTAAACTATTTTTCAACAATATACTAAACCTAATCATTACCATTTACAGTGTACTTTATCTGCTAATAAAGAAGTATTTTGAGCCGTGTATATAAATTATGTAAAAAAAAAAGTACATTAATTAATATTAAATTACATTCTGAAGTACAGTATAAATAAATAGTTTTAAATCTGCAGGACATTACTGCATGTATCCCCCAGAACATTTTTGTATGATAATACTAATCATCCAAAATCTACCTTCTTTGATAAATTTAACAGGCTGTGTGTAGCATTTATTTACTGGCTATGCTGTTCAATTTTTTGACCACATGATATGTAGCAGACATGCTATAGGTAAAAATATTTGGTCTCCCATTTGTGTTAATTTCCAAAGTTCTGACTGGATATTAAAATGCTGAGATTACTGTATATATATAGTAGTACAGTACTGTAACATAAAATATAGTCACCAGACTTTGTCATTTGATGTTACTACTGGGGTGAAATTTTCCAAGGTATAAAAACGGAATTGCCTAAAATTCAGTACAGTGCAGTATTTACAGTAAGCTCGAGTTAAGATCAGTGTACTTTTGAAGTAGTCAGGAAACTCATATTGTCTGTCGACAACAAAAATTTGCATAAAAACATGACAAGTTAATTATTACAATATTTATATATTGGATTTGTCTTATATGTTAATTTTTTCTCTATAAATTAAGGTACAGTACTGTTAAACTTTAATTCTCACCGTAAAATCAACAAAACGTAATTGTTTCCAACCCTACCAGTCTCTATTAGCAACAACTGTGCGGTAAACAACGCTAACTTGTATTAACAAGAAAGCAATGACCACAACATCATCAATAAGTCCAAGAAGACCCAAAAAGGCTTCGGGAATTAAGTCAATGGGTGTTATTGCATAAAGGATGGCAGTAGCAACACAAATGAGAAATCTAAATCTTGATAACATTTCAATACCACGCCAGGTGAACAGTTCTGCCCAGATGTGACGTAAAATAGTGGGCAGATCTTGTAGTTGGCCATAGAACTGGAAAAAGGGAAAATGTGTTCAAGATTTTCTTAAGAATTCAAGTTGTTCAAGAATTAAGATTTCATCTTAATCTCTCAATCTGTCTTCATTATTCTTACTTTATTTCCCCACAAAATACCCGAGTAGTAAAATACAAAGTGCTAAAAAAATGATGGTTTATGTACTATAGATACATACATATACAAGAGCATAATGCAGATAAAAAGTCTTATGGTCACTGATTTGTCATTCCAATTGCTCTCACCTTTTCAATTTTAATTATCAATTTTTATGTTTTATCTCAAGTTATGAAATTTACCCGCTGTTTATATCACTTTTCCAATTGCTTTGAGGTTTTTAAATACTGTACAGTATATTACTCTCGTGTCATAAAATGTTATGTTTTCTAATGTCAAAATTAACTTTTCAGAAGGCATCAATGTTCCCCATATGAAATAATTTAATCCACTTCAATAATCCAATAATTCTTCCACTTCTGCTTATGGGGAAGAATATGGCTACCAATATATTTATATTTAATGAGAACAGCATACTTATCAGCCCTGGATGGGCTCCAAATCATCATACACCTGCTCCCCAAACCTTTAGTCATTTTGAGTCCATTGATCTGTTCCATTATTATCCTCCACAACACATGCACTCTATTATCCCCCCACTCATTGATTCCTATTTCCCCAAATGCATTCACTCTCCAACCCACACCTATTCCCACCCAACAAAAAGAAAAAAAAACTGAAAATGTGCAAAGACACACTATTAATGACTTCCAGAACTGAAAAACTAGAGCTATGGAGAGGCTGGAGGTGTTAAATGTACCAAAGCTAGAAGATAAAACATAAAAATAAAAATTAGGCAATATGATCACTACTGTACATACAAAATAGTAACAGGAATCAACAAAACTGACTCGAGAGGAATTCTTGAAACCAGCACCCCTCAAGTACAAGAGGTCATAGGTTCAACCTAAGGAAACAAAGGTGCTGAAAAAATATTAAGTTTGCAAAAATATTTTGTTGCAAACAGTGATAGACAATTGGAAGAAGTTAGGCGAGAAGGCGTTGGACATCAAACCCATCAGTAGTGTCAAAGTGTCATATGACAGAGTACTGGGAGGATGAGCCTATCCTGCCAAAAATATACCACCAGTCTTGTTCAAATATTAATTGGAATGGGTGGGCAGACAAGTTCATTATACTGTACTAAGAATGTGAGAGTACAGTACCCACAGTACATATTTATAAAATCATGTTTCACCTGTATCATTACTCTAATAAACCTTTAATATATAAGTTTAGGTAAATAATTACAATGTCAGGAATGCACCTCCACAGGATTATACTAAAATAAAGTTTTAGGGTTGATTGTGATAATGCTCCTGTTTCCAGGAAAATATTCCCAGCAATAAATGAGATGTGTGTATCCCGTGTTAAACACTGCTCAAAATTCACTTACTGATCTAGGGTGTTCAGAGTACATGCGATTGTATTGCTGCACATCAACCATAATACGCTCCCTTTCTTCAACTTCTTGAAGTTCCGCTGTATTAGTTTCCCCTTCAGAAAAACATGGCAATAGTAGTGTTACCTGAAATAGATATGAATAATTGTAATATGGAATAAATGTTCTCATTAAATGGTAAGAGCAACAGTTGATTCTTCACTTAAAGCTATACAGTACAACCTCGATTCAACTACGTATCTTGGGACCGACCCCAATTCGTTACAAATTATTAAAATATATTGCTCTAGAAAGAAGAGAGATTTGTTAAATAATGCTCATTCAAATTTTTTAAAAGTTGTTTAATAACAATAAAACCATGGTCACCTGCCCCCCTACTATTTTCTATTCCACTACTATTCTATTCTATACTATTTCCCCTCTACTATTCATTTGGTGGTTTTTGAAAAAAACCACCAACTGTGTTCATGTAGCAGTTGGCAGAACATTACATATTCCCGCTCTCTCGTGAGGCATTGTATTGGAATTATTCTATATCAAAATGATCGAAAAAGAAGGGTTAAAATGATTAGCATAAAGATTTTTAGAAAATTTGAAATGGAATAAGGCTAAATTAGGTCTTTGAAATAGACAAAAAAGCAGCAAATTATGTTAATTAGCTGTATCTGAATTTGAGTGTTAAAAAGAATTAATAAAAATGAAGTTAAAATAACATTTTTAAATAGCAATTAGTTTCAAATTTCACATTTACAATTCTTTAAACAAGAAAACATGATGAAGCTAAACTTACCTCCTGACGACAAAACGGGCATGGCATGGGTGATGTGCTAAAATTAGTCCTCCAATTCTGGATTATGCAACTTGCTGAAAGAGGAAAACTCATGAATCTAAGAAGGACAATGGCAATGAGTAGAGTATACACTTAGAGTAAGCAAAGGAACATGAATTATGGGAACACATGCCAAATGATTAACTAATTCATCACATCTTAGTAGAAAGCTCTACTTGCTTTCTACCTTTCTGCTCAATTCTCTTTAGTTGATGGCTTAAGGATTTGCCCATGCTCTATTCTCCTACCAACATACATGCTTCTCTGATTATCCATTTATACTGATCTAACTCATAATTTTTCAATTACTCAAGGCCCACAATTATTAGTAGTCATAACAGAAAATCTGTTTTTCACAGGTTTAATCATTACTTCCCTGAAGTTAGTGTTTCTAAGGATGATTGAAGTACCTGGTTTATTACATAGTTTAACACTATGTTTAGCCAGGAATGTACATACAGCATAATGAATGGATGCCTAATGAGCAAAACTATGCCACGATGTCCAAACCACACATCACAAAATGAAGAAACAACACTTCGGTCCATCAAAGACCATTATCAATTCAATGTTATTTCTTCATTTTCTGATTTGTAGTTTTAGACATCCTACCTTCAGCCTCATGACTTATTGTGACTCATTGTCTGCAAAGCTATGTCATGACTTGATGAGGATCCAGGAAAGGCAAAAATATGTTGACCAGACCACACACTAGAAATTGAAGGGACGACGACGTTTCGGTCCGTCCTGGACCATTCTCAAGTCGATTGTGATGAGGACAGGTAGGGACAGGCATTAAATAGGCAAGAGAGAGCTGAGGAGGAAAGTCAGGTGTAGGGGATAGTAGTAATGAGAACTGCAGCAAGCCTATTGGCCCATACGAGGCAGCTCCTATTATAACCACCGAAGGAGATAGTAATAGGAATAAGAAGAGGATAGCAAGGGAACATCATCTCCCTTTTTCTGTTCATTGTCTTCTACGCTCCCTTGCTATCCTCTTCTTATTCCTATTACTATCTCCTTCGGTGGTTATAATAGGAGCTGCCTCGTATGGGCCAATAGGCCTGCTGCAGTTCTCATTACTACTATCCCCTACACCTGACTTTCCTCCTCAGCTCTCTCTTGCCTATTTAATGCCTGTCCCTATCTGTCCTCATCACAATCGACTTGAGAATGGTCCAGGACGGACCGAAACGTCGTCGTCCCTTCAATTTCTAGTGTGTGGTCTGGCCAACATACTTCAGCCACGTTATTGTGACTCATCGCCTGCATAAGGCAAAAATATGATCACTTTAATTTTTTTTTATATGTTTGGGTTGGGTTACAGTACTTGTTTCAGCCACGTTATGATGACATTCTGTGTAGCCAAGCTCAACATAAAGTTACGGTTGGGCAGACTCAAGGAAATTGTGTTTATAATTTATGTTCACTGTTACAATTAAAATTTCTAAGTATATAAAATCAAGTCATCAGTGACAATTCCCACTTCTATTCCTCCCAATGTAGTTAGTAACTTCTTACACTACCCATAAAGAAAAGTTGATCTATTTTTAGGGCCCAATTCCTAAAGCTGATTTGCTTATTAATACAGTACAGTAAATCTATAAGTGAAATTGATCTCCTCACCACAATACATATGGCCACAGTTTGTTTCCACAGCAAACTTTGCTGGATCCATGCAAATGGGACATTCATTTTCAGATGCTGATCTGCGTACACGCACCATATCTGAGTCTGAAAACATTATGGTTATTTATTGTTAAAAATGAGCAGTAGTAATTTCTTGTGGTATAAAGTGATCAATAGTTATATTTATTGAAATATGATTAGCTTTTTTAAAGATTTAACATATCTTTTTTTTCACCTCCTTATTCATTTTTACATATTTACTTAATTTGATTTTCATCTAAAATGTTGTACCATATTTGAAATAATATAATTTGTGTTCTTTACTCGCAATCCTTATTTTATGTATTTGGAACAAGAAGACATAATGAAATATTGTTGATTCTTCAGATTTAAAATATGCATGATTAAGCCACTATGAATTCATTTCAAATTTCAACTTGATATAAATGTTACTGCTAACCATATAATATAAATGCCAACTCCACTGCCTGGTAACTCCTGGTAACCATATAACAGAAATGGTAATGCTACTGCCCGGTACAGTAACTGCATTGCCTGGTAATAATGGCTGCTGGTTTGTCAATCACAAGTAAGATTTAGGAGAGATAATGCAAACATAAATCTGGCACTTAACTTTTCTGTACATGCAATGGATTCTTAAATACAATATAATAAAAACTTTGCCCCTTAACAAACCTTCAAATTAATGTATATCCTGCTTAGTAAGGGTAGAGCTGTATACAGTACGTGTATAGTAATTTTTTAAATATTTTGGGATATTACATTCATGAAAAGACAGTATTCATTTGGTCAGTGTTTGGCTCTAAGTGCATGATAAACTCTCTTATAATGATTAGTGACCAACTCATTTGCTCTTGTCTCACCTCCCATACCTCTGAGTTACCAACATCTATTTATCAATAAATTTAACAGGTCTAAAGCTTAAAACATAGGTTATTGTACAGTGTAATGAGAAGATCTAAATACAGCAGTGTGCCAAAAAAAAAAAAAAATAAATATTATCTAGTTCTAATAAACAACAACAGTAAATAAACTACCATACACAACTAAACTAATAAAAATTAACACCAGAAGATATGACAAAAACTAGAAATTAAAAGATTTCTGAATATTGCTTAGAAGGTATTTATCTGGTACGAGTTTTCAAAGCAAAAACCAAACTTTGTCCCACATACCTGTGCTTACTTCGTCCTCATGAATGTGTTGCTTCTGAACCGGAGGTTTTAGCTTTGCAAGGAGGAATCTGAGTCAATAATTGGGCATTATTAATAAATACTGTCTCTTCAAACAAATCTCTTTAAAGCAGAGGTTCCCAACCAGTGGGTTTACGACCTCCTTGGGGATCTTTTGAGCATTAGAAAATAGAGTCTTTACTAAAAAAGTTGGGAACCACTACTCTAAAGGGAATACAGTACAGTACTGCCTTTATCAACCTACATAAATAGTATCTGGCTGCAGAATACTATGATCTTCAGGAATTAAGCACATTGAATCACATTAACACGATTCATCTATGAGAAAATATTTGGTGCAGCTTCTGTCCCATTACACTGCCTCAATATTTTCTCATAATTAAGATTTTACGTGAATATAGAAATGGAATACACCTAATAATACATACAGAAATCACAACAGTGTGATGCATCAAATGAACAAATCCACAAGGGCCGTGATGAGGGTTTGAACCTACGCTCGGGATGATCCCAGATGCGCCTTAGTCAACTATGCCACGACATGGTTAAAAGAACTGCAACCTGGAGTGCTACTGCCCTCACGAGGCTTCCGCAGCTTCTCCGAAGCACAGTCCGGGGTTTTACACAATTCCCGCATGCACCCGAGTTCTGTCAACCAAATCTTCTACTTCTTCACCCTTACTTCAATACACATAGTACATTTTTTTTAACCATATCGTAGCACAGAGTTAATTCTTAGTTATAGTTAATTCATAGTTAATTGTTTTAATCATGTCGTGGCATAGTCAATTAAGGCGCTTCTGGGATCATCCCGGGCTTGGTCCGAACCCTCATCACGGCCCTTGTGGATTTGTTAACACCTAATAATGTCATACATTTTTGGAATACTGTATTACCAACATAACAAATTCCATGACATATAAACATAGAAGAAATAATTCAAAATTTAAAAGCAAGCAGTACAATGCTTTTAATAAAGCTAAGCATACACAAATATGAAAATTTAAAGTTTGGCAGGATTTCAAAGTTCTGTACTATACAATACAATACTGCATTACAATTAAATCACATATCTTCTGAAAAAGGAAAAATGGAGGATCTTTACCAAGTTGCCAGCTTCCTGCCCCCCATTGTGGCCACTAGAGCGAGAGCGTGGCCTTCAGGTAAGACAACAACAACAAAAATATCAGAGCACCTAATTAGCTCTTGGAGGAATGGTACCCTAAATGATAGGGTTTGGTTAATTCAGTACTGTATTTGTTTACTGAGTTTTTGCCATGTGATCCCAGAATATTTTATCTGAGTTTTGAGTGGATTTTTGTTGTCGTAAGATTTCTTATTGGGGATTGTTATTCAGTGATGCAAAGCAAAAGCATGTTTAATTTACAATAATACAAAAAGTTGAAAGTTAAAGAAAAATTGCAGGGCATAAATTTATGCCCCTAGAGCTAGAGCCGTGGAAGGTGTAGGATGTTGACTCCTTTGTTATTTAAAAAAAAAAAAGAGCTTATTTCAGTTATTTGAAAATTTTGGGATAGGAAAGATGCCCCAATCTTGAGTGCATTTTTTTTTTTTGTGATTATTGAAACCTTATTTGCTCCTGCCCTTTTCTGTGAGAGACTCAAATTTTCAGCATCTTATAGTCAGGGTAGACCACAAGGCTGTTTGCTGTGTTGTCGCTGTGCAGAATTTTGAGAGAGCTACCGAGGCTGAGCTACCGCAGTTCAACCCTTGAGCTGTGCTTGCAAGGGTTGAACTTCGGCTCTTTGGTCCCGCCCCTCAACTGTCAATCTACTGTACTGGTGTGCAGGTTCCTGAGTTTATTGAGCTGTTTCATATCTATACAGTGGCACCTCGACTTATGACTGCCCCTACTTATGAATTTTTCGAGTTACGACCCCAATTTTATAAAAAAATGTGACTCGACTTACGATCTTTGCCTTGACTAGCAACTTTGTTGATACAGGTATGGGTCAACCGAGCGCATGGTTCCTGGTGGCATGGGCAACTCCGCCTCAGTTTACCACAGCCGCCCACTAGTGACGATCGCGCTTGTAAAGAATTTAATTGTTTTTGTGCTTTTTTTGTTTTTGGAACATAAAAGTAATTATATACTGTATCCTGCCATGGGTCCCAAGAAAGTCAGTGGTAAGGTTCAACCTAAGAAAATTGTTGTGAGTAGAGGCAGTAGAGAATGTCCCTTCCTCATTAAGAAAATGTGTGAAGTATGCGAAGAACTGCAAAGTTTTGTTGAAAAAACTCGTCCAGATAAAGCTGTAGCAGGCCGTTGCATTGACCTTTTGAATGACAAATGTGATGCCTCACTACTGACATATGTTAAAATGTAGTGAAAAACAAGTGTCTTTAGACAGATTCTTAGCAAGACAAGCAAGCAGTGAGACACAACCAGGTCCTAGTGGTATGCCTGCAAAACGTAGGATAGAGAGAGTACCCCCCAGAAAAGTCATCATTGCCTGATGTTATCATGGAAAGGGACTCCCCTTCTAAACAGTAACACCTCTCCTCACCTTCCCTCCTCTCCTTACCAACAAAAGTCCTCAATAAAGGTAAGATGTACATACTGTATTGTAGCTAGTACAAAAAAAAAAAAAAAGTGGTACAGTATTCAGTATAAAATGTATTTTTAAGATAGTATTTTTGTGGAACATAATTCGATTAACATTATTTCTTATGGAAAAATTTGTTTCGAGTTATGAATTTTCGAGTTACAACCTGTCTCTGGGAACAGAATAAATTCGTAAGTGGAGGTACTACTACATTTGAAACTGCATGGAATCAGCCTCCACCACATCACTTCCTAATGCATTCCATTTACTAACTATTCTGACACTGTGAATGCATCCAACTGTATTCTTGAACTCTGGTGGCTTTTTCCCCATGGGTTATTCACTCAAACTTTATCATTATAGTATTTCTGTTTCTTGCATCAAAGCTGGGTTTTTTTCCAAGAGGCACCGGTAGGAATATGCCCTGGGAAAGCTACTGACAGCAGCTCAGAAATCAAGCGTCAAACATAATGAAATACCCAATTTTTTAGGTGGCCTCAATAGCTCTCTGTAACCATCCCTTCTTTGTCCTCCTTTTCCACGAGGATCGGGTGTGTCGGATGGTGGTGCTCGAATGAGTGTGGGGGCTAGCTGGTCCCCTTGGGTGACCTGAGCTGCCACATGGTGGCACACTTAAGCACTAGTGCAAGGATAGTTGGCAATAGGTGACTTACCTCTTGCTTGTTTCATTCTTCACTAAGATCCCAGAGTTTCAAAGAAATGTACAGTATATCCTGTTTAGTAAAGGTTGTCTCTGATACCAGAGTGTGTTTGTTTGGTTGTTTATTTCTTTATTTATTTGTTTGTTTATTTTATACTAAAACTTGAGCCAACTTCTAAACACATCACTAACTCATATGAGATGAGCTATAAATAAATAAGCATAAGGAAAAAATTATTTTTATTAGCAAAACTTGCAAATATTTGACTTTCACATTTAAGGGTTTCATTTTACTGCAATATGGTTCACCCTGTGGTTTCCCATAGCTGGGGAAGGGATGGTTTAATGATGTTTGCTTAGTCCAACATTTGCATAACTCCCGGGTACTTACTTACCGCTAGGTAAATAGAGGTATCAGATGATAGTAAACACTGCCCAAATCCTTTAGTATTACTACAGGAATTAAACCCAAAACAGCTGTGACCCAACTGCACTTTATGCAACACCATAAATGGTTGTATTTAATATTTCACATGCAATGAGAGTCAATTCACAGGATATTGGCGGAACCAGGCTGTCGGCCCTTAGCATTTCAAAAGTCACACCTTTCGAGTGCTAATTGTGCACAGGTTGAGCAGAGGTCATATCGTGTCAGGTGACCTCGCTCTCTGCTAAGCTGATAATTACAGACGGGTTGCTGTGTTGTTTCCATCAAACAAGTCGCGGTCTAGGTGTGGTAGGAAGATAGCCAGAGGCTATCTCCTGGCAGGCGGAGTTTAGTTCCCGGTTCCCCCTTAAATAACCGACAAATTGTACATTTGACAGCGGAGCCTCGCTACACAAAAGAGGTTCCAGCAGCCCAGGCCAGGTCTATACAGGCCAGTCCTCAGGCTAGTGGGGACCAACTGTATAAACAGTTGGAACAAATTAAGTGAGAAGGCGGTGAAGGCCAAAACCATCAGTGGTTTCAAAGCGTTACATGACAAGAGTGCTGGGAAGACAGTACACCACGAGTATAGCTCTCATCCTGTAACTACACTTTGATAATTTCAACTTCTTCACAAACCCTCCCACCCACAATTGCACATCATACTATTTTAAATAAAGGTATGCCTATATTATGCAACTGTCATGTCTGGAAACATAAATAAATAAAATTGGAAAAATAGGGTTATTTATTTATATATACAGTATATTGTATTCTATACAAGGTAACATTGGGTTTATGCTACAGTATTTATATATACAGCATTGATGATTTTACATTCTTGTAAAACCGCTAACATGCACAGCATTTTGAGCAGGTCCTTAATATAGCAGACAATTTTAAGTAGGTAATTTCTAGCAAAATTGAGAAATGTTAACAGATACATTGTAAGAAAATTTGATGAAGATTAGTACTGTATAATGAAGTTATATGTATGTTATGTTATAGTTTATATATACAGTTTATATTCAATATGTTATTCAGTTTACATACAGCACGCCAGCAGTGGCACTGGTAAGGTCACAGCTTACGCTTCCCTCAAAACAACCTATGGGAAGAAAGTTGGCAGAAATGCTCCTCGTCTATTGACCAATTCATAGCTTATGCCTGTGGGCAAGGTAAGAGTGAAGTAGTCATTCTGTGTTGGGCAGCCACTAGCTCTGGTTGTGCATAATTTTTGCTTATCAGCCAGTTGGTAGAATTACTGCACAAGGTACTCAGTAATGTTAAGTTACTTATCATCCACTTACTAAACTTAAAAACCGAAATGCTAGAATAAAATTTGCCCATTATTTGTAGTTGAAATGAGGGAACTTTGATACAGAGATATTCTCAAAAGACTTATAATTAGGCATTGCCAATGTGATTTTGTGTTATCATAATCTTACAGACTGTGGGGACAGCTGTCAACCATTATTCATCACATGAACCAGCCAAGCTGTGTGCACCTGTCACCATCATGTGATGTGTATCCGAGAGTCATATCGCCACTGCCTAACCATTGTCCCAGCCCCCATCTTGTCTTTGACACCAGCACCACCCATGGTGTCTTGCCTATTAATCCTTGCACGTACCACATGCAGTGTGAAGGAAACCAACAGGTTCATATCACTTGCAGTGACTGCAGGAGAGTGAGAGTTGATGAGTGGGAATGTGACTGGTAAAAAAGCTAGTACAATAATATTCTGATATGAATCTTAGTAGCTCTGTTTTATTTGTCTCTCTGTGAGTTAATCTCTTGGATATTACCCAGTTGAATTCTCCCACTGAACACCTGCAACAGGCAAAAGATTAAGGTATGAAGACAGAAGGTCTGCCTGACGTGCCTGAGTGGAGGCAGCAGTCACACCTAATTTCACATGTCGCTCAGTATAGCGACAGGCGTGGAAAATTACATACGCAACACTTATACAGTAGTTGTTTTATTATATATATTTTTTATTTTTGAATACTGTATATACAAGAGTTCTTACATTCTTGTAAAGCCACTAGCGCATACAGCATTTCAGACAGGTTCCAAATCCCTATGTCCAGATTAGTTCTTGTATGACCCCAATTAGATAAAATATCCCAAGTGTATTGACAAATTATGTTTTATTAAAAAACTTATTAAACAATGTTTCAGTGAAACCTTCTCCCATAGAGATACTAAATCTCCCTTGCATATCTAGTAAATGATGCTAGCATTATTCATACTTAAATATTAAATGTTTTGTGGACCTTCAACATTTTTCCTGCCTAAGTGTTGGGCAGGAGATTTTCAGAAATACACCATATTCTCTGGAACACCTGTCTGAGGGAGGCCATCCACAGTAAGGCCATTCTTTGATAGGTTAGATCTAAGGGCATGTGTTGCTGCTCTGGCATCTATATACTGTACGTCCTGGATAACCTTTTAAAGTGGTCTGCCCTAGGCAATATTAGAAGCAGAGGTGATCAGAAAACAGTAGAAGCCTAAAATGTACATAAAGAGCACATGAAATTTTTCAGCCACAGATATACTGTTCAGTCACCAATGACATGGATAAGAGTAAACATTACTGTACATAGCATATGATGCGTTCAGTGTCATGTTCGTTCAAATTTGGTCATAAACCCTTTCAAATTAAGAACAACTTAAGAATACCGGTAACTGCAGAAGGTCTATTGACCCATACGAGGAAGCTCCTATTTATAACCACACAATCCCACTCATGATCCGATATTTGAAATTTCAGATATTTAAAACTGAAATTAAACCGATATTTTACAGATTCATAGCGATTAGCTAAGGTAAATTTTTACGAACCAAGTGTTTACTGTTTTGATGCACTGCTTATGTCCTGGAGTGAGGGCCACCATCTGGGGGCATTTTGTAACATCTTATTAAAGAACTTGTGTTTTGTTATAATTCAGTGCTGGCAAGCAATGGTTGGGAGGGATCCAGTGTGCAATGCATCTTGAAAACACAGGTCTCAAATTAATTCCATGCAGAAATCCTTGTTATGAAATGTAATGCGCTTTATGCATGCTGTTTAACCTTTCTTGAAAGGAAGTTCATTTTAAGCGTTCAAGATGTACCTCACAAAATTATTCCCTGCTCTGAAATCTATTTACACAGTGAAAGTATTAAGCATTGTATCTACTTCTGTAGGGTGATTCTTTATATATCCTGAACTCTCACATAGTAAGAGCTGACTCCAGCTAACCCCACATTGTACTCCATAACAATGTGGGTAAATATTACATTTAATAAATAGTATTGAATGTTAAATCATTTTTTTAATTCATTTTGTTGGGGACAGGCAGCCTGCATATGTATATATGTTAGGCCTATATCAAGGTTTCCCCTACGTCGCACTATTGACCCTCCCTAGGATGCAACTCTACAACAGTTGACAAACTTGGGTACCTATTTACTGCTAGGTGAATAGAGCCATTAGGTGAAAGGAAATGTGCCAAACTATTTCTGTTCTTCCCGAAATTCAAACCTGGGATTCCCAATTGTGAGTCAAGAAGAAACCCAACTGTACTGCCGAGACCTTTGTATATGAAAAAATCAACTGGAGCTCTTATGTGACGAACCCGCGACCGAGAGTATCCCAGCCACTGGACCACCCCGGGTTTGAGTCACCTCTGAGCTCCAGTTGATTTTCTCATTAATATTCAGTACATCACATTAGTGTGATTTCTCTGTGCACCCTTGTATATATTAACATTCACATCATAGTACTGTATAATTGTAAATGACTTGGGCAAAGCTGTATACAAGATATTAAAAAAGCGTCAGTGTTCACCACACATTTCAGTACTATACCCGACATTGTCCCTCTTACATAAAGCCATTTCAAGTGAGAACAGAATTTGGCACTCAAGATTCATTAATTGTTTCCATGTCAAATCAATGACAATTTTGTTCATGAATGTCTCAGGAGAGTATACACACAGCATCTTTGATATACAGTACTACACTGTTCTTTTGGGTCAGATAATGAATGATCCCTGATTTACCTGAGGGTCACTAACACTAGTGGCCTCAAAGAGGACAGGAAGCCAACGGCTTGTCGAAGGTCCCTCCATTTGCCTTTATGATCTTTTCCAGTTGAACTTTAAAATTAAACAATTTTGGCATTTACGGCTTAAGAGGGTACGCGGTTCCATGGGTTTATAACCCTGAGGGGGTGAAAAAACATCACCTGTTCCTAGTCCTACATTGTAGCTTGTTGAGCTCGATACAAAGACATCTCTCTCAGGAGACCCCTAACTTAAATACAGCAGGCATCATTTGTTTACACAAAAGTGTTTTGAAGCTACAAAAAAGCAGTTTGATTTTTGTCTTGCTTTAAATACTCCAGAGTGCACACTCTCTGTACTCACCCAGCCAACACAGCTCCAACAATTGCCGCTGGTGTTCCCAACGTGAGAAGCAGACCTGCTACAGGGCTTTTGCTCTCTTGTACCATTTCCTCCATCAAACTGAATTCTGCACCCAGTGTAAATTGCTGTTTATTGCATATTATGTAAAATATTATACTACCTTGCACCATCAAAGTGATCATTTTACTGTTCTGGTTAGTAACATACCGATCATAAATTGATTTTTTCACAATGAAATATTCTGCAACCTGAAACCAAAAAGCTACTTGCGAACAGAATTCTTTTAAGACAGGCTGGCAAATGAGTGTGCTCTGGACTACTCTTAATTAATATTTACAGTGATATCCTGATTATCTGCAAGGCATTTGAAAGCAGGTTCTGATACAACAAAATGTTTATCATTCATTTATTTGGGCTTTTATCTATATCAAGAGGATTAAATGTGCATTAAATGGATTAGGTGTCCAAATAAATGAGGAAATTTAGATAATTGGAATTTGTGATGTTAATAAACAAAAATCAGCAGGTATATTTATAATAAAAATTTACCGTCATGTAATTTTTGGCAAGGTATACAAAATATACCGAAATACACGTTTTTTTGTTTGTGCCAATTTTAAACAATTTAACTGTGGCACAAATTAACTCTTGGATGAACAAGAGGTTATCCCAGTACGTATAGCAAAAAGATAAAATGTTCCGTGGCAACAGAAGACGGTGAAAAAAACAAAAAAAAAACAGAATATCAAGATATCACTGCACAGTAGTTTGCACCAATACAAATATATACTGTGTTTAAAATGCTTCCAAAGCAGAGTTTAACTGAAAGTATGAATTAAAAAACTTAACACTTGAGGTTATTTAGATTAAGTGTTATCACAACAAGACTAAAATTATCACTACTCTATTGTGTATTGCTTCTGAATACTGCAATTCAAATTAGCTTCTATTGAATGCTTAAAAAAACAAAACAAAGGAGGTTAAACAAATAAAATCAAATGAAAAGGTTGTTCATGATTCAGTTACTGTACTTTTATGTAAACAAATAATTAAATAACTCAACCCACAAATTAAATGAAAGTGACAATGTCATCACTTTCACTTCATGTGTGGGTTGTTTGTTTCATGAACATTATTGCTACTTATTTTCTGCACACACAAAGCTCTGCACACACACACACACTATACTAGGGTATCTGTCTAGGATTGCCAGCACATATGTCCACATGCATATTTATATTTTAATTATGTCAGGGATTTTAGAATTTTCCTAAGGACAGATAGCTAATTCCTTTAAGGAGATGTATATTTATTATATTTTATTGGGATTATACATCACAATAGAGTTTTGGACTGGAACTGGACACATGAAAATATTTGTTAATCACTGACATTAATTAAGATAAGGAGAGCAATGAAGTACAGTAGTGGGAGAGGAGTAAGGTAAGGGGTAGGAATAAGATAAGGGGTAGGAATAAGATAAGGGGTAGGAAGAAGAAGGTAAAGGGATGAAGAAAGAGGTACAGGGTAAAAAAGGGAGGTACAATGAGGGAATAAGTAATGAGTGCAATGAAAAGTTTTTTTCTGGCGGGCCTATAATAGCTCCTTGAACCTATGCAATGGTGCCACCCAGCCTTAGCTCAACCAACTAGGCCTCTAACCATCTGTGTCCTACCAAAAGACAGGACCAGAATCTGGTGCACTCTACATTCATCAAGGAGAACTTGAAAATCAGATATCAACTCAAAACTGAAGAAAAAAAATCGAGCATAGGTGCAACAAAACGAGCAACAGTTTGAAGGAAACAAGGTAAACAATTATTGCCGCAAGGCAAATACCCAAACTGTGATGGACTCGATTGCCACCAAATGGCAGCCCAAGTCACCTGTGGTCCCAGTCAGCTCTTCCCTTCACTCTGGAGCCATCCATGCCCAACTCCCTAACTACACAGGAGAGAAGGGAACAGGGTGAGCCACTAGCAGTATACAAGTAATGGCCATTTCATTACATTCATTGCTTAAGTCTGGAAGAGGTCCCTCAGCAGCTCCCAGAGCTTACTAACAATACTACCTTGGTAGGGGGAGGCTGACCTTTCTGGAGGAAAATATTTAGTAAAACAGAAAGATCAATTGAATTTACTTGTGGAAGAAATGCAGAAGAGAAGGACCTGGGGCAGATGAACGTTGGTGCCATGCCAAACATCCAAATGCAACAAAGGTGATGCAAGGCCGAGGGATTTCCAACTAGTAAAGCTAAGCCAATAAGATGTTAGACTGCGAAAAGCCCTGAGCCTGGATATTATCAACCAAAACATTAGCAAAGAAAACTGTCAGAGCAGCAATCTTTTACACCAAGTGTGTGAGGATGTACAGCCATCTAGCTGAACTGAATTACCCTGTGGAAAACCTGAGAGGGGCAGGCCTTGGAACAAGAAATGTCAAAGTTAGGATTAACAAACACCTTTATCACTGCAAGACAAGTTTTGCACAAATAATGCTGAGCAAACCAAGTGTCAATGAGGACTCATCAGGAAAGTAGAAATGTCATTCTTAGCAAAGAATGAAGGAGAAAGCTGCAGGTCAAGAAAATGAAACCCTGGATCAAAACACACAACCCAAAACTACCGCTGTTAGGTAGGGAAGTCCCACAATCATTGACAGAAGCATGGGTTGTGTGAACAAATCCTCAAGGGCCGTGACGAGGATTCGAACCTGCATCCGAGAGCATCCCAGCCGCTGCCTTAATCGACTGAGCTACGACATGGTAATAAGAACTGCAACCAGAAATTCAACTGAATTTACTTGGATCCTGCAGCCTTCTCCGAGACACAAACCAGGATTTTACACAATTCCCCCCATGCACTCGAGCTATGTCAATAGGCTGTTCTACCTCTTCCCCCTTACTTCATTACACATTACATTCTGGTTGCAGTTCTTATTACCATGTCGTAGCTCAGTCGATTAAGGCAGCGTCTGGGATGCTCTCGGATGCAGGTTCGAATCATCGTCACGGCCCTTGTGGATTTGTTCACACAACCCATGCTTCTGTCAATGATTGTGGGACTTCCCTACCTAACAGCTAGATGCAAAGGTCAGGAGAAAATTTGCCTCAAAAAATTAATCCTGAAAGAAAGAAGCAGTAACTCATCAGGGCATCTCCATTTGAGTTGTCCTGAATGTGAATTGCATTGAAGATTAAATCCAAAGAAGCCAGAAGTGAGAATCATCAGAGTCCATTCCCACAGGAAATGAAGTGGGAAATGAATTCCCACAGGCAATAAGTCACTAGGGTGCTGGTATTCTGGAAGGCACTCAAACATCTCATCTGTATGACATCCCTAGGGCATACAACAAAAGAGTACTGCCAGACCTGGACGAGCACCAAAAGAACCAAAACTGCACGAGTATCAAAACATTGGTGCCTGCCGAAGGGTCAAAGATGGACCTGCATGCACTTGAGCAACCAACACCCAAGAACCCTTTGTCTAGGAGACCAAGAAAAGCAGGCACTTCATTTATCCAAAGATGGACCTATAGTTGCAAGCCGCAGCAAAAATACTTGACTTGGTAGCTAAAAGTATGCAGCCACTGCTGCCAAAACCTGTAATACATACACATCTTGAACAACCTGTCCTCTTACAAATTACGTCTGAATGTGGTCGTTTACCCGTATGGCATAAAATGGATGTACAGTACTGTAATTTGAAAATGGATTTTTTTTTAAATAAATTTGGGATTTTTTTTTCCAAAACAGTAAGTTAAGGGTCCTTTGGTAGGTTAGGAGGGCAGGAAATTCTCCTTAAGTTTCAAAAGGTAATGAAAAAATTAATTGAAAATGTCCTTTCCTAATCTAACAGACTAAGCTGGAGGACCCAAACAGAAAACGGGACAGTACATCACTTTCATGAGCCGATTTCATTTCAAGTTACATTCATTTTTGGCCATAGCGCACATACGAGCGAAAAGCAACGTTATTTTTAAGAGGATGGGTTGTCCAGAAAGGGGAGACAAAAGAACAGGTGGTGAACAGTAGGGAGTGTGTGACAAAACAGACACCTGGAGAGAATGTACTACTGCAGTCCAACAGGCATGATGAGCAAAATAAAAGTCAGCAACTGCATCCTTCAGGAACATAGTGAACAAGATGGGAATGCCATCTGCAGCAGTGGACAACAAGGCAGGTGGAGTGAAGCCCAAAAAGAGAATTAAAATTTGTTTAGAAAAGCTCAGAAAAAGCCTCTAGCAATGCACAAGAATGGAGAACTTCTGCTGAACAGAAGTGAACTCTGGTCTGCTGGAGGAATTCCCGAGACCTAGAACGTCAAGAACAACAGGTCATAGATTTAAATTAACTAAACAAGGCTGCCGAATAAATGTAAGAAAATTCACTTTCACAAGCTGAGTGGTAGACGGTTGGAACAAGTTAGGCGAGAAGGTGGTGGAAACCAAAACCATCAGAACTTACTTTCAAAGCGTTATATGACAAAGAGTGCTGGGAATACAGGATACCACGAGCGTAGCTCGCATCCTGTAACTACACTTAGGTAACTACACACACACATGCTTATTATACATATGGGTCTAAACTCTCTGATGCCAAATTGTGCAAATGAACATAACAGATTTAAACATTTTATTAAATTCCAGTTGCCACTCATGATTTGTTATATTATGAACAATCTATACTGGTTATACTTAAAACATGGGTGGTATAATTACCAATGTAATTGTTCAACAGACTTAAAATTTAATGCAAATTTTAGGGATTGTCATTATCATCATGATGAAATATTCATCTCAAGAATGATCCACTATTTGGAGACATCTTGTTAACCACGACACGTGACATGACTCAAAGTACTTTACAGATTACCGATGCTGTATTATAGACAAATATTAAAATATATTTAATGATAGTTCACTAAATTGATGTTGAAACTTGTAATCTTCATTTAATATAAACATACTTTAGATTTTTATCCCACTGTAAATTTTTTGGAAATGGGTAAAATACCAATTTTAACCATTTCCTAATTGTCTGGAGAATAGCATCAGGGGTGTCAGAACATTTGTTGTGAATAACGAAACTCCAGTTACTGCTAGTTTTTTTTTCATGACTATCTCTGCCAGTATGTACAGAGCCCATATCAGTATTATTTTATTGAACAATATCTTGCCTTTCAATTCATATCATAACCTAAAAAAAATTTTTTTAGTTAAAGAACATCAATAACGTAGTTTGGAGACGAGCAACATTACCATGTTCAAGCTATGATATAAAGCTGTTGATTTTTGTTTTTTAATTTATTTATATACACAAGAGTTCTTACAATCTTGTATAGCCACTAGCACACATAGCATTTTGGGCAAGTCCTTAATCCTAACTTTCACACACATCCCCAGGAAGCAGCCTGTAGCAGCTGTCTAACTACCAGGTACCTATTTACCGTTAGGTGAACAGGCACATCAGGGTGAAAGAAACTCTATCCATTTGTTTCCGCCTCTACTAGGGTTCGAACCCGGACCCTTAGGACTACGAACCCCGAGCACTGTCCACTCAGCTGTCAGGCCCCCCCATAATACACTAGCGGCTTATTCTACTCATACACAGCACTTTTCCTAAACCAGAAGCTCCCTTTATGCCTGAAAATTATAAAATAAATTTTCACCAGCTTTTACTCATTACTGCGGGTTCTGCCTTGTTCCGACAGTCTCAGAACTATGCCACGTGATGCCTATTGAGAACACGAGGACAGTAGTTAAAGTGAATGTCTATGAGCAAAATAGGTTGTTGCCTACTGGAGCCACGTAGTGGTTAAGGAGATCAAGAAGAAATTCAAATATAACCAAGTTCTTATCCGCTGGCGTGGAGCCCCACACCTTTGACTAAACTCAAGAGCGTCACCCTTGGGTGGAGCCAGAGTACCTGAGCTGGCGTGGAACAAGAATACCTCACTCAAAGCTGGTGTGGTGCCAGAGTGCCTCACCCTGGCGAGTAAATCAAGCACCTGACAGCTGGGGTGGAGTCAGTGCCACACCTGAGGGAGGAAAAACTCCAGTACCTGACAGCTGGTGTGGAGTCAAAGTGCTTTTCCCTGGTGAGTAACTCAAGTGCCTCACAACTCGGGTGTTGTTGTTAGTTGAATGGCGACAGAACTAAGGTGCAGTTCGAGTGCCTCACAGCTGGCGAGAAGCACGTTCCTCCTCCCGTCAGCTGATGCAATGTAAACAATCCCAATCGGCCGCCTCTGATTGGTGGAGCGTCGTCCAACCCTGAGCACCCTAATCACTCCTTGTATTATTAGTGTTATGTTGTTTCCTACTTTTAAAACCTTTTTCTTTTATGTTTTCCAGGATGGAAGTGAAGTGACAATTACAGTTATTCTGATGCAAATGTAGATAAATTTCGGTATGGACTTGATATGTTATCTATTCACGTTTTGGGCACCCCCTATACCCATCTTGTGGGCGGTAGTGCACCCCATACCCATCCCGTGGGCGGTAGTGCACCCCATACCCATCCCGTGGGTGGCAGTGCACCCCCATACCCATCCCGTGGGCGGTAGTGCACCCCCATACCCATCCCGTGGGCGGTAGTGCACCTCATACCCATCCCGTGGGCGGTAGTGCACCCCATACCCATCCCGTGGGCCCAGAACATAATTACAAGGCGACAATTATCTCGCGAACAACTGAGTCACTCGGAACCGTTCAGCTCTTGAGGTATTTATATATTCTTCCCAAGATGTTGAGTTGCAGGCGTGACGAACTAGAGAACAGCAGAAGACAATCGTTAAGAGTGGAAGGTGGTCCATTCCCTGCAGTGATTACTAATAGCAGAGGAGGCAACTTGTCGAAGGGGCAAAACAGCTCGGTAAGATGTATCTATATGTTGTAGCTGTCCAGCTATTCACCCCGATGCACCTGTTCACCTAGCAGTAAATAGGTACCTGGGGATTAGACAGCTGCTACGGGCTGCTTCCTGGGGATGTGTAACAAAAAGAGGAGGCCTCGTCGAGGACCGGGCCGCGGGGACGCTGAGCCCCGAAATCATCTCAAGATAACCTCAAGATGTTCAACAACTCGTCCTCAGACTAAGTCCATTCCATCCAGCAGTCGACCCCAAAGATGAATTCATCAATTTTAACATTCTGTTCATTCAAAACGGGAATTTTCTCAAATATAAATGAATATTATTATATATTTGCATATTGTGCATAATTATGCATTGGTTAGGTTTTGTTGGCGATTATTTGTATTTGTAGTACGTAGGTAAAACATTTACTGCATTGTTGTTCGAACAAAAGTCACCAGCGAAGCACTTGTTCGAGAAGTGTTCGAACTTCGTCAGTTGTGAATCGTGTGCCAGCCCGTCCTCCAAACAAAGACCCAAAAGTGATTCCATGCACCCGCCAAACCCCCTGTTTATGAATGAAAAGCGGTTTACACACGACTCACAACTGTTGACGTTCGAACATATCCGGAACAAGTGCTTCGCTGACGAATTTTGTTCGAATCACAACGCTGTAAATGCTTCACCCACGTCAGCCCGTCCTCCAAACAAAGATCCAAAAGTGATTCCATGCACCCGCCAAACCCCCTGTTTATGAATGAAAAGCGGTTTACACACGACTCACAATTGCTGACGTTCGAACATATCCGGAACAAGTGCTTCACTGACGAATTTTGTTCGAATCACAACGCTGTAAATGCTTCACCCACGTACTACAAATACAAATAATCACCAACAGAACCTAAACACCTAACCTAACCTAACCTATGCCTATTTATACACAATATGCTAATATATTATAATATTAATTTATATTTGAGAAAATTCCCGTTTTGAATGAACAGCATGTTCAAATATATGAATGCGTCTGTGGGGTTGACCGCTGGATGTAATGGACTTGAGTCGAGGACGGGTTGCCCACGTACTACAAATACAAATAATCGGCAACAGAACCTAAACACCTAACCTAACTAGTGCATAAATATGCACAGTATGCTTATAACAATATTACTTTATATGTGAGAAAATTTCACATATAAAGTTCCCCACGAGTTCTCTCACATTAACAGTGGCTTGATGAAAAAACGTATAGTAACCTCTCACTTGTCTAGTGCCCTTGGGAGGTGGAGATATTTGAGGTGTATATATATCTCGAAGTCTCTACTTCTTTTGTAGGGTCTGATGGTGTAGTGGGTTAAGGCATACTAGTTATGGCAGCTACTGGAAGGTAGTTGTGCTTTCTGGGTTCGAGGCCCACTGCATGGTGGGTGTTGTCCAAAGATTGTTAATCTTCACTTGTGGTTTATGCAAGTATAGGCTTATAGCATGGACACGAGTTCTCTCACATTAACAGTGGCTTGATGAAAAAACGTATAGTAACCTCTCACTTGTCTAGTGCCCTCGGGAGGTGGAGATATTTGAGGTGTATATATATCTCGAAGTCTCTACTTCTTTTGTAGGGTCTGATGGTGTAGTGGGTTAAGGCGTACTAGTTATGGCAGCTACTGGAAGGTAGTTGTGCTTTCTGGGTTCGAGGCCCACTGGTGGGTGTTGTCTAAAGATTATATATATATATATATATATATATATATATATATATATATATATATATATATATATATATATATATATATAATAATAATAATAATAATATATATACTGTTCTCAAATACGGAAGTCTTGCATAATGTATATCTTTACGGGCTGTGAGAACTTCGACAATAGGTAGAAATGTTTTGTATTTATAAATTTCCTCGGAATTCTATAAAGTACTTTGCTAGGAAAATCATTTGAATCATAAAAACAATCATGAAAGAATTTAACTTCAATATCAAATAATTTATAATCCAAACAGAGATTAAATGCTTTATTCAGTAAAAACTTTAATTATATTCAGTTTTTGTTAGAACCTATATATACTTTAAATATAATCATGTGAATGTAGTTTTAATATAAACTGATGAAGAAAATTGACCTCCAATATTAGTAATTTTAAAGTTAATGGATATTTTAGAATTTTCTTTAACGTAAGTTAAAGTCAAACTTAAGTGTTTGGAATTCAAATACGAAGGACAGCATTCAGACTTTACTTCATGAAAATTGCAGGTGGTGGGGATGGAGGATGGAGGAGGGGGGTTGCTGAAGATCCCGATAACTCTTAAAGTGTGGCACTGGGGCCGACCTCGAGTGACCCCATACTCGCCCTGATTCATCTTGTAAAGCTGGGCGAGGCTAGTCTCAGCCTCTAGCATCGGACAGAAGCACAGATAGAAAGGTAAACAAACCTATTATCCTTTTTAGAGGCTGGGTGGCATGTACCTAGCAGTTTGTCCGTATTTTTCTGTATATCTCTTTCGACCCCTTCACCCCCTTATCGTCCCCCCCTCCAACTATCGTCCCCCTCCAACCTTATCGACCCCCTCTTCCCATCTTCTGCTTCTGTCGAATTATATAGTATGTTCATGGAAGTAACATTGGTACATTATCAATTGTCACTGTTTTCTTTTAACATGAGCCCCATAACATATAATATGAGAAATATTATATGTATAATATATATCTCACATATATATATCTTATATATATATCATGTCTGGTGATATATATCACAAGACATTTACCCCTCATTAACTGGGGTAAATACCCGAGTTACACTAGTCCATCTCTTACACTAACTGGGGAAGATGGAGAGCCCGTGCAATATAACTTGAAATATACCTTTTTAAGTGTCCATAATCTGCCTAATTTCGCCAATTAGATCCAGTTACAACCCCGCTCCTGTGCCAGGTAAGTCCACTACGGGCTCACCATAGCCCGTGCTACTTGGAACATTTTCTTCCAAGTAGCTGCATCTAAAACAACAACAACAACCCATTAGATTGCTATTTCAGTGGATTAGTCTGATGGAAAATGTATTGTGCTGTAAAATATCTTGAACACAACTAAGGTAAACAGGGAGACGGATTGACTATTTATTATATTAGTGGTAGTGATGGAGGGTGTGGTGGTGATGGAGGGAGTGGTGGTGATGGAGGGAGTGGTAGTGATGGAGTGGTGGTGGTGATGGAGGGAGTGGTGGTGGTGAAGGCAGGAGGGCTGAGGGAGAGAGTACTGGGAGGAGGAGGTGGTGGTGGTGGAGACGCGACCATGAAGACCTCTCAGGGCCCATAAAGCCGCCATCAGCCCTCAGGAACGCGCCTTTGTCGCAGCTCATGCAATTTGCCCGACCTACTCGAGTCTAAAATTCAATATTTTTCCCTTAGTGATTTTCCAGGACTCTAGGATGGCGAGGAAAGGGGGCGAGGGATTATCCTCGTACTCCTTATACCTTGCTTCTCGTCCTCATATAGTCCTGACCTCGCCCTTACTCATCCTGCTACTGCCTCGACCCCTCTACCTGACTTTTGCCACTCCGCACCCCGCTATATTCCTGCCCTTGTCTCCTGATTCTGCTACTTCTCCTTCTACCCATGTTTGGTCACCCATTGGTCATATAATGGTAGATAGTAGCTATGAAAGCAAGCAAGAGGGCAGGATGTTGACGGGGGACCTAGGGACCCAGACGCCCAGGTCACAGCTAGGTATAAGTACTACCTTTATGGTCACTGTTACTGGCCCATGGAGGCGAGCTCCACGATGCGTGTGACAGCAGCGGCTGGGTTTCTCGAGGTTACCAGAGGTTTTCTGGGGTTTGCTGGGGTTCCATGGAGCTTTCACGGAGTTCTCTGGGGAACCCTTGATGCCAGAGTCAAGGGCCTTAATCCTATTCTGCTTTATGGCTGTATGAGGAGATTGTTTCAAGATGCTTCTGTTTCAGTGTGAATTTACAGCCGGGAATACAGAGGTCTATTGTTTCAGCTGGTTTCGTTCGGCTGAAACTCCCCTGTACTCCCCTGCACACGCCCGAGACCACTACGCCACGACATGGCAAAAGCAATGCAAGCTGGGATTCAATTGAGTCCTCCAGGGGTCCTAAGGCCAACAATATCTCCACCTATATGGCAATTCCCCTGCCACTGTATACCATTATTTTCCTGCTTCAACTTCCCCTCTTCATACAACAGCATTTCCAATAGCAACAGTGTGTGTGTGTGTGTGTGTGTGTGTGTGTGTGTGTGTGTGTGTGTGTGTGTGTGTGTGTGTGTGTGTGTGTGTGTGTGTGTGTGTGTGCGCGTGCGCACGCAATACTCTCAACATTTCCCTATCAAAAGAATACAAATTTTCCCGCCAAATCCAAGC